CGCGAGCAAGGAAAGGATACAGCCGAAAGCGATGAAGCACACATACATATACACATGCCTACACCTAGTCCTACACCTACACCGACACGGACACATACACACACGCACACATTCACCTACATACATTGGTGGCATTACATTACAACAAGCACTACTATGCACATACGTACATACATACATATCTACAACTATACATATACAACTCTGATATGCCATCTCCCCATGACAAAGGCAAGCCTGCTCGTCCGTCATGGTCTCAAAGAGCTTGGCTCCCCGAATGAGCTCTTCCTAAGTTGGGCCGCCAGGCTTGAAGCCAGAATCGGGAAAGAAAGGCTGGGTTGCTTCCTACCCTCCAAGCTAAGTGATTCCACATAAACCTCCAGACCCGAAACTCCCAAGCACCAAAAGCTCGTGCCCAACAGAACCACAACCGCCCTGAAGCAGCCCGAAGGGTTGGGGCATGGGATGGGATCGGGCTTTTGGCTCAGCACTTTACTTCCACCGAATCTCCAGGATTGCCTTGTTTCCGTATCAGAAGTTTTACGCTACTCGGCCCAATCCCCAATCTCGGATCCAAGGGCCGCCGAGATGCTTTGTGGTCTCGGTCGCGAATCACGGCCACGAAATCGTCGCGGTTTAGCCTTGCTTGCATGTACTCCCCCTACGGGTACGGTGAAAGCTCTGATTCCGAATAACTACTCAGCATGTTGCTGCTGCTGCTGACGTCGCTGTCCTCCTCCTCATCATCATCCTCATCGCCATCACCATCACCATCGCCACCATCATCATCGTCACCATCATCATCACATTCACATTGACATTGCACTTGACCTTCTACGAATACTTCTGTGAGACGGCTGTGCGTCGATGGCTTCAACATTCAACATCGCAGCCCAGACGCCGGAAGACAGCTGCCTGCCAGGCATGGTTGGTTTGGGCAAGCTCTGGCGAACTTAGTGCCAAACTCCCGAAATGTCCAGCCAACATCAGAAGGCCCCACGGTGGATGCCCGGACTTCCCATTACATGTAGCGTCTCCACTCCAGGATGACCAGATGTATGAGGAGGCCCCAAGTTTTTTTTGAACACCTTTTTCCATCCGCCTTAAGTGTTAGGACTCTGGAATTCGCTTTGCGAAAGCATGTGTCGACCCTCCGAGCGTTTAGGCATTAAAGCTTTGGAGTTCAGAGCCTCTGGCTTTTCCGGAAGAATCTTCGCCGGCATGCTCACTCCAAGCCGTCACATAAGATTTCGCATGTGATATCAGTAACAGTTCCCGAGCCGAACTCTGTTCTCAGGAAAAAAGCGACTTTTGCTGAAGCCGAATCCGGCAAAGAATTTGAGCCCTGTCGCCTGGAGTGTTCAACGGAGCTCTCACCTGCCGTAAATCAAAAGAATAAGACGCTGACACCCTGCAACAAACCTAACCAAAGTGGACCCCACGAATCCCCTCGAAAGGTGAGATGCCTCCTCATCGGCAAGAACCGTCGCAGCGCGTGGCTCGTCGCGGAGCAGCGCTCGTTCGCCGAAACCTTCGCCTGTAACGCACAAGGTGTCAGGGGCGCAGGGTTTCGTGGCTGGACTACGATCATGCTCATAGCTGCTACCAAAAGCTAAATACTTGCTGGTAAACATGATGTCACAACATGAACCGTTGGTGCTATCTTGTCAAAGCGATTGTTGTTCGCCTGGCAAGTGTACTGCCATGATGTTGCTGACTGTCATTGAGATCACCCTGACCCGGGGATGTTGACCGTGAAGATGATGCTGGTCATGATGGTGATGGTGAGTTGATGGAGATATCGATAGTTGGATTTATGGTTTTCGTTTTCTGCAAGTACTGTAAACTACTGTTGCTATCCTGGTCCAATCTTTACATACTCTTCAGGATTACTTCCGCCTTGTCAGACAAGTTCCGCTGTTACACCACCGCATATGACTTAGGCAAAAGTCGGAAGCAGCACCGCCTTCAACAGCAGTATTTGAGGAGAAACGTGCAACCTTCACTATCGACGCAATTAGCTTGGGGTTTTCCGGTCTCCTTTCCTTCTCAGCTTCCAAAACCTCGACACATATTAAATTGTGAACATATTATAGGGACTGTAAGGAAGTACTGACTCTAATTCTCCGGCCAGTATGCTAGATTACGGATCAGCTCGTACTTCATATCCCCTTCTAGCCCCTCTATAAGTGTAGTAGAATAGAAACAACAGAATCCCCTTAGCTTTACGGCACAAGTATAGTAGAATGGTACTAATGGCATCTCGATAAGTATGGCATAATATTACGGCATCAATTAGTATTACGAGCATCCCCTTATAACTCTCCATGCTTTCAGGGCTCCCCGCCTGGGCTATACTCGCGGACCTCCCGCATGCCCTCGGCAGCTTGCACCTTGCCGAGCCCGGATGCTCAGAGGGGTTCCTTCGAAGGGCTCCTTCACAGGGTCATTGACGGGTTCCATAATAACATGAGGGATCTGCAATACTTGGACCTTAATCATCAGCTAGGGCTTGGGGTATGCTACAATGCAAGGATATGCGAACTGAAATGGTATACGAGACAAGCGTACACATGGCCCCTGCATTGCCGGGGAGGCTCTGGGCCCGGTTGAATGAACAGTTTCTGGACAGGAGGATCCCGAAGCTCCACGTTGAGCGAAGAGCCCCTGAAGGCTGAGACTTTCGCAGTTTGCAGCTCCCAGAACTGCATTTTCTTGCTACTGCTACTGTACGACTCGTGTGACCATTGCTACGGGTGATGACGATGCTCGTCATTATCACGCTACTTGTCATCAGGGAGACTTGCGGGGGACATGCTACCTGCATCGTGCGTCTAGGTCCTAATTGAGAAACTGCAACCTCGAACTCCCACCCTTCAACCCAGCTTTTTGCTGGGACTGCCAAGGAGCATGTGCCGAACAGCGGCCCTGGTCCACGATGAAGAAGTCAGAGGCCTCTTCCTGTCGGAGTTTACGCAGAGGGTGGGTTACGGATCTCGCTAGAGCCGCTAGATATTACTCCACACATCAAAACCCTTCCTGCGATCCACGATCCTTCTTACAACATGCTCCCTTCCTTCCCTTCCATGCCTCACCCTGGCGGATGATTACATCGCCCGGGAGGTATCGAACCAACTGTAGCCGCCGCGCAACCTGCCAGCAGCTGCATAATTAAAGAATTGTAGACATTGGGCCCTGGCTGTCCGCGATTGGAGCATAAACTTGGCAATCCGCACGCTGGCTTCAAAATATAGTGTAGCCAAGCACCTTTGCGCAAGCGTAAGAAGCGCGTGGGAATCCGGATAACTGTAATGTCACAGACAGGGGATTCAAGTGCAAGCTATTGCAAACTCCTGCCATTCTCAAGTGCTGCTATGATACCCTGAAGCCCGAAACCCTTGGCCTCCTGAATCTCGGCGTCCCCGAGGTGCCTGGCAGGTGGAGCTTGAGTGGACCAATCGTGACAGCAGGGATGCAGTAGTGGTAGTGGCAATGGTAGTGGTGGTAGTAGGCATGGTAGCTGTCGCTGCTGCTGCTGCTGCTCCGACCATCACGACGAAAATGACTATGACTCATACAGTTGTTCAACCACTACCAAGCGAAGACGATGGCTGTCATACACGAAGCCTTGCCATTGTTGAATTGTTCCTTGCGGGGTCTCTGGGACTCCGAGCTTGCAATCTCAAGTTTCAGGCCTGCGGATTTTGCTTGCATAGTCAAGACGTTGCTTCACCCAGCCGGACACCCAAGGAATGCTGCAAGCCATCTCCGCAACAAACCGAAGCTCGAAACTGTGGGATGCCTGGAATCCCACGATAGCCTATCCTGATGAGCGGAAGAGGTTTGTTCATCAGCAGTCTACATTACTTTCGACTGATTAGTCAAGTTTTGTTCTCGCACGATCAGACCCCGGGCGCAATCCGCACGAAGGAAATTCTGGATTTGAAAGCTCACAACAAGCAACAAAAACGATCGTAGCAATAATCAGCGTGCTTGGTGATAATAGCCGTAACAGCGATTATGCCAAGAACAATGCCAATCAGGACGACTTGGTATTGAAACATATCATCATACCCCGAGCCCCCAAGAACGCCGCGGGCCTGAAAACTGGAAGCTCCCGCACTCTTTGTTCCCTGTGATCCTGGAGGCGCAGGATTCTAGGTGGAATCCCGAAAAGCGTAAAACATCAATGCAGGTGGCCAATGAAGTCTGAAGGTTGTGGCACACAAGTGCCGAGCGCACAGAGACATGCCTGTTCAATTCATGTAGGGTTCAACTCAGGATTCGAAAGGTTATGTTCACATGCGATACAAGCTCTCAGGAAAAAGTTTGCTGAGGGTGCGAAAGGTTCAGCAAGTTCAAAAGTCGTAGATGCTGGGCGGTGCATTCTGGCCCGTACTAAGTGCCCACTGCAGTCATTGCGTTTACCACGGTGTTGTCAATATCTTTTATATTTTCGACGACACTAGTCACGAAACCTATTCACAAATGCACGATATGAACTTGGTTACCCCATGTAACAACGAACTCGCGGGGATAAACCATGGCAGGAAGCCCCTTCGAAGTGCCAACACGTTTCAATCATCAGGCTGTGTGCCAAACGCCCTTCGAGATGAACAAGGCGAAACAGTCCTGGGCATCTACTTTGTAGACCTGACCATTTGCCGAACTTTTGCTGCAGTCGCCTGAGTTCTACGAGGATTTGCTCTGGCTTGAGTTTCGGCTCAGGCTTGCTTGCTGGCTGGACGGGTTCGAAAGTCCAGAAGGCCAAGTTTGTTGATTTGAGCTGTTGGGCCTTTATGCGCCCCTCCCACGAAACACTGCAAGGATTCGGACACAGTTGGAATTCGAGAGCCCCAAGTTTCTGAGCCCATGACAGCGCATTTTTTGTCGCTCCCTCCCTCTGTCTCCCTCCCGGGCGTGAGGAGGCTGTTAGGGTCGTAGGGTTTTTTCAGTCTTTGTCTTTTTCTTTCTTTCACCAGACCTGAGGCCCTGAGGCCTCAGTTCAGCAGTAGCGTGCCGAGCTCGCTTGCCACGACAGAAGTCGACTCCCAAAACTTTGGCATGCTGCTGTACCAAGTGGGTCTCAAGCTGTTCAGCAAGAAGTCGCTGGTCTTGGAGGTGTTTGGCGACGAATGGTAGAACCTGCTGGTAGCTTTCACCTGTAACTCATCGTACTGCAGGTGGGCCCGAAGCCCAATGCTGTCACGACGAGTACGCAACTGGGAGCGGCGCCACGATTCACGAAGGAGGTGGAGTCCTCGACGACGGTCTCGGACTGACCTCTGTCCAAAGTGCAAGGCGCCCAGAGCATGATGGTGCCAGCTCCACGGACCAGTCTCAGCCCATCCCAGCGAGCACAGAAACGAGCGGATCCGTCCTTGCCATGTGAAGCCCTCGGCAACCGGTCGCCAGTACTGGAGGAAGCCTCGCGAGGCCACCCACCACAAAGCCGAGAAAGCCTGCTGCCCTGCAGTGAAACGGCAGTCAGAGAAGTGACCTTCCAGGAGGCGCAACAAAGGGACAGCTGCCTGACGGTGGCACTCAGCTGCCCGTCGGAACTTAGTCCAGAAAGCGGAACTCTCCCGACCCAAAGTGTGGAAGGTGAGCCAACCAAAGCAGAACTTCGGGACAACGATTTGGCGAAACAGAAGTCGCTTGTGGTGCCGAAACAATCGTGACAGGACAAGCCTAGAGGCGTATTCCAACGCGACCTTAGCCCGGAGCCTGGCAGTCGGCCGATCAGCTTGTGATTGCGGCGGGCACCAAAGTCGACGCCCGAACCGACTGCGCCTCAGCCTGTGGACGCCTCCGGCGGAGGATGGCCTGCTGGGCCGGGTCGCGAGCAACAACTTTCAGTTTTGCGTAGTTCTCCTGGAGTCCAAGACGGCCAGACCACCCTTCAGCAAAGCTCACAGCATCCAACACCTCGCCAGCATCACGCCCAGCCAAGTTGCGGTCGTCGAGGTAAAAGCTGCGATGCACGGACGGGTGCACGCGAGTGAGAGCCTTAGCAACAGCAGACATGTAGGCGATCATACCGACCGGAGACAAAGCGTCTCCCTGTGGCAGGCTGGACCCCGCCCATGCAGCATGCTCGCTCACAGCAGAACGCCAAGACAGCCATCGGTGCTGCTGAGACAGCCAGTCGGCACAGCATCCAGGGAAGCCGAGGTGGACCAGCATCCGAACCGTCGCGCCCGGGGCGCGTCAAACGCCTTCTGATCAAGACGAGCAAGGGCAGCACGGCCGCTTTGCACTTGCTCCTCCAAAACAGCCAAGGCAGAGAAGATGTCACGGCCAGGCATGGCACCATGGCAGCACTCGGGTGCCCAAGCCTGAACCCAAGATCGAAAGCTGGGGCGGCGGGTAATGGCTGAGCCGACGAGCCGCCAGACCGTACACAAGATCGTTATAGGGCGAAGCTCGTCCACCTGGCACTCACTCGACGATCCATCCTCAAGCAAATGCACCTGGATAGATTCGTGCCACACCGAGGGGTGCCCCATTGCCATGGCACCATTGAGCAAAGAGGCAAGGTCTTCGAAGGCAGGAGCGGCTCGGAGTTCGGAAGGAGAGCTTTGGCAGAATGCTGAAGCTCAGCAGCGGAGAAGGGCTCCCAGCGAAACGCCGGTGGCTGAGGCCACTCCTCAGCCCAAGCCTGAAAGACCTGATCATCGGTAGGGCCCGGTAGGGCGTGGCCTGGACCAGACGTCCTGCCAAAGCTCAGAGAGCATCGCGAGGGCCTCGGCATCACCACCAGCACGTCGTTGGCCCATGGCCAGCGATTGGCACGGAGGCTGCGGTGAGCGCTTGACCCAGGCCCGCGCATAACTCAAGTCCCCTCGCATGCGTTCACGTCAAACTTGAAGCCGAGACTGCTCCTCATTCGCAGCCGTTGGGACAGAGCCTGCTCAGCGATCTGGAGCAAGTCAGAAGGCATCGCGCGCCAGGGCAGATCGGAAGGCCAGTTGCAGCGCACACGCTTCCACAGAATCTGGCGGTCAGAAGGCGGAGCGCGACACAGCTCGTAAAGGAACGGCCTAACAGAAGCACCTCGGTCACCCGATGAGATACGGCGAGCCTTCGAGCCCTCAGCTCGGACCTGCCTGGGGTCAGGTGGGACAGAGCCAGCTTGCATTGTCACAGTCCTGAGGCACAGCAAAGTTGCGACACAGTTGCAAAAGGGAGCGCTGTGGAACCCGAAAGCAACCCGGAACCTTGAAGCACACAGCACGATGGTCCGAAAGTGCAATCTCGTGGAGCTGAGCACGGACCTGAGCGAGCTCAGCCAGAAAAAACAAGTGAGCATTCGCACCAGACGGAGGCCACACGATCAAGTAGTCAATGCAACGCTGCGATCGCCACCGTGTGGGGAGCAGGGCCCCCCCCCCCCGCGGGCAGCAAAGGCCCTGAGGGGGAGCCCGAATTCCACGCGATCCTCAGCAAGAACGGCAGGCAAAGACCAACATTTGTACCCCAACCGATCAGCCGACCGAGAGAAGGCAGCGAGCTGATGCCCATGGAGCCGGGTTTCTTGAAACCCAATGATGTCAAGACACTCGTGAGCCAGGTTGTTTAACGCGTTGAAGGCATTAGAAGCACTATTGACATTCATTGTGCAGAGCCGCGGACCGGGATGAGCCCTCCTTCGTCAGATCACGGAGCCAGCCCTGCCGACATGGGCACGGGGCCTCGGCATCAACGTGCCGGGAGCGGTCCCCAAGAACCCACCACAAATGGCCCAAGTATGGGTTTTCGGCCAGGAAAGGGGGGTTTGGGCCAGATGGGGGGGGGGGAGCCCACAGAACCCAGCAGCCACGAAAGGCACAGGCGGCAAGCAGACACCGCGCCTCGCGGGTGAGCGACCCATCAGCTAGGATAGGGCTCAACGCCGTCGCGGATAGCTTTGGTCCGGCGGTCATCATGAAATGCCTTGCGCTTCTCCGGGTTGTCCAAGAGCTCCCGCATCGAGCCGTCTTCATACAAGGACTGGCGACCCTCCAAGATGCGAAACATGCTGTTGCAGAGGCCTGGGTGCACATTCTTGATGTGGTGAGTCCTGAGGCTGCGCAGTTTGGGCTTAACCCGGTGCCTAAGCGACGCCGAGCAAACGTCGCAACGCCAACGAAACCAGCCTTGCCGGTCCTGCCTCACTTGGCACGGAGTCCCGATTGGAACCCAGCTGATTGGTCAAGGTGAGAAACCGAGAGCGAGGGATCCCCTTGTGCATCCTGTTGATGTGGTTATCTCGCTGCTTGGTCAACTGAGCACGCGATGTAGCAGACATCACAGCATGGCAGGCCGAGCACGGCCACTCAAGAATGTGGGCACTTTCGTGAGGCCGACGCACCTTGCCTCGCAAGTCCGGCGAAGCCGGCCTGGCCGGGTGCGTCACTTTCTTAACCTGGCCTTTCCGAAAGAAGCTGCGAGAGTGCTTGCTCCACACGGCAGAGCGCGAAAGGCGAGAGGACTCTGCAGCACGAAGCTCCAAGACAGAACTAAGGAGGCGGCGGTCCGGGCGAGAATGCCACTGCCAACGCGCGCGCCAAACCAAAGACTTAAGGGCAGGATCCCTTGCAGCCAGAGCCTCGCACATCGCCTCGTGGCCGAGATGAGGGTCGAGACTGGAAAAGGAGCCCCAGACCTGCAGGCACATAGCACAGGCTGGACCCTCCATGCTCCGCGGCCTCCGCTGATAGTCCAGCCCGAGCTCCCGAAGTCCCGAATCGTCTGAAACTGTCGCAGGGCCGCCAGCAACAACTGGGAGCGCCTCGGAGCACTGTCTTCACGACGAGACTTACGACTCAAAGCAAAGATCTGCGACTCATCGTTGCAAAGCCTGCGAACAGAAGGGCTGCAGTATGCCGATGCATGGAAGGTCCAGGCATCTCAGGAGCCTCAGCGACCGCATTATCGGTCCGACCCCCCAGGGTGGAGGCACCATCATCAGAAGGAGCGCCCCTCGGACGCGAAGGAGCAGGAGCGTCCCCTGCACAGGCCGTACGACCGCCCAAAGTGGAAGCCGCCTGCCCACGATCACCGGCACCACGGTCTCCATCCAAACTAGAAGCAGAGCACCCTCCGAGCACAGAGGCGGCCCGTCACCGGTCACGGCCGACTCGGCCTTCGCAGTGGTTGCCCTCGTGAGCTTGCGAGTGAGCGCCTCGTAATGCCGCTGGCGGAAAAAGAGGGCAATCGGCATGCCACGACCCTTAGCAGCCTTAGCATTGAAGACCGTGACGTTGTCATCATCTCTCTCTCTCTCTCTCTCTCTCTCTCTCTCTCTCTTCTCTCTCTCTCTCTCTCTCTCTCTCTCTCTCTCTCTGTCTCTGTCTCTGTCTCTCTCTCTCTGTCTCTCTCTCTCTCTCTCTCTCTCTCTGTCTCTCTCTCTCTCTCTCTCTCTCTCTCTCTCTCTTGCTTGCACGCAGCCAAAGAGAAGGTCGAGCCCTCTCTCGCGCACGAGTGCGCACTGGAGGTGCCTCTCTCTCTCTCTCTCTCTCTCTCTCTCTCTCTGAGCTGTAAAGACAATTTTTTACACAGCGTGCACATAGAGACACCATTGTGACACTCTGGCACGTGGCTGGGGCTCTCCAACGAGCTAGAATAGAATACAAGGTAAGACTGTGCAGTGATACTGCGTCAGTATAGCAGTGTTTTACTGTATTATTTTCAGACTGTATTTCTAGACAATTACCGAAACATACCGAAACAGTGTTGGTAAGAAGCGAGTACATGCACCGGCTCGGCTATTATTCCAGGATGTCCTTTTCGACCTACAATACTTGGAAACACGGCATGTGGTGTTTATTGGTTTCCCTAAAGAGCAACAAGTGTACTAATTGCAGGAATATCTCACCGATCTAGTTTGGATGTTAGTAAGATAGTGGTTTTGCAACGATTTTCCACTACAACGTGTGCAACCATGTTTGGCAGCAGACCGACCGTCATGAACGGACTATGGCACTCTCCCTCACGTGAGTAATTACGAATGCAGGACTGATAAATTTGCCATTGACTCAACTGTGCTGCTCTTGCCGGTTGTGCTCACGACTACCTGACACTTGGAGAACCCGCAGCTCCAGACCCGGGACTACTGCTGAGAGAAACTTTCGCTGCGATAGCTTCTCTCTCCCACTGCTGCTACACGTTTGGAAGGCCGGAAGCTTTACCAGTTACCAATCATTGCCGAGATGCAGCTGCAGGACGTGCCCATTTTGCTGGCACAGCGCGGCACTAAAACTGAAATCTAAAGCCCAAAAAATCGACACTTCTAGGGTAGCATCGCTAGTCGTCGTCCGAAGCCCTAAATTCCAGTCTTTGGCATTTCTGCCAAGGCGGCAGGCTTGGAGAACTTGCTGCTGCATGGCTGTAAGTGCTGTTTTAGGATTGATCACAGCCGCCATCCCGACATACAAAGCCACCAGAAATGACGGTGTGGTGTGTGCGAGTTTGTTGTATAGCCTCCCGTGGGCTCTAACCAGCCATTGGGGTCAAAGTTGACGGCAAGGCATGACTCGCACCCCAAAAACTTGCACGTTTATGATGAGAGTTGATGTGTTGATTCTGTGGTCTGCAGCCGATGTATGTTGCAGTGCTTGAGCCAAGCACCGCAGGATCTGGGTCTTTGACAGCGAGTGGGGCTCGATGGGCTTAAGGTTTCCTTTGGGTCTTTTCTGGCCTTCCAAGCTCGGTGGTTTAGGACGGTTCAGGGTGCATTCGGGCTGGGGTTGAGAGATTTCACAGAAACGACCGCGGTTTGCCAGTTGCTGGCAGCACTGGGTGTCAACTTGCATTGCTATGTCTGAGAGAATTTCACGCAACACAGATGCCACAAGTCTGTTCCGCAGCTTCCAATGGGCTCTCAGACATCTTGATCCGAAGCTTCAGCATTTGCCCAAAGGCTGAGCGCTCAAGCGCAGCTCGCTAGATGTCATCATGCAGCCCGAAAGTGCAAGCGGCTGTCCCAGGAAAGGCAGTTCTCCGATGGCTACCCCAAGGGACCACGATGCAGGGAAACTGAATCATTGTTCATGTGCCCAACCCATGCCTCCAGGAAGACAGTCAGACGCGAAAGCCAGGACGTACGTGCATAGCTACGCACACGCACACACAAAGAGCACACACACACACACAGGCAGAGGCAGGCATAACAGCAGAAAGGCACGTGCTTCTGAGTCGTGTGTGTATATATACATACAAATCAATACATACATACATACATATGTATGCATGTATTGATTTGTATATATGTATGTATGTGTGTATATATAATATAATATAACATGATAAGGTGAGATATAATACAACATAATGTAACTATAAAAATATTATGCATACATGCGTGTACCTGCTGCACATCCAAAGACTACGTCAGAACTAGCCTCAAACTTTACGAGCTTCCCACAATGATTGCTTCTAGCTAGTAGAACTGGAAACACATAGTAGGGATTGCAATCGCGAGTCATGTTGCAATCCTGTTGCTCGTTGACCCTTGACAAGTAGACACTAACCAACTTGAGTATTGAGCGACTTCTCGTGAGCCGCGAGCCCACTGCACGAGTAACAACAACGGCAAAGCGCAACGCAATTACATACCGGAATTTCCTTCTCGATGCTCATTCGCTGTTGTTCCCTTCCAGATTTGGTAAACTACGAGGCGCAGTTCGAAAGCTTCGGCTGGAGCACACTGGAAAAGACCTGAAATCCTGCACCACTTGCTTTCTTGGCCCATGCAGGATCTGTGAAGCCGAGCTCTGGAGCCAAGGCAATACCTCGCACCTCACGAATGGCTGATCTGATGCAGAGGTTTGCGGGTTAGAGCGCTTCAAACCTTGCTTCGGGAGTGTGCTTAGTAGCGGGGCCCGGCCAGTATCACTGAAGCGGATGAAGTAGGATGTCGGGGGGCACAGTACTTGCCGGCTTATTCGTTGCAACAAGGCCATCTACCTCATCGCACGAACCGGTTGCGCCTGGCAGCAAGCACACTCTACCTTCCTGCGCCGTACACAGGCGACCCCAGACCCTGACTCCGACACTCTAATTCCTGGGTGCCCTGCAGGTCTTGTCCTTCAGCTGAGCCTGTTGCGCAGCTCTCGAGGAGTCTGCTGTGACTTTTACAGTTCTGACGATGCTTCTTGCTCGTGTGGTCAAAATCAGCACAATCATCATCAACATCACCACCATCAACAAATGCCTGTTCTGCTGCTAGATATGAAGCTGCTAGATATGAAGCTAGAACTGCCTATTACCACCATGTCATGTTGATGCAACATGTCCATGCCATCATTGTGCTTGCTCTGACGCGGCTCAGGGGCCTTAAGCTTGGTACCGCACTACAGTAGTTGTGTCTTCATCGCCTGGATACCTTCATGTTGACCGAAGTACGACCGCTGCAGCAAGACTGCTCTCACGGTTGAAGTGAAGCTGTAGCACTGTGCGGTCTCGGGGACACTGTAGAGCTATGTGCACGGCCTAGACTGTCGACTTGTGGGGGTACAGCTTCTCCATGAACCTTCGGGCCAAGGCGGCCTGAAGGAATCGCGGCAGCCGCTGCCAGAACGACCTCTCTTCAGGCGGATGGGCATCGAGGTGCTTAGGGTACGTCTTCACCCAGACATGGTGGACCCGGTTGACATCTCCCTCGGTGCTGTTCCGGTTCAGCTTCGGTTTCGCTTATCACGCGGCGTACGTGCTGCGCAGCCCCGGCACAGAAACAAGAACCAATGCAAATCTAGCTCTGACCTTGAAGTCCCAGCAAGGAAGCAGGGCTTGATCTAACTGACCGCGGCACCTGTCCTGTACTGACGAACACTAAGCAGTGACAAAACACATATACACAGACAGTCAGTACCATGCAGAAGAAAACCTCAACCCGCACCACTGGACCGCGGCCAGCAAGAAACCCTGAACCTGAACTGCTAAACACCCCGAAAGCTCCCCATTAAACGCTCTCAACCCCTGAAGGCCCTTTTCCCCTACCCCTGAAGACCTTAACTTCAGGGCCTGATCCCAGAAGCCAAGCCGAACGACTTCCCGGGCCCGGGCCAGGTTGGGCTCCAGGGCAGCCTTTCGCATCTCCTGGCGGCTTCAAGGGAAGGGCAGGGGGTGAGTGCTACAATGTAGTAAAAAATATGCTATGAGGAAACCAGAAAATGCTACACACTCCTTTGTAGGTCCTTTTTTGAGTCTTTTCTAAAGGTTTGTATGGGGGGGCTCGTTTGCAGGCGGGCTGTTATGCGGCCTTGGTCGAGCTTGGTTGGGGGTGGTCATGGGCTGCTTGGGGCTTTTATGGAGTTGCTTTTGGAGGCTATTATGAGGCTTTCACAAGGCCTTTGTGGGGCGGAACAAAGCAGGCTCGCACGACCCAACAAGCCCGTAAAGCTTGCATCTAGGAAGTGGACTCCCGTCGGCTTCAAAAAGACTAAAGTATTGAGCAGGACCACAGTCTGCGCAGTCGATCGCTCTGACGGTAGAAGAGGACATGAGCTCCGGAATACCTCTCCCGGCAGAATCGCAAACTTTCTGGCTACATCGCACTATTGCTCTGGTTCCCAAACTAACATAAGATTTCGTTACTAACGTCGCAAGTTATATGGATTTCGAGAATCATGCAGCCTCGAGAAGTTGGTAAGCCAAGGGAGCTGGAGTCGAAGACGCCAGCGCGGTGTACCTCATCAAGCGGCACATTACCGCTGCAGGCTGTCCATGGGTGAAGTTTTGGGGATCAGGTTCTGAGGCCTCTCCACTACGGCCGTGAAACCGAATGCCTTTAGAGCCTGGGCCCTGCCCGAATCTCCCAAAGTTCGTTGCTTCGGGAATCTACCCGTCCGGATAGGCCTGATAGCAACCCTTGTTGGAACAACCCGATCCTGGCGGAGCTGTTCCGGGGGGTTTCAGTGGCGCGAGACGCTATGGCGGACTGGGGCTCGTACAGGAAAGACGTCGCTATTCAATAAGGCCATACTTGGATGCTCAACGGATGGTCTGGCACTCAATCTTGAGCAGTTACCAATAATCTCTTCCGGAAGAGCTCCTGCTGTAGACCAAGGTCGTCAATCTGAACAAGACCAAAACTCAATGGTTTCGTGTACATGGGAGGAGGACATGACTGCGTCCTACAACCGTGCATCCTAAAACCCAAGGTTCGCCTGAGCCCTTTGCATCAATGCCCCGGCTGGGATCTGCTCGCGCTGCAGGTTTCGGAACCTGGGATCTTGAACGTCGCAGCGGTTGGAAAACGGCACGAGGTTTCCGGTCTGGGAACTGAAGGGTGCAAGGTTGTCAGGCTTTGGAAACACCATGACCTCCAAAGCTGGCCACAAGAAGTGTTAAGCGCATCCAAGCACTCCTTGGTAAGGATTCATCGTCATCACAAAACCCTCCAAAAGGGGATTCCAAGATAGAAGAAACCCTCCACTTTCAGAATTTCCGTGTGCCCTGCGCCGCGAGGGCGGGTGCCCAGGGCAAAGCCGCCATTGCCGTAGTCGCAGCCACAGCCGAAGCCTTCTCTGCAGTAGCATTTCTGTTGCTACTTCTCATGGGTGTAGGGGTGGCTTTTCGTGCCCCCCATTTCACTTCTCCTCTGAATCATGTACGGTATGCTGCCTGTGCCGTAGCCAGCAGCGGCAGAACCCGAGCCCAGGAGCAGGAGGCCTGCAAAAGCTTCCTTTATTGACTCTTGCTGCTGACTCTGGTTGCTCACTTAGCTTGCTAGCTGAAATTGCTGTTCGTATCGCTCTTGCAGTCTCCCGGCCCGTAGTTGAACTTATGCTGCTTCGCTCCAGTCGACCTTTCGCTTCAGGTAAGCGCTTGTTGGCGGGATTCCGGTCTTCTTTCGACCCCGGCTTAGAGCCGTTTTCGTGGAGTTCTAACTTTCTTGCCGTCCGAAGGGATACGGCATGCGAATGACTTGATGCTCAAGCCCCGATTGGGACACTACTGTACTTTTTTTAGGGCCATGTGGCAACCGGACCGACTCAATGGATCCTTCTTGGACATGGCTGGAAGGATGGCGCGAACCCTCAAGACAGCACACGGAATGCGTACGGACAACAGCTGCCAAACCGATGCACAGAGAGCTGTGCACTAAGCTAGGCCTTGCTGCCATGAGCCCTACCAGCACATATCAGCACGACAACTGAAGCAAGCGACCTCGCAGCTCTGAAGCAACACGGCCCGAGCCACTGTGCCGCGCTCGTGCCTGGCTGTGTCCAGTCTTTTTGACGAGAGGGGTTGCAAGCTGAACTTGCAAGCTCACAGTGTGAAGTGAACGGACGAGCTCATGAATGTAGGGGAAGCTTTTCACGGCGAGGTTGGCCCACAGAAGCCTCCATGACTCGAGGTGTTTGCACTATAGAGACTTTAGCAGACTTAAGGCATGCTTGAGCACCCTGAAGTATGTGTGGAATGGCCCCTGTTGGCTGCTAGCTCAATGAACAGTAGTCTAGAGTAGGCAAAGGCCATGCGTCATGCAAACTTGCTGGAAACCCCCAAACTAGCATCCGGATTTCTTTCAGACCGAGCACAAAGCCACACTCCCAATACCTGCCCCTCCCTCAAGTCCAAAGTCCTTGCGGATGAAGCCCTCGAGCTCTGACCCCGAACCTTGTAAGGTAATGTTCTGGTGAAAAACAAATTGGGGGAGGGCAGGCAAGCAAAAGGATGTTTAGTACGGCCCGGGAAAACATGCTGCTCACCCGCCTTAACAGCTCAACTGCACGTGGCCAGGACTGGGCCGACACCTCGGCAAAGGGGACTTCCGGGGTAGGGCTGGGCCCTGGGTTGCATCTCCAAGGCATGCGTCGACCCCTCAGCATCAGCAGCATTTGCAAAAACAGCAACGGCAATGTAAACGGTAGCAGCAAGAGCAGCCAGCCATCTCACCACAGCAACAGATCGAAGCCACACTATGATCGCGGGAGACCAGGCAACCGCGGAACTGCCTGGGATCCAAGAACAAGAGACAAAGAAAACGTCTAGAACTACCAACAGCTGCGGATCCCGGCACATGCGCCAGCTGCGGCAGTCAATGAAGCTGCGTTGGGTCGCAGGCGCCTGACACAGCTTCTGCACAGTCTGTAGCTGTCACTGGCTGCGGACAGAAATTCGAGGCACTGCTGTAGTTGGGCCATAGCAGGGCTCACTGGCTTTTTGTGGCTTGAGGCTTCATTGTTTTCGTCCACTCTGATCCCCTGCAGCTGCAAAGGTTCGCGTGAGACTGGGGTGGCCTCACAGACCAAAAGTTTCGCGCGGAAGATCGATCATTCAAAGCTGTGAATGACCATTCCCTGTGCCGATAGAAACAGACAGAAGCGAAAAACAATACTATCAATACTGCCCCAAGCCAGACGGACCTGCGTTGAACCGCCGGACCGCTCCGGCCTCCGTGGGATCTCCAAGACCAAGCCGACGGCCAGCCTCCACCCGTGGCCTCCCAAGAGATCGTGGCGGCGTTCGGCTGGAGACGGACAAAACCCCTGCAAAGGCACGCTCAACCTCATTACTGCTTTGGGCCGCCAGGGCGGCGGCTCTATGTGTAGAATCTCCGTGCTGACGCAGCTGCTCCATGCCCTCGGTCCCTGTCTTTGGGGCTCGGGACCCTGAAACTCGGTACTCCGATCTGCCTGACTGGCAGGCGCTCGTTGCCGTGCTGTACGTCACCTCGGCTGGAGCGACGCCTACAGGGCGAAACTGGGGCCTCGCGGCAATACGAACCCCCAGCTCTGAATCCTTAACCCTCAACTCCGAAGTGCTAAAACCTCAGCATGCTCTGGCCTTAAAGCTCCGAAGCCTTAATCCCCAACAACGCAGGCAAAGCCCACACATCTCCCCAAGAGAGTCTTTTCGCGGAGAACCAGCGGGGATTCGAATTTCCTTGGGCCTGGCCCGGTCCAAGCTTCAGTGAGACGCAGGGGATGGGGCTTTGGGGGTTCGGGGCTTGGGTTTTGACCAAGTTGTACACTACGAAGAGCTGCTGGGACGCAGAGATTCGTAAGGCGAGGAACATCAGCAAAATGACTACGAGGACGACAAAGACTAGGAACGACACAGGCAAGCCACAACCACCCGAACAAGGACGGCGATTGCCAAGTATAGGGCAATAATATGCAATGACTGAGTAAGTCCTTTCATTGCATTTGCTTGTCTGTGTGTAGGTGCATGGCGGTATATGAGCATGCATGCAAGCAGACATAAACACGCACGCTCGCGGTGGTGGTAGCGGGAGTCCAGCAGTACAAGCAGTGCTGCAGTTGCATTAGCCATACTTAGTCATAGTTTCTAAGAGCCGCGATGGCTCTCGCGGTGATGTAGCTCAGGGCCGGGCCTGCACGGGAAAAAGGGGGTGCCTTCTATGGCCGAGCTTGCTCGCAGCACCCACGGGCGGCACAGTTGCACCGCAAGAAATTGATTCGACTGAACTCTGCAGGCTAAAGAAGTCTTAAAAGCAATTCTTTGTAGTGTACCTGCTGAGGGCCTCAAAATTCGGACGGCCCAGGAAGCCGAGAAACTCGGAACCCGACATCCTGGCTGAGGGTTGAGGTGTAGGCTATGGGTGTCAAGGCTAAGGGTGGAGAGGATCATGGCGGGTTCCCAGCCTCTGCTAAGTGCGCTTCAGAAGCTTTCAGAAGCTGGGAGCCGCCCTGCTGCCTCAATCACCTCACGTCATGAAGCAATTGCGGGGCGCCCAAAACCAAAGTTTCCCAAAACTCGGCGACGGCCAAGGCTTCGAGGGGCCGAGGCCGCGGCTTACGCCTTCTTGGCCCAGTCAAAGCTGGCGGCCTGCGGCTGTCAAGGTAACGATCATGCTCTCGGAAATAACAGTAGCAATCAGGACACAAATAACAATGATCATGAATGATAATCATACTCCATCCTCCCTTCTCACGTTACGGCTCTTTCCTTCCTCCTCCTCATCCTAGCGGTTCCCTCCTGACCTGCTTCTTGCCCCAATCTGCAACACCAGCAAAGTGAGGTCGTTTCTTGGTGAAGGAAAACTTTTGTCAGGCCATGATGATTCGTGGGTGAATCTGGTCAAGGTTGTTGTCCCTTTCGGGTCAAAGGTTGTGCTCAAGATGCAGGTTTCAATGAAGTTTTTTGCTTGCGCCTGTTTGAGTCTCCGTCAAAAAAGGCCCGCTGTCAATGGATTTAAACTTAATGGGACATATTGCATAGCCGGTTGTGAATAGTACTTGGCAAACCCGGCCTGAACGGAGGACTCGCCAGTGTAACCGAGCTTCTCCTCGGTGCAATCTGATCTCGAAACACGCTAAACCTGGACCACAAGCCAAGCACCTCATAAACCCAGGCAAAACCACCATGCAGCTCTCCTTCCATCCCGGGTAGATCTGGTCAGCATCCTTCTGGAAGGTGAGGAAGGCACCCTTGATCTCCTCGTGCGTCTTGGCGAACTCGATGACGCCATCGCTCAGGCTGATGTTGCCGTACTGTCCGGACCTCCAGGCCTTCCAGGCCTCCTCGCCCTGTCGGCAGGAGATGGCACCTGGCTTGGGTCCATCCTTGTGGCCGAAGGCGCCGCCACCGGCAGTGAGGATCACGTTGGAGTGACCCAGGTTCTCGAAGAAGGCCGGCAGGCGGAGCGCGTTCATGCCACCAGAAATGATGGGGGTGGTCTGCTTCATGCCCTCCCACTCCTGGTGGTAGTAGGGGCCATCGGCCTCATCGTCCTGCAGCATGAAGGCAATGTTCTTGTCGGAGGCATCGCCCTCCATCTTGCCGAAGCTCATGGTGCCGGTGTGGATGCCGGAGGCACCGATAACACGAGAGATCTTGGTGTGGACAAAGGCAGTGTAGCCACGCTGGGTCTGGGGGCTGGTCACGGAGCCGTGGCCGGCTCGGTGGTAGTGCAGGAACTGCTTGGGGAAGTTGCGGCGAGCGCAGGTCACAGCGGTGCCTCCCGCGACGTATCCATCCACCAAGAAGGCGCAGTTCTCGGACAGAGGTCCGAACTGGGACATGCAGTACTTGCCGCGGGCGATCATCTCGTTTGGATCATCCGCGGTGATGTTGGCCGAGAACAGCTTGCCGACACCGGTCTCCTTGATGCAAGCCCTCATGGCCTTCACGACCTCGGGGATGCACTCGTTCATCTGGCAGAACACCTGGTTGCCCTGCGGCTCATCCTGGGCTGCATGGAGGCTCTTCAACAACCCATTTCGCTGCTCCTTTTAAATGGTATATACCATGTTAATGTTAAAGCTTATTTAAAACTTTTGTTCCAGCACAATTTAGCATCGTTCTTGATGAAGTCACCGCCTTGCCAGAAGGCATAGCAGGCCTCGCCGAAAGGCTTGGGCTGCAGGCCGAGCTTGGGCTTGATGATGGTTCCAACCACGAGACCACCGTTGCTGGTGCCCTTGCCCAGGATGCGCCACATGTCCTCCACGTTCACGCCGGGCCCATCATACAGGCGCAGGAAGGACGGGGGCAGGTAGAAGTCGTAGATCTTGCCGTACTCGACATCGCCCATACCTGAGCTACACGCTCGTGAAACACAGTGCTATCCACAGACACATCAGTCAATCATGATTTCATGTATTATGTCTGTCAGTACGGCTTTGCTCACGGTATCAACACGGCATTCTGAGCCCGTGACCCTGGTTGTTGCCGATGGCAAGGGTCAGGAAGGAGCACATCATGCCGCGGCCATCGATGATGTTGCGGTCGAACAGCAGGGTGGGGTAGGCGATTTTCATCTCCTCGCTGTCAGGGTCGATGTAGTACACCAGGGCATCCACGGACTTCGTGAAGTCGTCGGTGGTGCACACGTTCACGTTGGTGCCTGTGGAGGACTCGGCCGCGAAGTGGGCGGCGGTGGCCAGGTAGTCGTAGCCCGCCTTCGGCTTCATGATGTACGCCACCAGCACGTGCTTGCCGTTCCTTAGAGATACATGCACTCACACCTGGGACCTAGGCAGTACACACGTGCACCTCGAACTGTCTTTTGTGTGCAGACAAATCCCACGCATTTCTAGCACAGTCGACTCCGACTTGCAGCTAGGTCTCTTGATCAGTGTGGCCTCGTCCAGTGACAGGTCCGCGTATCGGCTGGACTGGTCCAGGGCCTTGCGCGAGACGCTGCTCTCCTTCTTGGCAGGGGCCACGCTGGCGCCGACGAAGGCCGCGGCCGACGCCTTCTTGGCCCAGTCGAAGCTGGCCGCCTGCACAGAGGACTCACCAGTGTAGCCGAGCTTCTCCTTCCATCCCGGGTAGATCTGGTCAGCATCCTTCTGGAAGGTGAGGAAGGCACCCTTGATCTCCTCGTGCGTCTTGGCGAACTCGATGACGCCATCGCTCAGGCTGATGTTGCCGTACTGTCCGGACCTCCAGGCCTTCCAGGCCTCCTCACCCTGTCGGCAGGAGATGGCACCTGGCTTGGGTCCATCCTTGTGGCCGAAGGCGCCGCCACCGGCAGTGAGGATCACGTTGGAGTGACCCAGGTTCTCGAAGAAGGCCGGCAGGCGGAGCGCGTTCATGCCACCAGAAATGATGGGGGTGGTCTGCTTCATGCCCTCCCACTCCTGGTGGTAGTAGGGGCCATCGGCCTCATCGTCCTGCAGCATGAAGGCAATGTTCTTGTCGGAGGCATCGCCCTCCATCTTGCCGAAGCTCATGGTGCCGGTGTGGATGCCGGAGGCACCGATAACACGAGAGATCTTGGTGTGGACAAAGGCAGTGTAGCCACGCTGGGTCTGGGGGCTGGTCACGGAGCCGTGGCCGGCTCGGTGGTAGTGCAGGAACTGCTTGGGGAAGTTGCGGCGAGCGCAGGTCACAGCGGTGCCTCCCGCGACGTATCCATCCACCAAGAAGGCGCAGTTCTCGGACAGAGGTCCGAACTGGGACATGCAGTACTTGCCGCGGGCGATCATCTCGTTTGGATCATCCGCGGTGATGTTGGCCGAGAACAGCTTGCCGACACCGGTCTCCTTGATGCAAGCCCTCATGGCCTTCACGACCTCGGGGATGCACTCGTTCATCTGGCAGAACACCTGGTTGCCCTGCGGCTCATCCTGGGCTGCATGGACGCTCTTCAACAACCCATTTCGCTGCTCCTTTTAAATGGTATATACCATGCTAGCATCAAAGTAAAAAAAGCTTTTGCTCCAGCACGCGCTAGGATCGTTCTTGATGAAGTCACCGCCCTGCCAGAAGGCGTAGCAGGCCTCGCCGAAAGGCTTGGGCTGCAGGCCGAGCTTGGGCTTGATGATGGTGCCCACCACGAGACCACCGTTGCTGGTGCCCTTGCCCAGGATGCGCCACATGTCCTCCACGTTCACGCCGGGCCCATCATACAGGCGCAGGAAGGACGGGGGCAGGTAGAAGTCGTAGATCTTGCCGTACTCGACATCGCCCATACCTGAGCTACACGCTGTGAAACACAGTGCTATCCACAGACACATCAGTCAATCATGATTTCATGTATTATGTCTGTCAGTACGGCTTTGCTCACGGTATCAACACGGCATTCTGAGCCCGTGACCCTGGTTGTTGCCGATGGCCAGGGTCAGGAAGGAGCACATCATGCCGCGGCCATCGATGATGTTGCGGTCGAACAGCAGGGTGGGGTAGGCGATTTTCATCTCCTCGCTGTCAGGGTCGATGTAGTACACCAGGGCATCCACGGACTTCGTGAAGTCGTCGGTGGTGCACACGTTCACGTTGGTGCCTGTGGAGGACTCGGCGGCGAAGTGGGCGGCGGTGGCCAGGTAGTCGTAGCCCGCCTTCGGCTTCATTATGTACGCCACCAGCACGTGCTTTCCATTCCTTGAGACAACATAAAATAGTGCTCAGGCCTAAACAGGCATGCATCAATCCGACGAAAGTCGCGCATGGAACTTCCGCCTTGCAGCCGAGTCTCTTGATGAGCGTGGCCTCGTCCAGGGAGAGGTCTGCATATCGGCTGGACTGGTCCAATGCTTTGAGTGTCACCAGGCTCTCCTGCAAGGAACGGAACACACTGCATAGTTCCTGGCATCATAGATCGTAACTGCGTGACACATGCAGTGGCAACGGAGGTCGCTCAGGAGTTGCTCGTGCCCGAGCCGTAGGGTAGCAAAGCCCTGCTTGCCTTCGCTGGCACCACGGTTGTTGGGAGGATGGTGCTGCGTGTCTGGCGTCCTTTCCAAGTCGTGGCTTGGTTAACAGCACAGGCAGGGATTAGGAACTGGATTAGGGACCTTAAAACCGTAAGCCCGCAACCCTCATAACCCTGAGCCCCAAGCCCACCAAGCACCGAAGCTTGCTTTCGGTTCAGGGCATGTTGCGCCTGTGACTGCACTGTTCTAGTGCGACCCATGGTTTTTTCTTTGGGCGATGAGTTTGCGTTCTCGATGTTCCACGACAACGCTCTCACAGTCTTGACAACAGGCAAGGTATACAGGCCGGCGTGGAGTGGAGCCAGCATTGCTACTAGTAGCCTAGTAGCTCATGACCCAAACACCGCCCTGGCGAGCCACAGCGCCTGGCCGAGCACCTGCGGCAACTGCTGCTGCGGCAACGGCACCACCCGCGGCCTCTTTCTTTTAGCCGCTTCGCATTTAAGGATTTAAGGGTCCAGGAAAAGGGGTACAGTGGAGGGACTTAATGTGAGCCTAGGGGCCAATTTATTTCACTGATAATCGCCCCAGCGCCAGACCAAGGATCCGAGAAGGGGGATCGGTCTCCAAAACAACCCAAGCCCTTGCCCTTGCAGGAGGAAAAGTTCTGGCTCTACACCCGAGCTAGGTCCTGAAGCATTCACCAGGAGGCAATGAACATCAATAAGCGGCCCTAGCTACGGTGTCACTGGGTCCAGGGTTCGTCTTGCATGAAGGCAGGCCTGCTACTCTTATCATATCGAGGACCACGCCACCCTCAACCTTAAACGCTTACGATCCTGAATCTGCTACGGTATAAGCTTGATACACTTCCAAGTCCGCTCGGCGCTTGTTGAGGTTTGGGCTGGATCAAGCCTTGCCCTGCCAGCTGACCAGTCCTGAAAGCCCCAAACTAGGCCGTAATCTTGGAATCCTTTTCGGATGCCTGTGAATCTGGCAAAACCCTTCGGCAAGACCATGCTCCTCAACCCTGAACCGGAGACCCGGAAGCCAGAAGCACTCAAGACCCTGCTCCGCCCGTCTTCAAGCCCAGGCGGCCAACGTAGAGAGCGAAGAGCCCGCATTCGCGGATTGGGCCTCAGGTACATGCACATGCTGCTGCTGCTGCCGCTGCTGCACGACTGCTGCACCACCGCTGCACGACCTGCTCAAAACTAATCACCGCGACGCAGAACGACTCAGAAGCCAGGGGGCCTGCGCCTGCGCGGCTGGGGTGCCCCTGAGGGCTGGCTGTGACGCTGCCGGCGCTGCCACGAAGGCCGAGGCGGCATTGAGCAGCGCCACTCCGCCTCCCGGCTCCAGGGAGAAAGGAAACCGTGCAAGGAGAACGTGAGACTCTGAGCATCTGAAGGGGACTTCTCATCGCCCAAGTCTTCATTGCAAGGCGCTTTCTGATCAGCTTGCGTGCAGCATAGTCAGCTTCGGGTGATCTGTGTCAAACAGACAGCCAGACGGAAGATCACCCGATAACCCCAACTAAGGTTTAAGGTCAAAAAGTCCCTGAAGTCCCTGTAGTCCCACTCTGAGGGCCCAAGGCGAATTCAAGGCGTCGCAGCGTCGCGTCGCCTGCGGCGGCTCCGGCTATGGCCATCTTCGACGAGCGCTGCGCCATTCCTTGGGACTAGAAAGAGGAAGGTCAGGAGGGGTTTAAGTAGCGGATTGCTTATATATCTCTAGGGCTTCTATTGGGTGTATAAAGGTTTAGGACTCTAGGAGTAAGGGTAGGGTGTCAGGCCGCATGTTGGCTTGCAAAGGCTCTCAGGCGGTTGTGGTAAAGGCTTTCTGAGAGTTGCCTTGTGGGGTTGAAGACCTCGTGCTTCAGGGCGAAGGGGCGGGCTTAAGCTGGGGACCCTTGGCTCCGTGGCGCTTATCGCGATTCCTTGAGAATGGATGCCTTCCTTCCCTGTGGTCGGGAGAGGGGCGGTTTTCGTGGCTCCTGGGCAATAGCTTAGGCTGAGGCTTCTCGGGTATCTGCGAGCCATCTGAATCTGCACCATCACTCGGGCACTGTTCTTTGTTCCAGGTCCAGATCTATACGGGACACCTAGTGTGACTGATGCCACAAGCCGTGGAAGCTCCTTGTTTTCGGTTTAATCGATCCAAAACTTCTCAAAGCTCAGGCGAAGAGCTTCAGAGAAACCTTTCACCTTGATGCACCTTTGCTAGGCTTGCGAAATACAACCAGAAAGCGGCTCAAGTAAATAGAAAAAACGTGCCAAGTCCGTAAACTGCAGCACATGGACAACTGCACCGCACCTGCACCCCCGCTTGTACTTGTTGAATGTTGCAACTAGTCACGCCCGTTTAGCTTCGGGCCTACTATGACTGGGCTGGATAAAAACGGGCTGTTGGACAGTTTGCTCGGAGTCGCCTGCTGTGACAGGCTGGGATCATTTCCTGCAGTTGCTGACCTGGGGAGGGGGCCTTTGAAATTCGAGGTGCCTTATGTTGCATTGACACTAGGACCCCTTCTTCTGATTTGACGCTCCACTGTGTGCGTTGAGAGGATACAGCAACTGTAACGAGAGCTTGCATGGAAAACATGCGCTAACAGCATCGAAGGAGCCGATTGAGCAGAGGGCAAATGTCGTCTGCTTCTTGGGCCGCTACTAATTGCTGCAGGAGATCTGTCTCGTCGCACTATGACCGACACCCCCCTCACCACCAATATCCATATCACCAACATCGTCAGCACCATTGTCATCACCATTCATCACCATTCATCACCATCATCACCATCATCATCATCACCACAGCATCGCTATCACCGTCACAAACACCATTATCGTCATCATCATCACTCCCCAAACTTCCGCGATGCACCCATGCTTGCGACTGCTTTCTTGCCAGGAAGATGGCGTGGTCCAGGTGCTCTTTGAGCCCCGTAGTGGAGTTGAGCTTCGGGCTCTGGCGCTGAGCGTTCAGGGCTTCCAGGCTTTATGTGGCTGAAGCTACTTAGGGTGTTGTGGTTCAGGTAGGTTTCCGCAGCGCAGAAACCTGGGAGAATCGGCAGGACGGCAGGACTGCCAATTGAAGGAAAAAGCGGGTGCCTCCGGCGGAGAGTCGACGTGGATAATGTTGCCACGGGTAAGCAACTTTGCAAAGCTCCACGAGAAGATCGGATATTTCTAGCCCGACCATTAATGCTACGATAGAGCGGGCTAAACATCCGAACATGCTCATGGTCTCACGACACCCTACAAGCTAGCACAAGGTCAATACGAAAATATTCGGAAACTGGACTCTGCGGTCAGTTGTCCTCACCGAAACAAACTCTGCATCGTCTTGAAATAGCTTGAAGCACCAAGACCTAGCTCGGGGATACGTATCCGCCTTTTCACCTGCTTTAGCTTTTTGAAAAACCCTCGGTTGTCTGTTTCGGGTATTGAGATGACTTGCCTCCTGCACAGAAGCAGGAAGCTTGGAGAACTACCTCTCTGTTTGTGGGAACGATTCTAAAATTCAGCGCTCTTGGGCAACTGGGTGCCTCAGACAATCCAACCTGGATAGCGGCTATGGACGCAGGATGACCCAGGCCATTCCGGCTTCAACATGACTGCACACTACGGTTGCTATGCAACTGTGCTCTAAGCAGATAGGGGTGAGTACAGGTGAGCACTTACAGTACCTGACTGACAGGAGATGAGATTCAGCCTCTGAGTCATTCTTGGCAGATCCAGCTGTTTTCATGGACCTCCCCGTGCACAAAGCTTTCTTTCGTTGAAGGGACTCCGATGACTGGAATACGCAGGGTATGTTTCGAGCCAACACCGTCGCTACAGCCGAAACCTGAACCCAACTCGAGCGACAGGCCTTCTCAAGCCTTCTTGGCCCAATCAAAGCTCGCCGCCTGTCAAATTCGATGCGACAGGAAGAAGCTTTTGAGGGTTGCAAGGACAAGTCTAAAATATAGCATACATATACAATCTACATCTACATCTACAAATTCATACACACATACATCTACACATACATATACATCTACATATATACGTACATACACATACAGACACATATATACACATATATATATATATATACACACACATATATATATACACATATATATATATATATATGCACTCATGCATACACAAATATACACATATACATTGATACATGTGTGTCTGCGCGTAGGATTCATTCGTGTATCTGTTTAATATTTGTTAGTTTGTATGTGTGTATACACACAAATGTGTGTGTATACGTATATATATATATACACACATGTATATGTACATTTACATGTGTATATATATATATACACATGTATATGTACATTTACATGTGTATATATATATATATATGTACATGCACTGTTACGCTGATACTTTGGGAGTCCGGGATAAGGTTCCCATCTGCATGCGTGTGTGCTCGAGTCGGTGATCGAAAACCTCAATCTCCAGGCACACAGCACTTTGAAGTCCAGATTTTGGACGCCCAGCCCGACACCTACATCAAGTTCCACTCGTTCTGGATACTTGATCACCAGCCTTAAACTTTAGACCCCAAACCATAAAGGCACATGCCGGACCGAGATGCAACTTGCTGATGTAGAGATATATGCATGTGCATATGAGTCTACGTATATGGATATGCATATGCAGATGCATCTGTATATGTATGTGCATGTATGTGCATGTGTATGCATGTGTGTATGCACGTGTGGATGGATGGATGGATGGATGGGTGGGTGGGTGGGTGGGTGGCTGGCTGGGTGGGTGGGTGATGGGTGGGTGGATGGATGCACATAGATTTGAACATATGTGTGTTTATATGCATACATAGTTATACACCCATCTATTGTTTATGAATATGTATACACATGTAAAGATAGATATAGATGTAGATACAGATATATTATTGTTATTGTTATTGGTGTTTTGTAGGTATTAGTATGTTGCTATTAGTACTGTTATTGCTAGTACTGGTATTCGTGTTACTCGTGTTGATGTTGGTGCTGTTAGTTTATTGTTGCTCTCTTAATCTTCCAATGATGATTTTGATTCTAGCAGTGGTATGGCCAGTATGATCAGCATTATCATCATTATTATGTGTGTTGTATATCACTACACATGATGGTATATGAGATGCTACTGGAGATGTTCAATATGTTCGTTGGTATATCATGATACAAGTGGTATATTATTCGAAGCTTCTCTGGGCTATTACATGCTATTACATTATATTGTATTGCATTGTATTTAATAAATGACGCCATGTCATACTGTATTATATCATACATTAACATGTGTATATATATATATATGACGTAACAGCATGTAACACCTTATAATATGATATCACAAGAAATATTATGTGGAATATGGGAAATTCCGAGACTAGCCACCTGCACAGACGACTCGCCGGTGTAACCGAGCTTCTCCTTCGTTGAAGGATGTGGCTTTTGTTCCCAAGTGATGGATTTGCTTAAAACTTGTTCAAACACGTTCCGACAAAAGTGCTTGTATATCCTTCCAGCCCGGGTAGATCTGGTCGGCATCCTTCTGGAAAGTGAGGAAGGCACCCTTGATCTCCTCGTGCGTCTTGGCGAACTCGATGACGCCATCGCTCAGGCTGATGTTGCCATACTGTCCGGCCTTCCAGGCCTTCCAGGCCTCCTCGCCCTGTCGGCAGGAGATGGCACCAGGCTTGGGTCCATCCTTGTGGCCGAAGGAGCCACCGCCGGCGGTCAGGATCACGTTGGAGTGACCCAGGTTCTCGAAGAAGGCCGGCAAACGCAAGGCATTCATGCCACCAGAGATGATGGGCGTGGTCTGCTTCATGCCCTCCCACTCCTGATGGTAGTAGGGGCCATCGGCCTCATCGTCCTGAAGCATGAAGGCGATGTTCTTGTCGGAGGCATCGCCCTCCATCTTGCCGAAGCTCATGGTGCCGGTGTGGATGCCGGACGCACCGATAACTCGGGAGATCTTCGTGTGCACGAAGGCAGTGTAGCCGCGCTGGGTCTGGGGGCTGGTCACAGATCCGTGTCCGGCTCGGTGGTAGTGCAAGAACTGCTTGGGGAAGTTGCGGCGGGCGCAGGTCACAGCAGTGCCTCCTGCGACGTATCCATCCACCAAGAATGCGCAGTTCTCGGACAAAGGTCCGAACTGGGACAGGCAGTACTTGCCGCGGGCGATCATCTCGTTTGGATCATCCGCCGTGATGTTGGCCGAGAACAGCTTGCCCACACCGGTCTCCTTGATGCAAGCCCTCATGGCCTTCACGACCTCGGGGATGCACTCGTTCATCTGGCAGAACACCTGGTTGCCCTGCGGCTCATCCTGGGCTGCATGGACGCTCTTCAACAACCCATTTCGCTGCTCCTTTTAAATGGTATATACCATGCTAGCATCAAAGTAAAAAAAGCTTTTGCTCCAGCACGCGCTAGGATCGTTCTTGATGAAGTCACCGCCTTGCCAGAAGGCATAGCAGGCCTCGCCGAAAGGCTTGGGCTGCAGGCCGAGCTTGGGCTTGATGATGGTGCCCACCACGAGACCACCGTTGCTGGTGCCCTTGCCCAGGATGCGCCACATGTCCTCCACGTTCACGGCGGGCCCGTCATACAGGCGCAGGAAGGACGGGGGCAAGTAGAAGTCGTAGATCTTGCCGTACTCGACATCGCCCATACCTGAGCTACACGCTCGTGAAACACAGTGCTATCCACAGACACATCAGTCAATCATGATTTCATGTATTATGTCTGTCAGTACGGCTTTGCTCACGGTATCAACACGGCATTCTGAGCCCGTGACCCTGATTGTTGCCGATGGCCAGGGTCAGGAAGGAGCACATCATGCCGCGGCCATCGATGATGTTGCGGTCGAACAGCAGGGTGGGGTAGGCGATCTTCATCTCCTCGCTGTCAGGGTCGATGTAGTACACCAGGGCATCCACGGACTTCGTGAAGTCGTCGGTGGTGCACACGTTCACGTTGGTGCCGGTGGAGGACTCGGCCGCGAAGTGGGCGGCGGTGGCCAGGTAGTCGTAGCCCGCCTTTGGCTTCATGATGTACGCCACCAGCACGTGCTTGCCGTTCCTTGGCACAACGAGTAACTTCATGTAAACATATCAGACAACTTCTTTAATCGATCAAATATACGAAATCTCTACAAGACAGCTGCCAGCAGCCTGCCTGCAAACTCTCTATCTACGTACTTTTGCGTTGCAGCTAGGTCTCTTGATCAGGGTGGCCTCGTCCAGGGACAGGTCCGCATAGCGGCTGGACTGATCCAGGGCCTTGCGCGAGATGCTGCTCTCCTTCCTGGCAGGGGCCACGCTGGCGCCGACGAAGGCTGCGGCAGAGGCCTTCTTTGCCCAGTCGAAGCTGGCCGCCTGCACGGAGGACTCGCCGGTGTAGCCGAGCTTCTCCTTCCAGCCCGGGTAGATCTGGTCGGCATCCTTCTGGAAGGTGAGGAAGGCACCCTTGATCTCCTCGTGCGTCTTGGCGAACTCGATGACGCCATCGCTCAGGCTGATGTTGCCGTACTGTCCGGACCTCCAGGCCTTCCAGGCCTCCTCGCCCTGTCGGCAGGAGATGGCACCAGGCTTGGGTCCATCCTTGTGGCCGAAGGCGCCGCCACCGGCAGTGAGGATCACGTTGGAGTGACCCAGGTTCTCGAAGAAGGCCGGCAGGCGGAGCGCGTTCATGCCACCAGAAATGATGGGGGTGGTCTGCTTCATGCCCTCCCACTCCTGGTGGTAGTAGGGGCCATCGGCCTCATCGTCCTGCAGCATGAAGGCAATGTTCTTGTCGGAGGCATCGCCCTCCATCTTGCCGAAGCTCATGGTGCCGGTGTGGATGCCGGAGGCACCGATAACACGAGAGATCTTGGTGTGGACAAAGGCAGTGTAGCCACGCTGGGTCTGGGGGCTGGTCACGGAGCCGTGGCCGGCTCGGTGGTAGTGCAGGAACTGCTTGGGGAAGTTGCGGCGAGCGCAGGTCACAGCGGTGCCTCCCGCGACGTATCCATCCACCAAGAAGGCGCAGTTCTCGGACAGAGGTCCGAACTGGGACATGCAGTACTTGCCGCGGGCGATCATCTCGTTTGGATCATCCGCGGTGATGTTGGCCGAGAACAGCTTGCCGACACCGGTCTCCTTGATGCAAGCCCTCATGGCCTTCACGACCTCGGGGATGCACTCGTTCATCTGGCAGAACACCTGGTTGCCCTGCGGCTCATCCTGGGCTGTATGGAGGCTCTTCAACAACCCATTTCGCTGCTCCTTTTAAATGGTATATACCATGCTAGCATCAAAGTAAAAAAAAACTTTTGCTCCAGCACGCCCTAGGATCGTTCTTGATGAAGTCACCGCCTTGCCAGAAGGCATAGCAGGCCTCGCCGAAAGGCTTGGGCTGCAGGCCGAGCTTGGGCTTGATGATGGTTCCAACCACGAGACCACCGTTGCTGGTGCCCTTGCCCAGGATGCGCCACATGTCCTCCACGTTCACGCCGGGCCCATCATACAGGCGCAGGAAGGACGGGGGCAGGTAGAAGTCGTAGATCTTGCCGTACTCGACATCGCCCATACCTGAGCTACACGCTCGTGAAACACAGTGCTATCCACAGACACATCAGTCAATCATGATTTCATGTATTATGTCTGTCAGTACGGCTTTGCTCACGGTATCAACACGGCATTCTGAGCCCGTGACCCTGGTTGTTGCCGATGGCAAGGGTCAGGAAGGAGCACATCATGCCGCGGCCATCGATGATGTTGCGGTCGAACAGCAGGGTGGGGTAGGCGATTTTCATCTCCTCGCTGTCAGGGTCGATGTAGTAGACCAGGGCATCCACGGACTTCGTGAAGTCGTCGGTGGTGCACACGTTCACGTTGGTGCCTGTGGAGGACTCGGCGGCGAAGTGGGCGGCGGTGGCCAGGTAGTCGTAGCCCGCCTTCGGCTTCATGATGTACGCCACCAGCACGTGCTTGCCGTTCCTTAGAGATACATGCACTCACACCTGGGACCTAGGCAGTACACACGTGCACCTCGAACTGTGGGATCTTTTGTGTGCAAACAAATCCCACGCATTCCTGCAGTCCCGAGCACGGTCGACTCCGACTTGCAGCTAGGTCTCTTGATCAGGGTGGCCTCGTCCAGGGACAGGTCCGCATATCGGCTGGACTGGTCCAATGCCTTGCGCGTCACGCGGCTGTCCTGCCAGTTCGATCAGTATGATTAGTTGCGATGGCAGTGATCATCGTCGGCGCAGGAGGAGCCATCATGAGGCGGGTTGCTGATGCGCTGGTGATCTGATGAGTGGGCACGCTGGCTCTCGGCATCCGTGGGGAGATCGTGGAGACCCTGTTGCTAAATTGCCGGTAACGCGACTAGCTTGAACTCCGAAACCCTGAAGCCCTCAAATGAACTGCTTGACACTTCTTGAAAGCTATTATGCAATGCTGCATATAACTGTTCACTGTTCACATCTCCTCTTGGAATTCTTCCACACCACCCAACATGTCTCCACCCCACGGAGCCTTCACTGGCACCACCGTCGTGGGAAGAATCGAGCTACGCGCCTGACGGCCTGCCAGGACGTGATGTTCATCAAGTTCCAAGGCTTGGGACGTTCAGGGCACAACACAGTAGCAGTCTCTAGCCGTAGTTGTTGATCACACGTTTCGGTTCGTTGGCCTCCCCATGGGCCATGGAGCTTCAGGGATTTCGGGCTCTCATCGCAACATCAAGGTACCAACCTGATCGGCCAGCAGCCACCGCAGCTGCAGCTACGGCCCCGCCGGCAGCAAGCGCCGAGAACGAAGGAGCCGGGGCGGACGGGGCCTGGCCCAAAAGAGTGCCCAATCATGTTGTAGGGCAGGTATGAAGATTTCGCAGTCTAATCCTCATTGAGTGTTGCACAGCCTCTTCCGGGTTCTGGGTGAAGGCTGCGTGTGGGAATCTTATGGTGCTCTAACACTATCTGTAGGGTTCGGTGCCAAAAGATGCGAAGTAAACCCTGAGCTCCTCTGAGGGCTCTTTTTTGATGGCCCCTTTTGGCACCCAGTCTGCCTGAGCCTGTGCAACGGAGGTGCCACGGAGGCTCGGCGCGTTTGCCTGGACATCACAGATGCGCGGGTTGCAATCGCAAACTGTGGGGATGTGACGCCGTCGCCATCCTCCGTGCTACGATGAAGCGGTATGATGTAGCAGACTATGTCCCCCAATCAATCTCCCTCTGATGCTTGGCTTTCCGCAAAGTTTTCGGCATTACATTTTACCTTTTCAGTGCCACGAACACCTTAACGCTCTCAGGCGCTCTCCACAAGCTCTCAGAGCCCAGACTCAGGCCTCCCTCGGCGCTGCGACGAAAGCGTCGCTGCTGGTGGCGCTGAGCAGGGCGAGGCTGCCTCCGCGCGAGGCCCCGCATTCCAAGGCTTGGGTTTATGATTTAAAGCAAACAGCGGGGCCTCCTGCAAGAGAAAGCCCAGCTTTAGGTTTTTGGTAAAGATCCGCAGCCAAAACAGCTTAGCACAAATAGCTTTGGCACGGTTTGAATGGAGGATTTCGGTTGTCTCTTCTACGTCCGTATGCTTGCGAGGGCATGGTGGTGCTTCATTCTTGTGACGCTTTTCAAACCTTTACACAGTGTTTATGACCTCTGACACAAAGGAGAAAACGTCCAAGACGGTTGGGTGTTAGCCAGCCTCGGCCTTGGAGTTCAATTGATGTTCGTGCCGGATACGAGATTGAACTTTTTGGCATAGGGTTCCCGGGCTGTGTGGTGTGCTACGGCTGCGTGGGGTGCAAGCAAAGTCACGAGAGCCTTCTCGTGACCATCATTGCATGACAGAATTGGCCGTCAAAGGGTGATTGTATTGCGCCTGCGTTCTGGGCATCTTCTTGCAGGCATACAAGTTATACAAGTGAAGACAAGCCCGGTTTGTCGCTGCAGATGCCGTGCCTGCGGCCGCCCCAGCAAGAGCGAGGTTGGATGGACGTTGGGCCATCCCAGCAAGAGCACTGCGGAACACGAGAGGGGAAAGAAAAGTGTATTGACCAGGTGCAGCTGCGGAAAGCACCGGCGTCGCTAAAGCCACGCACAGATCGCCACAAGGCCCACCCTCCCCGCACGATGCAGAAGCTCTGTCGCCTTTCTTGCGCGGGATCGTGCGCAGGGTTACATCTGGCCTAGGGTTCCAGGTGCTCTTCGAGCCTGGAGGTGCTACTCGGGGATAATTGTCTGGAGTCTGCTAAAAGCGCCGGTACCTGTGTGATGTTATTTGTATACATACATTTGTAACCGAACATGTACTTTTTTGCTTTTTGCTATTGTGCCCGTGTCACTATGTTGCTGGCTTTGCTTCAAGGACAGGTGCGAGGCAGACACCAGGGAGAACAGCAGACGGGCTTTCCCATCTGCTTGGAGAAAACTACGGACGCTGGGCCAGACTGGCATGTACTCACAGCTTGTAGTTATGAGGCGTCTGCCGATCAAGAACCCCGAATCCCAACGCCCTGAACTCTAAACTTTGCATCCTTCGGTACATCTCTTGTGTCAGAGTGTAGCTTGAGCACGAGACATGGCGGTCTAGCAGCAGCCTCCGGCAAAACCGTCGGGAACCTGCAACTGCTCCCAAGTGACAATTCAAGCTTCCACACCGAGCAGCTCCCAGCATGTTGCTTTCTGATACGCATCCTAGAGGTTTCTTCGACAGCTGCTCAGAGTGAATCTCTCCCAAAATCTTAAATCACGAGGGCTTCAACATGTACACTGCCCGCAGAAGCCGAAGCGTGGACTCGCAGTCCAGGGAGGTCGCATGCACCGCCGCTCAGCGCAAGGCGCATGATCCTGGAGGAAACCTGCCCAACCTGACGACTCTGCCATGGAAGCTCAAGCACAGGGCATACGACCATTTTATACTGATGTTCCGACAGCATTGTGCGTATAAGAGACACAGAAGCGTCTGATGGAAAGACTATAATATAAGCTGAAAGCAAGCCAGAGTGCGAGCACCACATCATGCCTTCTTGGCCCAGTCGAAGCTGGCCGCCTGCACGGAGGACTCGCCGGTGTAACCGAGCTTCTCCTTCCAGCCAGGGTAGATCTGGTCGGCGTCCTTCTGGAAGGTGAGGAAGGCACCCTTGATCTCCTCGTGCGTCTTGGCGAACTCGATGACGCCATCGCTCAGGCTGATGTTGCCGTACTGTCCGGCCTTCCAGGCCTTCCAGGCCTCCTCGCCCTGTCGGCAGGAGATGGCACCCGGCTTGGGTCCGTCCTTGTGGCCGAAGGAGCCACCACCGGCGGTGAGGATCACGTTGGAGTGGCCCAAATTCTCGAAGAAGGCCGGCAGGCGGAGCGCGTTCATGCCACCAGAGATGATGGGAGTGGTCTGCTTCATACCCTCCCACTCCTGGTGGTAGTATGGGCCGTCGGCCTCATCGTCCTGGAGCATGAAGGCGATGTTCTTGTCGGAGGCATCGCCCTCCATTTTGCCGAAGCTCATGGTGCCGGTGTGGATGCCGGACGCACCGATAACTCGGGAGATCTTCGTGTGCACGAAGGCGGTGTAGCCGCGCTGGGTCTGGGGGCTGGTCACGGATCCATGTCCGGCTCGGTGGTAGTGCAAGAACTGCTTGGGGAAGTTGCGGCGGGCGCAGGTCACAGCGGTGCCTCCTGCGACGTATCCATCCACCAAGAATGCGCAGTTCTCGGACAAAGGTCCGAACTGGGACAGGCAGTACTTGCCGCGAGCGATCATCTCGTTAGGATCATCCGCGGTGATGTTGGCCGAAAACAGCTTGCCAACACCGGTCTCCTTGATGCAGGCCCTCATGGCCTTCACAACCTCGGGGATGCACTCGTTCATCTGGCAGAACACCTGGTTGCCCTGAGGCTCATCCTGGGCTGCGGAGGGGCTTCAACAACCCATCTACTCCCGTCAAATCATGGAATCGCTATCGGGTTCTGCAATGTTGGGAGATTGGTCTTTGATTCTCGTCTGGGTCTGGGATTGGTCCGGGCTTTGGCTGGGTCTTAGCAGGAAAGTAGCCGATGCCATGGGGTGAATTGCTTGCATAAGGGCCTGTTTCCTCGTCTTTCGGGCCGTCTAGGGTTTAGTTTTTTTTTTTTTTTTGATGCCTCTTTTCCATCCCGCCACAAGGTTGGTTAAGAATGCCTGTCAGGCTGAGGCATGTGTGCCAGCTAGTTTCGACGGGGATTCACCACCTACCACCACAGCTTCCCATAATATCAATCCTGGCAGTCCCAGAAGCTGAGCACACAAAAGACAACCCTACCATAGTCCAGCACTGGGCCAGCACTCTGTACCGGTAGGTGCAGTTCATGACTCGCAGACACTCTACACATCCATGCCACTTCGCAACGAACCACACACTACCAGATTTACAATCCTCGAAGGTACACCCAGTACTCGACTCACCCCCGAAGTTGGCCGGATGTGTACTGCAGCCCTTGTCTCGCATGTGCCAGTCACACACCCTACAGTGGTACCCCAGCGAAGTGCAGAGTAGTTCAGGACTGGAAGCAAAGTGCAGAACAATTCCGGACTGGGACAAGAGGGCACAGCCCTAGGTTCCACTCACTCACTAGCTGCCCACTCACTCGGATCAGTCTCCGCTGTCCGTCCGGTCACTTCGTCGCCTCCGCACCCCACCTTGTTCGCGGTCAGCTTCACGAGCCACTTCGGCCGCGCGACGGCGGTCCCAACACAGCTGCGCAAGCTCGCGGAGCATGCCCGGGCCCCACAACTCGAGCACAGCCGCGTCTGAGATGTCACCTGCCATGAACATCTGGTCAACATGGTGACGAGGTTGGTCACGCAGCCATTGGAGGTGCTCGGACTGTTGTCCACTGCCGAGAGCCACGGCATCCCCCGTTGGGTGTGAAGGCGCACCCGCTTTGCGCTCCCGCCGCTTCCGTTGCACCAGTCTGTTGACAAGTGCCTGACCCCCTGCGTCCGCCAACTGCTGGCTAGTTACCTTCCCCTGGTCCCACAAGCGGTACAGATCTTCATCTCCCATTCGCTGTAGTGCTCGGAACTGTTCCATTTCTTCCGAGATACGGAAAAGCTCCTCGGCATCGCTCTCGTCTGCCACTGTTTGTTGTGGTTCCGGTGCATATGGTGCACGCGGCTCCACATCCATCGTATCATAGGGCTCCGTGTCCTGTTGGGCTGGATCTGCCAGCACTTCACCAGTCACGTTGTGCTGGTACTGCTGGCGTTCTGGTTCTTGAGGGGCGGTTCCTTCGCGAGGTTCTGGCAGGGCTCGAAGGGCACTTCCAGCATCTCCTGCAGCTCCGGGTAGCTCACCTTGTCGGGCACTGTCTCGTGGCACAGGGGCGGCCTCTCCCTCCTCCTCCTCCTGTTCCGGCTTCAGCCTCTCGGCGAGCGTCCTCTGCCCGGCTCCGCCATTTTGCGTGTCGGCGGTCGCGGGCCAGGTTGGCCGCTCTTCGCCATTCTTGTTCCTCCTCCCATGCACGGTTTCGGTACCGCAGCAGGGCCGAGAAACCAAAGGCTCGCACTATGTCTCGATCGTTTTCCAAGCTTTGGAGCCACCTCTGGTACATCAACTCCTGGTCCCCCGATGTGGGGTCACCCGGCCTCCATTGCTCTAGCCTTTCCTCTTCCAGTCGGATGGCCTCCATCGCCTCATTGGCTTCTACCGGTCGTCCTGCATGGAGGTACTCATCTGGCCCTTGCTCCATCACTGCCTTGATCGCCAGCCGGACCTCTTCCCCTTCAGCCACAGCCAGGGTCATGCTGCGCCCGCCCTCGGTCTTGGACCCCGCCTCAATTTCCAAGCGCATTCTCTTTGGGCCCGGTCTCACTGACCAGCCCGCCATGGCCGCCACTTGGTTCCGCTCGCCCCTCTGGTCGTCCTCCCTCGTCTTGGCCAGGTGCCACTCGTACAGCTCGGCGTCCTGGTCATTCTGGTTCGGCTGGGTCTCTTCGTCAACCATCACCGGCAGGTCCGTGGAAGATCCAGCCCCCGCCGCGAATGTACTCCTCGTAAGACGTCGTTCCCATGTAGTGACCCATTCCTGCTCCTCACTCTTGCACACAGTCTCAGCCTCCGGGTCCGCATGCGCCAAGAGAACCGCACAGACCGAGTCGTAATCCTCCACACGGTGCGCCTGCCCTTGTAGCCTCCTCAGTAGTGCTTTCGAAAGCCGAGCTGCCTTGGGGTCCTCGTACTGCTGGAGCTCTGCGTGCAGCGACTGTTGTCCGGTCTCTGCATGGCGAGGTCCCCGGAGTACCCCAGTCACTGTGCGCTGCATGAAGGCGGTGACTTCAATGGCGCCATCTCCTTCACTTCCGGGGTCTCCGCCTTCATGGTCGCGGGAGCTTCCTGTTCGGTCCGGTGCATCGGCCGCTTCCGTGTCTCTCTGCCTTTTCCGTTTTCTGTTTTCCCGTACCGTCTCGACAATGTCCCTGAGCGTTACCGTGAGGTCCCCCAGGATCTGGCCCAGGTCACCTTCAAAGGCCTCGAAGTCCTCATCGTCCTGGTCCATGAGCGTCTCGATGATATTGTTGTACACGTAGCTTGGTAGGATGCCTTCCTGCGAGATCGACGTGACAGTGAGAGTGGATTCTTCGGTGAGTCCAAGGAGCAGTTGCCATACTTGGTATGGCGTGAGTTCCGCCGCCTCCTCTCGGGGGTTCGCCGCGGGGCTACACTCCTCCACTTCCACTTCCACTGTGTCGCTCACCTCCTCGTCAAGTTGTCTCCACGGCACCGACCCTTTTGCCAAGGGCCTTCGCGACAATAGCGCCCGCCCCGGGCCTGGCACCAGGCGCACTGTGGACTCGGACCTGCAACTAGGCGGTGTCTTATCCCAGATCTCCTTGACTTGACCGTCTCGGCTCTTGGCTTGCCTTTCTTTTTGATGAGCCACCGTTTGGCGACCATGGACACCTCATCCTCCACAGCGTCGCTTTCCGTCGGGGACTCTAGCCCCGCCAGCCAGAGGATCACAGCCGAGGCACTCCGGGCCCATCGGAGCTGAGTCATCGAGCAGGGGCCGACGTCTCGGCCCATTGGACTAGCATCGGCGGTATCCCCAGCACAGTGCTGCATAGAGGCAGCGGGCCTGGCCTCGGGCTGCCTGGAGCTGAGTGATTCGCCTAACCTCCGCCATCATGCCAACGACGTCGTGGTCCGCCTCCCAGGCATCAGTCAGGTCCTCCGCGAGCTCCTCGGCGATGCCTTCATTCCACACTTGGTCACTTGTATCCTCCTCTGACCCTTCACACGTGGGCACTTGCAGCTGTTGGGCCGGCAATCTGCGCGGGCTCCTGCACCGCTCTGCCCGAGGATCATGTAGAGGGCGAGGCTCGCTGGCCGGTTTTTGAGCTTGCTGTGGGGTTTCATGGCATCGGCGATGGTGCCCATCTCCACTCCCATTGCTGCTGGCTTGAGCCTCTCCTCGAGCTTCTGGTGGATCGTGCACTTGTGGGGCTCCGTGGTCGGGTCGATGCGGTCCTCGTGGGGGTCCGCAATCAACACCAAGTAGCCCCTGTGCATGGTGTACTTGCGGTGAATCGTGTAATGTAAGGTGTGCACCTCCAGGCCGATGTCCATTCGGACCCACCTCGCCGCTCGTAGTATTACAGCTTTCTGTTGCACCACAGGCCTCTGGTAGGTCTTGTACTGCTGGGGCTCCTCGTTCATGCCGATGCGTTCCCGGTGAATCTTGTACTGCTGGGGCTCCGCGGTCAGGTCGATGCGGTTTACGTGGGGCTTCACTGTCAACACCTAGTGGTTCGTGTGCTGCATGTGCATGCGGAGAATCGCGTAATGCAGAGTGTGCGCCTCCTGGCCGATGACCTTCTAGAGTCGCTGAGCCATCACGGGTCAGCATGCCCCCAGCCATCAGGAGCCAAAGGAGGCACTGCATCAGGCCTGCCTCGTTTTGCGACAGGGCTTACACCTGCCTGCCCACGCTGCAGAGGATGCGTCACTAGGGCTTTCGCTTGAGGTAGGCACATCAATCGAGCGCATGCATGGGCGCTTGTACTGTCCCGAAGTATCACTATGGCACTGGAAGATAAAGAAGGGTCTGCAAGCTGGGTCTGCATGTGCTCCGCAAAGAAATTCAAGATGCAAGCATGTCGGACTCCAAACGTCGGAGTAGATCATGATATGCCAGGTAAAAACTAGGTTGTGTAGTCGGTTGTAATGTAATGCTGTGTGTGCGCTGTGCAACAGGTTCTGGTTTTGGGCACATGGCTCAGGCAGGATAGGGGTAGCTCGGGCATAGGCTTGGGCCGGGGGCGCCCAGCACACTCACCAATGTCATTCGGTTCACTTTCCGCTGGGGTTCCCAGCCATCCACCTATACCTCTAAGGCCAACTGCCTGCCACTGCACCATGCCACATCCTCTCTCCTCAACCACTCCGCCTCCTGCTGCTTCCACGCGGCCGGGTCTTGGGCGAGTTCACGCCAATCCGGCCTGCTCGCAGCTCGGTTGAGCTTGGCCTCCGCATTCATAAGATAGGGGAAGAACTGCGCCGGGTGGCGCACTCCATCTCTCTCCCGCTGCTGTTCTCTCCACCACCGTAGCGGTCTGTAGTAGCACATCACCGCGCTTGGAGGCGGCTGGTCCCTGCTCGTTGCTCTGGCTACATGGCCCATGTATCCCCAGTAACGCTTCAAGGCCTTGGTCCCCCATCGCTCCACTCCACTGTTGACCAGGAGCTGCCTCGCGCCTCGGACTGACCTGGACTTGAACTCCAGCCAGGTCTCATTCGTTCTCCTCTTGAACCCCGCCATCCGGATGACCAGGTCGAGTTGGAAGGAGTTCACAGCTCCGAGCCCTTGCGAGGTTGGCGGGACCGCTGCAGCGTACCACAGGGCCGCCCCACCCACAGCCATGTCGAGGGTCTGTAGGCGCTTTTTCAAGGGAGACCGGCTGCTGGCGAAGTACTTCTTCCGTGCCTTGGCGAGGCCAGAATCCATGAGACCGGCTGGTTTCAGGGGAACCTGTAGCTGAATGCCCATCACATGAAGCGCCGCCAAAGGCTTAATTTCCTGACCGTCTAGCACTAGTGGGCCTTTGTCCCTCACAAAGGGGCTGGCATAGTACGCCGTCTTCCCTGGGTTTACCTGGAGCCCCCACTCCGCCAAGGCTGCTCTGAGCAGGTCGTACTTACAGGTCATGTCCCCTTTGCTCGCACTCCACAGGAGGCTGTCGTCCATGAAGAGGATCTCCCCCAGCCGCAAGTCCGGGAGGGGCGGCGCAGTTCGCGGCCAGCGCCCGGTCTGCTGGGCCCTGTGAAGCGCTTCCTCCATTACTATGGCGAAGACAAAAGGAGATTCCACAGCCCCCTGCCGAATTCCGCGTGTTTGGCTGACACGTCCGACTCCCCACGGAGTCCTGACGTGAGCTACACCTGGGGCCAGTAACTTTTTCCAACACTGGAACTCCCTGTGCATGACGGGAGGCAGCTTTTCGGCCAGAAATTGCAACACCTTGGACCGGTTGAGTGTATCATACGCCTTGGCGATATCTAGCTTTAAGAAATGCAGCCCCGATTTCCACTCGGTCTCAAGTTGGAAAAGTCTCACAGCCGTAAACACGTAGTCGGCAGTTTGGCGCCCACAGTGAGCACACTGTTCCGGCCCAGTCGGTCGCAGCCAAGCTCTCGTTCGGCCGAGTAGCATGCTGCCAAAGATTTTGCCCACAACAGATCCGAGGCTAATAGGCCGCAGATCCGCCGGCGACGCCGGTTGCGTCTTTTTCGGCAGGAGTGTCACAATGGTGTGGAGCCACTCTTCCGGTATGTCGCACCCTAACCGGATACTTTCCATCCAGAACAGCAAGGACTGTTCCGAGACTGGGTCCCGGATCAGCTCCTTGAGCAGCTCATAGGATGTCAGGTCTAGGCCCACAGCCCTGTTGTTTCGCCCCTTTCCCACTGCTGCTCTCAGCTCTTCGACTCCGAAGGGCTCCGGATTTGGGCATTCTTTCTGCCATTCCACCTCTGTCTGGGGCTGCGTCTCTCGGAATATCTGTTGGAAGTGATCTATCGTCCACTTTAGGGGCTCCTTTCCTGCTTGGTGGGCCTCCTCCGATAGGTGCACCTCCCATCCCACTTTGTCATCACCGAGCGACTTGAGCTCCCGGAAGTCCTTCCAGCCCTTCTGTGATGCCACATACACCTTGTTTGTCCACCATTGCTCCCTTGCCCGCCGCCTGGCTTTGTGGGCCATCTTCCATGCTAGCTCCCCTCCATCACGCTTGGCCTCTTTGTATAACCGCTTAACCTCGGGTGGGTCATGGTATCTCTGTCCTGGCCTGGGTGCCGTGTGTTGCTGGGCAAGTTGTTGGATCGTCTCCAGCTCGGCCACCACAAGGTCCGCCCGCCCGGTCGTGGGCATCACCTGGCCCCGGTCATTGGCTTCACCTGTCCACCTCAGCTTCATGTTGAAGTCCGCTAGGAGGATCACCGGATGGGGCGAAGACGGCTTGTGAGCTTGAGAAGTTGTTGCGCCTCCTCCGCTGCCCGGTCGTCCGTGATCCCTGTGCTGAAGCGGGCGGAGCCAATCCAGTATTCCCTGCCCGTCTCCTTGTGCTTCAACCTGAGCCACACTCCAAGCTGGTCAGCGGTCAGCCTTCCGTCTCGTACAGGAAAAATGCCTGGTGTCGAAGGCCACTCCATTTCCCCTCCACTGCAGGAGGTCATCGCGGTACTGCACAAGCGTGCGGTGCTGGTGCACCGATGTGTGCCACCCTGCCCTGCGTCTGGGTAACTCCTGCAGGGCCACCACCACTGGTAGTTGGTCTCGTTCAGAACCAGAATCCGCAGCACTCAAAGCATCGTCTATGGGTTTGCCACCGATGTTCCATGATTGTAAAAGAAAGAACAAAGTAGGGTCGGGCCCAAATTTTCTGGCTCTACCCTCAGTGCTTACTTCAAAAGGTCGTTCGGGGTTTCTGTACAGTGGCCCCTGGCTGTCCGCCTCAGCATCCCCACGCCTCTGGCATGGCGACCCTTTTGGGGCCCCCCTAACTACTGCATGCACACAGCCATCAGCCAATTGCCCGCTCTCCGCCTCGGGCTCGGACTCGAGGTCTCACTCCTGCATAAGCGCCTCCCACCTGTCCTGCAGCGCCTGTTCTCCACATGCAAGGAGCCGGGCCACTGTGGCGATGTCCACCCAGGTCTGTGGCGCTCTCCCCGATGACACCTTGACGTCGGCTGGCTTTGACCTGACAGCGCTGCCGACCAATCGAGCCCTTAGCCACACAGACCCGGCCGCCCATTCCACATCAAGATGCTGTCGCTCCTGCTCTGCCACTTCCAGGATCATCCGCTTGAGTTTGCCCGCGTGGGCAGATCGCACCCTCTCCAGCTTGGTTTTGCTAGGCGCGGCCCAGAGCACCTTGCCATGCTCCATACTGGCCCCTGCCATCTGTGCACCCCGGACGGCCTGGACGACCTCAACCACCCTTCGCTTCAGGTCTTGGTCGGACTCACCTTCTACCAGTCGAAGAAGCCCCAGTGCATTTCCTCGCCTTGGCCCAGTCGTGAAGATATCTGCAAAGGACTTAAGAACGTCGATCTTCTGGAGCATCTCGCGCAACTCTGGCAGCAACTGGTCCCGGTGTGTATCCGCCCCCCAGCCGCCAAAGACAACGACATTCCGCTTCTTGTCGTCCCCTCCTTGGGCATCTCCCTGGGCAAGCGCCCTGCTCTCCAGGGCTGCGAGTCGTTCCTCAAATTTGTCGCCTTGGTTCCGCAGCTGTTCTATGTAGTCGCCCTGTCGATTGATCTCCTTCTTGAGGGTCTTGAGTTCCGAAGCCGTGGCCATCTTCAGCTCGCCCACCGCATCCTTGATCTGCTGCGCCTGGTGCTGCTGGAGTTGGGCACTCTGCGCCTCCAACAGTCGCTGGAGATCCGCAATGGTGACCGCCTTGTCACCGCCTTTCCGCGCCGAGCTCACGTCGCCCGCACCTCCCACCCGGGGCTCGGCCGCAAGGTCCTCATCGTTTGTGTCAGGCAGCCCGGGAAGGCGGGTAGCATCCGCAGGATGGCGCGCCATGTCCAGCTTCACAGGCAGAGGTCTCTAAGCTTCGGCGCTTGTTCTTAACCCCCGGATTGTCATTCGATTGTAGGTGATCACGGGTAGGGGTTGGCTCTTGGCTCAAGCGTTTACGTTTTTAGCATGATTTTAGCATCGCCGGGCGAGATACGCTTTGACTCCATGGGGCTCGTTTCGGTTCCAACATTTAGGTTAAGGGCCAGGGTTTATTTAGGGTTTAGGGTTTGACAAAACACCCGGTTGCCCTGCGGCTCATCCTGGCATGGAGGCTCTTCAACGACCCCTTTCTTTGCTCCCTTTATGCTAACCTTTCAAGTTAGTTAAGTCTTTTGTTCCCACGCGAGCTAGGATCGTTCTTGATGAAGTCACCGCCCCGTGAAAACCTTGGTGAACCGACGCCACGCCGAGGACGACGACGCCGGTGGCCCAGAGGGCCTAGGCCAGGAGCTGCTCGCGGACGGCCGCAAGGTGACGCAGAGCACCAAACGACCATTGCCGCCAACACCACGATGGCCAGCCAGCCGTGAAGCCATCTCCGCGCTGCAAGCTTGCATCACGAGGAAACCCTGAGCACTGCCAGCACAAGTGGTGCCATGAAGGCACAACCTGCTGCGCACACCACGGACAATGAGCCACCTGACACTCATTGCGAGACCCATACCATGCAGTCGACAAGGCAGCTCCGGTGAGGACCGCCTTCTCATGCTTAGATGCGCGCTGATACACACGAGCCGTGGCTTTGGCCCGATGAGCATCATACGGTATCCCTTGAAGCATCAAGCTGTCTCTACGCGACTGAGCCTGGAAAGCATCCCACTGTTGCCTGCGCCAGCTCTCACGAAGGCTGTGAAGGCCGCGAGCCCTCGCTTGAGGAGAAATGCCCGTGAACGACAAAACGCCCTCAGAAGGATGAGACCACTGCCAAGGGCCCACCTCCTGCCAGTCCAAGTCAGAGAAAAAGGACCGAACTCTGCCAAGCCAGGTGCCCCGCAACAGTCCCGCAACGGTCGACGAGTCCAACGTGGTGGAACTCCAGCAGCGCAAGCCCTCCACAACGCAGCATGCTGTCCAGCAACAAACCACGCGTCACTGTAGTGACCCTCAAGCAGCTTGAGCAACGGCACCGCACTCTGTTGCTGACACTCAGCGCACCTCCGGAAGGCCGCCCAGTAGGAAGGCACTCGCTTGCCCAACGTGTGAAAGTTGAGCCACCCCCACGTGTACTTTGGCGTGACGAGCTGCTTGAAGAAGAAGCGCTTGCGGCCAGCCGACAACGGAGCCCACGAAAGTCGTTGCGCCACTTGCAGTGCTGCCTGTGCACGCTCACGCGCTGTAGGACGGTCCGCTTGCCCGCTACGTTGTCCGACGTCCACTCCGAGAGCCCGTGCAGTAACAGCCTCAGCTTGCGGCTTGCGCCGCTGCAGCACACAGCGCTGAGCAGCCGTCCTGGGAACGACGTGGAGCTTCCTCTGGTTCTCGACAAGACCCAATCGCCCGGACCATCTCTCAGCGTAGTCCACCGCGTCCAAGACGATTTGAGGATCATGGCCCGCGATGCTCCTGTCATCGACGAAGAAGCTGAGCTGGAGCATCGGGTAAGTGCGCAGCAAGCCCTTGGCCACCGAACTCAAGCAAGCAAGCATCGCCAAAGGACTGTAAGCGTCCCCTTCCGGGATCGACGCTCGCACGAGCGACGGAGTCTCAGCAACCTGCGTCCTCCACAGCAGCCAGCGCCGTTGCTGACCCCAGACTTGTCTGAGCCAACAACCGAGGCCACGCGGCAAGCCTAAATGCAGAAGCATATCAACCGCTTCGTTCGGCACCACATGATCGAAAGCCTTCTGCAGGTCAAGGCTGGCAAGCATGTTCTGCCCTGTCAAGACAGAGTCTTCAAGCTGCGCAAGGGCCGCAGCCGTGTCTCTGCCAGCGACGGCTCCATGACAACAGGCTGGAATCCACTGCAAGAGCCACCTCCGCATGGCCGGCCTGCGAACAACAGCAGATCCCGCCAAGCGCCAAGTAGCGCACATGAGCGCTATGGGCCGAAGCTGTCCCACGTCAGACTCCTGACCTCGGACCTTGGGCAGATGGACTTGGGCCATCTCGGACCACGTAGTAGGCACCAGGCCCGCAGAAAAGGCACGGTTGAGCAGGCTCGCCAAGTCCTCAAACGCAGCTTCAGGGGCAAAGCGAAGCTCAGTCGGCGTCCAACCGGACGGCCCTGCAGCAACAGCACTCGACGACCTCGCGGCCTGAAGGAGCTCAGCAGCGGAAAAATCACTCCAGTCAAGGGCCCTTGGCGGATTGGGCCACTCCTGAACCCACTCCTGAAAGATGCTCCCGGGGGCTGGCTGGGGCCGATCCCAGATGTCTTGCCAGAAATCACGCAGCATGGCCACAGCCTCAGCGTCATGGCTGGCCTTGCGCAGCCCGCTTTTGACGGTGTGAGGTGTAGCACCAACAGCACGCTTGAGCCACGACCTAGCATACTTATCGTCAGTGCGGATCCGCTCTTTCCACTCCTTGAGTCGAGTGGCCTCCTCGGTTGCAGCAAGATCAGACAAAGCAGCCTCCGCGACTCCGCGACAGTCAGGAGCCTAGCTGGGTCGGCATCGAAAGGAAGATGCCTCGGCCAGTTGCGCCTCACCTTGCGGAGCAGCACAGTGCGCTCGGCCTCGCCAGCACGACGGAGCTCTCTAAGCCTGCCCACCACGTTAGCGAGGCGCCGGAACTGGAAAGAGCCTGGGACCACCCAAGCGCCCAACTCGCCCTTTTCAATGCGCACAGCCGGGGAGCCCTTGCGTCTAGTATGCCGCGGGTCATTACGAACGCCCGCCTCAGCAGCGACGGTGGCGAACGCATGCTCGAGCTTTCCACACCACTGCTTCCATTGCCGATCGAGCTCAGCCTGAGTAGTCACAAGAGGCCAATCCTGAGCATCACCATAAGCACGAGCAAGGGCTTGTCGCCACTCATCGGCTTTCCATGCTCGGGGTTGCAGGTAAGAACGACAGGGCTGCAGCAAGGTCGCAGGGCCGCCACGTAAGGTCAACCCTAGCCGCCCTAGCCTAAACCAAACCGCCTTATGATCGGAAAGGACAACCGTATCCAACCAGGAGGTGCCGCCAGAGAGGGCAACAGGCTGCGCTCCAACACCTTGCGCCGGTATCACCTGGGCAAAATCAATGCAGCGGTCGGAGTCCCAGCGAGTGGACAAGAAGCGGTCCTCCTGCGACGGCGCATAGATCTCAACACCCTCAGTTTCAACAAGGTGGCCCTCACCGGGAAGGTGGTTAAATTCCCCAAAAGCGACAACAGGGTAGCCAGCAGTGGCAAGAGGGGTTGTGCCAGACCTTCTCTCAGAGCAAAGGCCGGTCGCTGCCAGAGACCACAGAAGCGCCAGCAGCCGCACTGAAGAGCAACATACTCCCCTTCCTCAACGCAATCAAGTAACCCGGAAGGCCATGCCGGAGCAGCACCGCGAGCCCGCCATGGACACTGCGCCTGCCCAAAGCATCAAGCCCAGCCTTGGCCGATGTGGCCCAACACCGAAAACCAAATTGATCACAGCGGCGGCTGAAAGCATCCAACTGTTGCCCATGAAGCCTCGTTTCCTGGATCACCAGCAGATCGGGGCACAAGGAGTGACCGGCTCCGTTTGCATTGATGGTGCAGCATCGCAGAGGTCCCGGGTTGGGCTCAACACCCTCCTGGCTTAGATCACGGATCCAGGCCTCAAAGGCACGACCACGGGACCACAGGCCTAAACCCCAAGGAAAGGAAAGGGAGGAGACCAGGGGCCTAAACGGCGAAAGGGAAGCTAGCGGGAAGCGGGCAGGCAGCAGGGTGCCGAAAGAGGCCTGAGCACGGGCCTGGATGAGGCTCGATGTTCTCTTTCGTTAGATCTCGGACCCGTTTGGTGCAGCACTCTTGCAGAGGCGAGCACGCTCGAATCTGGTCAGACTCCACGTCTCGGCGAAGGCCTTACGCCTGGTACGGCTGGCCCCCTTCCACATCTTCCGCATGGATTTGCGGTCAAGGGCCTTGCGGCGCGCAGACTGCCCAGCACACCTGCCCAGACTAGTAGCAGCCGTAAGGTGGTTCGGCGAACCCCAGACTTGCAAGCACTTACGACAGGCCCACACAGAGAACTCACGCGAGGCAGCAGTCCTAGGAACATAGCAGACCTCGTGGCCCAAACACTGCAACTTTCGAGCAGGAACTTCCGCTCGTCGACAAGCCGCCACGCAGTGCGCCAGACCTTGTGCAGTACGAGTGCCGTGGTCAGCGGCCCCCATGGAGAAAAGCAACACCTTGTTGGCATCATGGACCGTACGCCCCGGATGCCAGCGCTCCAAGTGTCGTTGTATGGAGAGCGTGCACGTCACGCTAGGCAGAGAAAAAAGAACTTCCTGACAGAGCCCGCACTGCCACCCACCTTTGACTACAGTACCCGGCTGGGCATCAACCCATTTTGCGCGATCTGGCCACCTGACCCGGGTGCACACGCTTCATGTGCTTATACTTCGCATTGGCAACCTGCCGAGGAGTGCCACGTGCAATCCACCCACACAGCTCGCACGGCCAACTTGTTTCACCAGCCTCGCCCTGAGCCGGCTGTTCAGAAGCCTGTTGGGCAGCACATCTCGGCACAGCAGCCGAAGCCGGCCTGCTCGGGCGGTCCTCGATCACATGCTTCACCGAATAACGCGACTTCGACTTGGCCCTACCGACAGAGGTTGCCGACCCGGCCTTAGAACCAACCCGTCCAAGGCCAGAGCACTCCGACCTGGCAGGCAGCCAAGCACGTGCCTTTGACAACCGACTCGTTTTCGAAGAAGCTGAAGCACTTGGCGGCGGAAGCCAGCAAGGTTTGGCCTTGTGATCGACGGCCGGCTTCCCTCTGCACTGCTCCTCTGCACCGCTGAGCAAGAAGAAGGCCTGGAGGAACCCGAGGAAGAAGAGGCCGGCAGCCAACCACCTCCTCTAGCAAAAGTGCCTCCTCGTGCGACCATGCCAGACGAGTACTTGACCCCATTGCGCTAAGCCGTGGGTACCTTCAGGCTCCCCGGATCTATTAGCCGATAGTGACCTCCATAGAACCAGCCCAGCACATGCCTCGCCACGCCCAAAGACGATTGGGCCGCTCCATTCCTCCCCCATCCATTGGTGGAGGATGATGGTCATCTTCAGCCTCATCGCCGCAATGTTGAGGGTGTCGCCACAAAGCCATCGTTGGTCGCGAGCAAGGCTCCCGACCCATTCAGGATACGAAGTCGGCACCGGTCCTCCTTCTGTCTCCGGAGTCCACTTGGCGTCAGGTCGCCAGGTGTCTGCCCCCAACGTTTTATGAGCCACTGCCTGGGCCACTTCGTGTGAAGTCACCGCCCCGTGGCCATCTTGTTGACGAACGACACAAGTGTCGAGACGCCGGGGGCCTAACGAAGTAGGCACCCGGGGGTGCACCGAACCGCAGAGAGATGCTCCAAAGCATCCAGAGACCAACGACGCCCTGCCTTGTGAGGCCATCCGAGGCGCCCAGCCAAAGAATCATGCCATGCACGCGGCCTGGTGACCGAAAAGCCGGAGCACCGCCAGCACCAATGCATCCAGGAAGCAGCTGCACCATCACGACAGTAGCTGCAGCGGGGCACAACGCCCGAACGACCCTGACGGAAGGCCTCAGAAGCGGCAGCTCCAACAAGGACAGCACGCTGGTGAGAAGAGCGCTTCTGGTACGTACGTTAAAGAGACGAACTTAACCCGTCCTCGTCGTAGACAACGTCACCACATGCCCCCAGGAAGCGACTGTCCCGTCTGGAAAAAAGCATGAACGCAAGGAAGCGCTGTCGGCGCCACGATTCGCGCACCAGGTGCAAGCCACGTTTTCGGTCTCCACGTGCGAAAGAAAGATCGCCCAAAGCAGCGTGGTTCCAGTGCCAGGGTCCACGCTCGTCCCAGCCAAGTTCACGAAGGAAAGCCCTGACACGTCCCTGCCACGTGCCACGAAGAGGACGGAAGGTCCATCTCTGCCGAAACCCTGCCTGCCAAACTCTCCACAAGTTGGAAAGGCGCACCGCCACAGAAGACCGAATCACTGTGATGACCTTCCAGAAGCCGCTGCAAGTCTGCGGAGCCAATGGCATGGCCAAACATTGCTTGCTTGAAAGCCATCCAGTAGGCTTGACAGTCCTGACCCTTACGCTTCCCAAGAGACCTAAAACTAAGCCAACCCCAGGAGAACTTAGACGAAACCAGCTGGTGCCACAGGCGCCTGCGCCGACAGAGCGAGACTGGGAGCCAACGCAGCCTGCGCCCACGGTACAAAGCCTGAGCTGCTCTGTCCCGCGCAGTAGGCAAGGTCGCTCGGTCCCGGCGCTGATGCAAGTCGATGCCCAGGACGCGGACAGTGTCCTTCACTTTTCCTGGCATGCGTCTGTTGAGCACCTCGCGCTGCTGCGGGTTGCGCGGGGGCAAGGACAATTTGTCCATGTTTTCTTGCAGGTGCAAACGCTGAGACCACTGAGTGGCCACCTGAACCGCATCTATGTGAGCCTCGCCACAATTAAGGGGCAGACAGGGCACGATCGTCGATAAAGAAAACGAAGCCCGCACTGAAGGAGCCGATGCTGCAAGATCTCTGGCCACACTTGACAGGTAGGCTAACATTCCAAGCGGAAACATTGGGTCTCCTTGCGGCAAAGAGCTGCCAGCCCAGCACGGCTGAGTCGACACGGCACTGCGCCATGAAAGCCATCGGCGCTGCGAGGTCCATAAGGATCGCAAGCAGTTGACCATCTGAGTGGGCATGCCGAGGAAGGCAAACATTGAGCAGAGTTCGGCAGGGTCAACAAAGTCGAACGCTTTCGCAAGGTCAGCTATATGGCATGTTGCCCATCCATCACCTCTTCATCCATGGACAAGATGGCCGTGAAGACATCCTTGCCTGAGACCCCTCCATGAAAAGAAGGAGGAACCCAGCCCTGAATCCAGGATCGGGTAGAAGCACGACCGTTACAGGCCCTGGAGACCAAACGCCAAACAGCGCACTGGATAGTGATGGGCCGAACCTTGTCCAGTCTCACTTCGGTAGCAGCCTCCTTGGGGAGATGGACCTGCAGAGCCTCACTCGAGACGGACCGAACTCAACGGCCTGGTTCAGGACGTCCGCAAGCTCCTTGTAGGCAGCTAAAGGAGCATCACGAAGCTCAGAAGGGTACCAGCCCGACGGGCCGCAAGCAGTGCCAGAGCTCTGGGCAGCCGCTCGGAGCTCGGTGCCTCGAAACCTTGCCACTCAAGAGGTGCAGGAGCGGAGCGGCCAACCACTGGTTATCACTGGTTGAAGACGAAGCCTGGCGTCGGACGCGTCCGATGCCACACGTGCTGCCAGTAGTCCTGCAGAAACTAGTCACACGAAGCCTTGTGGTCACCGTCCAAGAGGGTCTGAGCCTCGACTTGGGCAGTGCGCTTAACCCACGCCCGACAGGAGGCCTCAGAGTTGCGAAGCCTAGCTTTCCAGTTCTGCAAACGGGTCCTTTCCTCAGCAGCAACAAGCGCTTGCAGAGAGCCCTCAGAGATGACAAGCTGCTGGGTCCGGTCCTCAGTCCACGGGAGAAAGGCCGGCCAACTATACGCCTGATGCGCGCTTCCAGGGCAGCAGAAGAGTGCTCGCCGCGGCGTGCTCGCTCACGAAGCCTGCCGACCAACTTAGAAAGTCGCCGAAAGCGAAACGACCCTGGCGCAGCGCTGGCACCCAACTTCCCAGAAGAGACACACTGAGCAAAGGAACCTTTAAGCCTAGGCCTACGGGGGTCGGGGGCTTTTTGCAGGCACACAGACAGCAAAGGCAGCTTCAAGTCTGGAACACCAAACTGACCACGCCGCGTCGAGCTGATCTTGGTTGCCAATGGTCCCGACAGGACCGGAGGTCCAAAGGCAGCAGCGACCTCGCGACGCCACTGCGCAGGCCGAGAGTCGTGCGGCAAGGCCTCAAAGTGGCGTTGTGACGCTGACGAACTAAAGGCAGATCCAACCCGACATGAACCGCACGATGATCAGAGAGCGCCAACTCATCAAGCCAAGCTCGCCCCTGAACGGGCGGCGCACGCTCCTGAAAATGAGAGGGCTGATCTTGACCAAGCACAAGAAGGTAGTCGATGCAACGATCCGACGACCATGGGGCGGGCAACAGCTCCCCATCCTGCTGAGCAGCAAAAAGGCTGCAGGCACAAGAGTCCAGGAGGGGGTTCTCGTTGAAGTCACCCAGCTCGGTCACAGGCCAACCAGCAGAACCAACGTCAACAAGGTACTGTCCCAGGCCACCAGCAGCAACGTGCTCAGGGCGCTGCCATAGGCCACAGATTCTAAGATTGTTGCACTGCAAAGTGATCGCCTCACCTTCAGCACAGCAAGTGTCAGAAACCTTGAAGGCCGGCAAAGAAGCTTTAACAGCGATCGCGAGGCCGCCGTTGACAGTTCGCCTGCCCAAGGAGTCGCGGCCAACACGGGCGGCGACGCTCCACGTGCGGTAACCTTGCTTCCTGCTCTCATGACCAAAGGCAACCAGATCATGCTCAGCAAGATGTGTCTCCTGCAACACCAAAACGTCACAGCCAGAGAGCTCGCGGAGAGCACGGAAGGACGACCCTGCACCATTGACGTTGCAGGTACAAAGGTGCAAGCGATGACCCGGCCCACTGTGCATAGAGCAAGCGCCGGGCCCCGGGTTAGGCTCGACGTCCCCATCCAGCGTGAGGTCTCGCTTCCAAGTGCCAGGACCCTTTACAAAGGCGGCGACGCTCAGCCGGACTCAAGGTCCAAGCCTCAGCGAAGGCCCTGCGCCGAACACTGGAAGCACCCTGCCACAGTTTCCTTAGGCACTTACGGTTTAAAGCTTTGTGTCGCGCCGTGCAGCAACAAGCCGGTCCGGCGTACGCCAGAAGTCGAGGCACTTACGGCAGGACCACACTGAAGCCTCCTGAGTAGCAGCTGTGTGAGGAACGTAGCAAACCTCGTGGCCCAAGCACTGCAGTCGCCAAAAAGAGGCCTCAGCCCGTCGACAAGCCGAAACACAGTGCGCAAGGCCCTGCGCAGTGCGGGGCCCATGGTCGGCAGCACCAAGCGAGAAAAGCAAAGCCTGTTGGCCTCACGCACAGTCCTTCCCGGATGCCATTGCTCCAAGTGTCGCTGGATGGACAAAGTCAGGGTAGTTCCAGGCAAAGGCGGGAGGATCTCACGACAAAGCCCGTACTGCCAGCCGCCCTTTACGGGACACCCGGCCGGCGGGTCTCCTCCCACTTGGCCTTGAACTTACGTGACCGAACAGCCTGACCTTTGTGAACCCGGCGCACGTGTCGGTACTTTGCAGTAGCAACCTGCCTTGCTGTGCCAAGGCCGATCCACCCACACAACTCACACGGCCAAGTCACCTCGGCAGCCTCAGCTCGAGCCTCACACCCTGAGGGGCCTGCCAGAGCCTCACCAGAAAAGGCCTTGCCCTTCCCACCTGCTTGTGAAGCTTGTGCAACAGAGCGTTGCGGGGTGCAGCAGCAACCTTGTCTGTAGACCGTGTCACGCTGCGGGCGCTCTTGGAGCCAGCTGACAAAACCTTAGAGCCTGAGGTGTCAACAAGAGCTGGGTGACCGAGCCTGGGCCAGCGCTGGAAGAAGCTTTCGCCGAAGCAAAGTCACTCAAGCAAGGCGAACGCGTTACACTGCGTGCGGCCCTGGAGCCTGCTGACAAAACCTTGGAGTCTGAGGTGCACTCCAAGCTGCCGCGAGCCGCAGACGACTCCCTTCGAACTTTCGCCACGAGCCCTTCGAAGGTACTCGAGCCAAGTTTCGTCACCAGCCTGGAGGCGGAGCTCCAACTGGGTCAGCGAAAAAGACAGAGTCAGCGTGGAACCCGAAGTTAGGTTGCCATTCCTACTGGCTTAAAATAATCATATCTGGCGCCATTAGTGTGCATTAGCGTGCGTTAGCGCCCGTCGTCCTGGGGCCTTCTGCAAAGCAACACTACACATCAAAAAAGAATGACCTGCTGGGGCACAATCCAATTCACAGCGAAGGATTGCCAAGCTAAGCTAGCAAACAAGCAAGTAATCAAGGATTGGCAGCCACATAAGCACAGATGCATGACATCCAGTCGTCGCAGCATTAAGAACATCCACACAAGTTCGCTCACACGGACTCGGATTCGGAAGTCGGCATCCTGTTTGCTCATTTCTCCCGTCTTTGAGCCAGTTTGAGCCTTCGAGCCAAACGATTAAGGGCTGGGGCTTAGGATTTAGGATGTATAGGGTTCGATTCTTGGACTTTAAGGCTGAAAGCAGGGCTCAACCGATTGAGCTTGAGAAATGAAGGGCTGTTGAATGCGATGCTTGTTCTGCGGCTTTCTTGGACCTCGCGGAGAGCGGTCGGAAGATACCGCCCGCACTCCCAGGTCCTCTCGAAGGGGTCCACCCACTCCGAGCCAGCAATCTCAATCGTTTTGTGCACAATGTTTCGAGCCCTCTGATCGCAGGCATAGGGCAGCAAACTCCACAATTTTCCCCGCTCTGACTCTGGTGGCTGCCCTGTCTTTACACAATGTCGTCTGTATCGCCAAGCAATGCCTCGGCTTCGGCCAATCGCTGCCGTTTGGCAGTGGGTTCAGCATCCTTGACAGCAGAAGCCTGGGTTTTCTGGGATTCCGCAATATTCGATGCTGCGGGTTTCAACTTCAGAAACCGCAGCTCATATTTGCGCTTCTGCCCTTTACACGGGCCTTCTTTCAACTCCACTTTGGCGTTGGAGCCGGCCAACAGAGCTATCACAACCCCTAGCTTCTGATCATAATTGTCCTTGTTTTTGAAAGCACTCGTAATCACTTCGCAGCCGACGACGATGTCATCAGCCGCTGTGGCCTTCGTCTTTTGTTCCTTCTCCGGCTCCTTATGGTTGAGATTTCAGGCTAGCTCAAACGCAACATTCAACCCAACTCTTTCGCAACCGCTAATCGGCAACACAAACGTCAGGCAACACACCTCGGGCCTGACATTGAGCCGACTCCTTGTGCACGGGATCAGCAACTGGCTTCACCGTCTTGTCGGGCATGACATCGCTAGAAGCAGGCTTGGACGGCTTCTGGTAGGGGCGTAAGAACTGCAAAGATGGAAAAGCCTTCTCCAAGTCCTGTTTTCAAGGGAGCAGTGCAAATCAAAGGGCTGCAAACCGGAAGTGTTGTTCCTACCGGGTCCTACCGGCTGTTGCACCCGCCAAACAAGCATACGTATTCACGGCTGGTAAGAGATCTTATACTTCGGGCTTAGGGCTTAGGGCCTTAGACTGGGCACCAACAGCACGACACAGTGGAGCCTTGTTCGACACAGCATCACAAAGAAGTTGAAGCTTGTCTTTGAAGGTCTCCGTTTTGAGCTTGTCATAGTTCACCACTGTGCCACTGCTCGGGAGAATACCGAGCTTCGCAGCACTGAGATCGAGATGAACCTGCTTGGCAAGCTGCAGCACGTCGTCGTCGTCGCCGGCCACCGTAAGCAACTTGTTGTAAAGCTGCAACAAACTTCGGGCCACGGGGCTCGCGACTTTCTTGATTGCATCGAGGTCCCGCACAACGAAAGCGGAGGCATTGATGAATTGCGAGCCTGTCACAGTCTTCCAGGCCATGTCCTTGTCAAGCCACATAGCCAGGGACAACAGCTTCCGAGCCATAGACACCTTCTGCGGCTCGGCAGGAACCTCGCACAAGGCCACATGGACATGTTTTGTGGTGTGGCTCACTACATCAAGAGTTGCCACAACTGCTTCCTAGCAGCCAGGTCGTCAAACCACTCCTGCAGGAGCACCACCCTCTTCGGATCCTGCGAGTCGCCAATGGGAAAGCTCTTATCAGCAATTTGCGCGGCTTTCGGGCTTTCTCGGGCCATATCTTAAGTTCCCGATAAGGCAAGTATATCGGCCTAAGGCGGAATCTCAGGTCTTTACTGGAAAATGCACAATTCCGCCGAGGCGGAATCTCTGGTTTTTACTGAAAAACCGTCAATTCCACCGGACGTGATTTTCTGAAAACAAGGCAGAGCAGTCCTCCATCAAATAAGTCACCTTTGTCTTCAAAGGTGCGGCACCGAACACGGTGGCAGCGATCTGCAAGGATTCGTTCTTGGCAAGAAAGCTGTTTTGAAGAAGTTGCTGCACCCGTGTGGCCCGCTGCTCATCCGATTCCTGCACTGAGCTCTTGGCCTGGCCAAGCTGAGCCAGGGCCGATGCTTCTTGGAAGCTGCAGAAAAGAGAGCTTTTTCGCAGTCGGGCCCACGCATGTAGACCCAGGAACTGCAAGCGTGCTTCGCAACCTTGCGGCTCCTTCGGGTCCACCTCGCTGAGGACATGGATTGCTTTCCCGAGCTCAGGAATGAAACCCTCCATGTGCACCATCTCCTTGAAAATGCAGCCAAACATCTGAAGGTGAGCATAAGCTTCCTTGTTATCCAGCAACGTCTTCGCAACGGTTTTGATCACTTTGGCACTGTAGGGGCTCACCGTGGAAGCGAACCTGCCAGAAAGCAGAACGTGCATCCTTGAAGCAGCATGGTCTAGACCTAATAGGCATCTATCAAGGGCAACCATCCCGCCCAAAACATGTGCTATATCCAGACGCAGCAACGTAGCCTTGTCAGCACAATTCTTCCACTGGTGCAAGACGTGGTCTTTGTACCGGCGAAACCATTCTGCAGCTTCGTCGTATCCTCGCCACGAAAACAAAGCCGGCACCAAACTGCAACAACACGAACTGTTATGGGGCCGACTGTAGCTACAAATGGCAAACCTGACATAGACCCATGAGTCGTTCAAACTGACTTGCCTGCGGGATTAGCAGAAGACTACGGGCGCTTGTTCCTTCCCTGGGGCCACAATACAATTCTTTTAGAAATGTGTTACGGGACCGACATAGGAAGCCAAAACGAGGCCAATCCGCCTCCGCGCCGCCACCATATGTTTCAGAAATTTTCAGAATAAGCTCAACACTAAACGCTACCAAAACACGTTGCTCATTCAAGACCTTGCAAATCTCTGCCGCAATGTACTGAGCCATCTTCTCCTCGTCGTTCTCATCGCTTGAATGAGCTGACAACGAGCGAGTGGCTGCAGTTGCTTCAGGCTGTGTCTGCACCGGCCGGGGCTCTGGAGTCACTGCTGCAGGGCTGGGAACACTCGGGGCTTCTGGTACAACAGGGCTCGCCGGCAGTTCCGAATCAGCTGCAGACGTCGCAGTTGGGTCGACGCTCCTTTCTTTGGTCACGGCGGTTTCATGCACCAACGTGCCACACGGAAGTTCCGACCGAGGCACTCCCTGATCGAAGAACCAGAACTCCTCGGCCGCGAGGTGCACGGGGAGGTCTTCAACACTGCTGGCAGGCACTACGAAGTTGGCCCACTTTTTTGGAACCTGTAGCAGCTGCTGACGTGGCACTACCCAGAGCATCTGCTTGAGGGATGAGGATGTCGTCACCGTCGTCCTGTAGGATTGAAAAAGTCTTTGAGACACTCGTGCACTCGGAACCCTCGTCCTTGACGACTTTGTTGATTGCACACCACAGCTTGATGGATTCCTCATTCGTCTTCACTGACGGATCCTTCCTGCCCCATTCCGCAAGGCATCTTTCCGCTTTGCGACGATCTTCAGCAGATGCATCCCGATCGACCGCAAGTGCTTTCTGAACGGCGCTGCCAGAGACAAACTTGGCCATGGGGAGGGAGCGGAGGGCTCAAGACGGCAAGTGCAATCCGACTGGACAGCTACCTAGAGCGGGCAAAGAGACCTGCAAGATTCACAGGCAACTGGGAGGCACTGACGGCTGATGGATTCCCCGGCAACGGAGCCGGCTGATATGCCTGAGTCTGCAGGAGTTAAAACTAGCTGAACAGCAAATACAACTTAAATTGACTACAACGGCACTGATTCAGTAAGAGAAACTAAGCCGCGCTAAACAACACTAATTTACGCTAAATTCCGCTAAATGACACTAAATAGCGCTAATAGCCGCTAATTTGCTCTAAGGTGCGCTATTTAAGCACTATTCCTCACTAAACTGCACTAATCCACACTAAATTGCACTATTTGCCGCTACATTACATTAAACAGAATGCCGCTGTCGTCTTTGAAGGCCTGTGCAGTGGCACAAGTCTCTCCTGAACTCCTGTTTTGACCGGCGTTGCGTGCTGCATGACACAGCTCAACGGTATCCTTAGCCTGCTCTTTGCAAAGCCTGCGGAGCCCAAGATCGAATCAATGCATCTGCACGAGCGCACCCTGTGGTGCCTGCGGGTGCACCAAGGCGCGAAATGTCACGTTGCAGATCCAGCAGTTCTGCATCCCACCATCGCCGTCTTTCCGGAACGTGGGCAAGCCATGCCGGCCGATTCGAACGACCGAGAGCCCAAGCTCGCAGCAGCAAATACGTTATCTGAGGGCTGTCCGGGTTGCAATCGTAATCTCGCACAGTAACGGATTTAGACATCTCGCTCCTACCTAAACCTTCCGGCAAGGCGCAGCACCATCGCGGCCGTAACCTGATTTTCACATGGTCCCCTTTTCTGCGCCTCACATAATCCTCCAAAGAGAAATAGCCGTTCGAATACTCTGCAACAACATTGGTTCCGCCATCAGCCTCGCCCGCCGGGCAATCCTCGGGCAAAACGCAGGCAGCTTCCTCGGCCTCGAGGACTGCGTCGGTTTCAGCATCAGACGCCAGAGACTCCTGGCTGTCGGAGCCTTCGTCAAGACCTGCTTCGGCCTGTAGATCGGCCGCATCCTGGAATTCCGGATCTGACGCCTCGTCCTGTTTCCACTGCCTTTTTCGTGACTGCAGGGCGATGCGGTCGATGCCCAAGACTCGAAAACGAAGAGCCTTCGCAGACAACAACATACCATAGCCAATCTCCAGCCGGTGTACGTCTGCATCGTCAGCAACATCTCCAACCCATTCTTGCACAGCCGCGACCACAGGCGTGAGACCGTTCCTGAACACAGAATCCAAGGCAAGTTCGTACTCCATGTGGCCTGCCCCATGTACTTGCAAGGCATACCCATGACCGAGCAACCCGCAGAAGAAGAACACACATTGCGCAGGTCGAAGAAACCATGTTTTTCCTGCAGGAGCTTTTTCACCCACGTGGGTGAAGACGGCTTTTCTTTGCAAGGTGAAAGCCGAGCCACCACTTTCATGTCAGCATGAACATCAGACGGCTTCAGCCGATGCGAGACACATTTCCGTGCCGTGTGGCTTGTGCGCAAAGCCTCGCGCCACACAGCCTCGTTCTCTTCAAGCCAATTCAACCACTGCTTGTTCGTCATCGGGAGTGTTCCATCTGGCGTCAGAGCTTGCAGTGCAGCTCGCGCAGCAGCTCTCCTGGAAGAAGCTTGGGCTTCGAGCTGCGACCGGTTCTCTTGTAGGTACTCTCTGAACGCCGTGATGTTCCCCTCTTGGCGGGCGGCACCAAACCCATCATGACGAGGAAACAGGTGCGGCACATTCTGCATGGCCAAAGCACTCGCCGAGATCTTGCAAGACCGCTTCACAAGACGAAGTGTCTCTGATTGCTTGACCGTGTTCCCTTCTCGTCGCAGCCTGTACCTTGGTCGGCGGCGGGATGGGGCTTAAGTTGAAGCGTGCAGCAGAAGGTTGCCTTCGGGGCTTCGGTGCCACTGCCCAAATGCGATTGCAGGGGTAACTGGTGGCCTTGTTGGGGTCTTAAGGAGGTCCTGAATGTCGTGCTGAGTTGAGAGGACCGGCTTGCCTCGACAAGATTCTCTGGGGGCGGAATCTAGGGTTTTTCTAGAAATACGGACAATTCCGCCAACGGCGGAATCTAGGGTTTTCGTGGAAAAAACGAAAATTCCGCTGACTAACAGTGGCGGATCTTTCCGAGCAGGCCGCGAGGTTCCGCTGTTCATCAATGACGTAATCGCATGCAAGCTACCGAGACAAAATGTAGTTCCGTGAAGCCACTGCCACACTGACCACTTTGCTTTTTTCGGCACGCTTCACTTGCACATGAGCCCTCTCCACGTCGAGGCTTGAAGCAGAAGCGCACGTCAACATTCGGACCAGCTCCTCCTGAGTGTCTTCCTGCGTCAGAAACCGAATTGCGGCAGGCAAATCTCTACTACCACGTGGCCCCTGACACCAAGCTTCTCGCTGCAGCAGCAAAGAAAATCCGACATCAAGATGCTTGGCATCCGTAGCCAAGAATTGCTCAATGGCTGCTACAAAGCCTGTTGGGTTGAACCGCTCTGTAATCTGATACAGCCTGAAGGGGTAGTCAGTGAAATCTTGATAGCGGTGCAAAATGTGTATCTGTGTCACCAGAAGGCCTGAAACCACATCGGCTACATCTAGGTTAGCATCGAAGTGCAGTGCGGACAAAATTCGCTCGAATTGCAGCATGGTCTTCTCCTGAACCTCGCCCTTGGCCAAGCGAACGAGAGTCGGCTCAGACTCCGACACTGACTTGGAAGATGATATGTTTTGCGCATACTCCGTCAAGGACAAGCATAGAACAGCTTTCCGCAACTCCTGGCCCGTGTTGGAGCCCTTGTAGTAGGAGAGGAACCTGCTGAGCCGAATGCGATTCTCTGTTGAAGGTGCTGCCGTCCGAACTTCCAGCACTTCTGCCGGAATGCCAATTAAGTACATTCTCAACAAAGCCCGAGTACATGCGGCAAAACGCCAGAACCTGGTCGGCTGCGGTCGCTCTTCTAAAAAGAGCACGAGCTTGGAAAGCAGCCTCGGATGCTTCCGGTTTCGACTGTGAGGTTTGGAGAGTTTACCCTTTGCTAGTTGTCGTACAAAATGGCAAGACTAGCTTGAAACCCGCCGACCCGAAACCCACCGACCTGTAGCCAGGAGCAAAGCAAAGTCAGGTACAAGTTCATGTTGCCAGGGACCTGAAAGCTTCCTGCATGCACGAGTGCTCCTGTCTTGGCAGTCTTGTGACATGCACCCACACGCCAAGACCGCGATTGAACAAGGCCAACAACTCTTCCGGAATCACCTCAGAGCCATACAGTTTTTGCAGACCTTGGGATATTTCCCGACGGTCCGCAAACGGAATATTCTCATCTCCAGGGCAGCCTTCCAAGATGCGCAAGGTGGACAGGACGAACGCTTGTAACGATGCATTGTATTCCTCGACATACGCAGGCATCAAAAATTTGAAGAAACGTGACAGAGCTCCACATAGCTCGGAATTTTCTAAAGGTCGTGTCAAAATTTCGCCCACCACTGCAACCTGCACAACCAAATTCGCTACATGCGACGCACAGCGCACGACCACAAGGCGAAGATCAACATCACAGCCATCTCGCCTCGCATGATCTCGCAAATAAGTGAAAACCTTTTTCGCAGAGGCCATATTGGTGTTCACACCGTCGCCGGTCAAGATGTAGTGCACACGCAGTGTGGTCCACGGTTTTCGTTCGGCAGCCGTCAAACAGCTCAATGCTTTGTCGGCCACATTCAATATGGCTTGACCAATGGTCAAAGCATCTTTTTTCTGCAATGGTTGTAATTCGTGATACAGTTCATGCTGCACTCCGGAAGGGAAAGTCAAGTACACGCAGTTGTTTTGTATCTTGGAATACCGCCCTCGAACCAAGCGGCCCGTGATGTCGGCATCCAATGACCGCAACTTCATCTCCGCCTGCATGTTTGTTTATGTTGGTTGCAGGTTGAGCTAGTTTCGCCTGGGTTTCGAGGGTTTGGGTTTTGTGTGGGTTTGAAGGTTTGGGGCGTAGCTTTCTGAGAAGAACAAATCCGGCCGTGGCCTCGTCATGTATGTGGGAGATCACCACAGCTTGCGATATGCTTGAGCACCCCTGGCACGGAAGAGCCTCTGCAGCTACACGGATCTCTTGACAATTGCCCGTCTTCACAATCTCAACCATGGCATCTCGGGCTTGGCCAATATACGTTCGGCCGATGGTCTTGGTCTCGGTCAAGCCGAAATCTCTGCAAAGAGAAGACAATGCTTGCGGGGCGGTTGTCGGGTCGCAGAATGCTGTGCGAATTACCCAAGCATGGTGAACCTTACCATGTATCTTCGCACCCTGCGTTGTCTTCAGCTCTGCCTTCAGCTGCCGAATCTTATACTGAAGACTTGCGACCTTCAGCTGCTGTTGACGAACAGTTGGGGGCAACTTCGCAGCTCGACCACGTGCAGTCATGCTCTGTTCAAACTCAGACTGCAAAACGGAGATGAGTTCCTGGGTCTTGTTGCGCAGCGCATCTGAAATACCAAGCTGCCTTGCAAAATCCTGCAAATGTCGCTTAATTCTTGCTGCATGCTCCTGCAAACTATTCAGCTGCCGTTTTGGAGCCATGCCATGGCACACTCAGTGACATCGGGAAATTGTGGGCATTTACCTAGCGGGTGGAATCAGCCGTTTCCAACGTGCCAACTTTCAAATCAACACAAACCAGCTTGACGATGGAACTGTTCGTTTACATCATGTGACACATTTTGCAGCTATAGACCTACTGAATGCCCGAGAGGCGAGCACGCACAGCGTCAGACACGTCTGCATTGCTGACATATTCGACAGACCAAACAGAATACACATCAATCCTCATCAAGCCCTGGTGCCAAAAAACTATCAAGCAACACCATCTGCTGCCCGATCCCGGCCTTTAACCAATCACAAAACCATCGGACGGACGTGTTCTAGGATTAGTGTTAAGCCTCTGTGTTTGGCAACCTAACCGAAGCCTGAAGCAAGGCAGCAGCAAGGTCTGGGTCAAAGATTCGCACCAAGCCTTGCAGGCCATCACGACCCTCTTGCCAATGCCAAGAATCGCCTATGCTGCCAGAGGCCGCCGGCAAGACAGCTTGCATCCAACGGCGCGCGAGGGCCCCTGGCTGCTTGCGAAACTTGCTCCAATCGGTGTGATTGTATCTCCAATGGGCAGAAAGCCGAAGCACCCAACTCTCACGATCTGTGCCGAAAGTCAGTGTAGGCGCATATTCTTGGTGCGCAGGCGAGGCCAGTCGGCTCCGAAGCCGAACAGGTTACAGGACCTAGTGCTAAGTTTGGAGCCAAGCTTACCAGGGATCCTAGTGTGCGCTGCAACCACGCCGTAAGATTCCATAAGATCCGTCACTTGATCATGAGAGAGGGCCGCACCCACCAGCAGCGGCTGGTTCGGGAGTCCAATCATCGTATTGATAAGAGTGCCACGGTGAACTACTGTCATGCCATGCAGTGGAACCGTAGAAAGACTGCTTCGCTGGGGCAGGCTGAGGAGCAGGCGACGATCCGTGAGCGCCCCATCGTCGCTTCTGCTGTTTTCGATGCTTAGCTAACACTGCCTTCACCTGCTGTGCAAGATTAGCCTGAGGAGCTGCAAGCAACTGAAGCAGGAGACCTGAAAGAGCCTGGTCCCCGTGCACGTCATAGCCATCCGAGGCCTTGCCACGACCTCCACCACGGAGAGGAGGAACACACTGAAGAGCATGGAGAGCTGCAGAGGCAGCTGAAGAGGCAGCGCACCCTCCATCCATCCCCGCACGTTCACTACGAGTTACCAGCCAAAGCACCTCCGGCCCCATCCAAGCCACCGCCTTGTAGCTGCCGAGGACCAAACCAATGTCTCGACCTCCATCGCACTGAGAAGGAGCATGCTGAAGACCCCCAAGAGCCAAAGAGTCGCCGCTCTCCACGTCCATCACTTCATTCCCATCACTAGCCAGAACACCTCCGGCCCCATCCAAGCCACCGCCTTGTAGCCGTCGAGGACCAATGTCGCGACCTCTATCGCACTGAGAAGGAGCATGCTGAAGACAACGGAGAGCAAAAGAGTCGCCGCTCGCCACGTCCGTCAGTTCATCCCCATCACTAGCCAAAACACCTCCGGCCCCTTTCAGACCACCGCCACATAAGTGCGAGGAACCAATGACCCGACCTCCACCACACTGAGAAGGAACACGCTGAAGATCACGAAGAGCCAAGGAGTTGTCACTCCCTCCATCTCGCATCTCATTCCCATCACTAGCCAAAGCACCTCCGGCCCCTTTCAAGCCACCGCCTTGTACTTGCTGAGTACCAATGTCACTCCCTCCACCGCGCAAAGGGGGAACACACTGAGGCCCCAGAGGCGCCAGAGAGACGTCGCTCCCATCATCCAGCTCCTCATCACTAGCCAAAACACCTCCGGCCCCGCTCAATCCTCCGCCTTGTACCTGCCGAAAAAGATTGCACTGTACAGAAGGCTCTCGTCCACAAAGTTGCTGATCACGGTAAGGACGATCAGCACCAAAATCAAAAGAACCAAAAGCTGAGCCAAGGCGCCCAGCGGTTCGAACTTGTTCAGAAACCGAGCCGCATGGAATACCGAAGTCTTCGGAAGAAACCTTGCAGCTGAAACTTGCGGCATCTCTGCCGCTCTCTCCTGTGCCACCGGAAACGACGGCCACATCTCCGAGCCGCCGCGAAAGCCGCCTGAGTGGCCACCCACAGGCCAACATAGCGACGAAAGGCGGCAGCTGATGTGCGGCCGGAAGACCTTTTCGAAACACTCCCGAGTCGCCGACCTAGGCGTATCCCACGTGCCTTGCGACGGCGCTTGAAGCGACGGGCCACACCCCGCCGGAACTGCCGATGTTTCCCTGATGTCCCAGAGGGTCGTCTGGGCCCCCGTCCAGAATGAGTCGACGATGGTCCGGGATCCCACAACCGGGCCCGGAACCGCATCTTGTAAATCCACGCCGCGATCTCACCGCCAAGGCAGGTCGGAAGCAAGATTGCCCAATATGGCGCGAGGAAGCTCTGCAAACCCAAGCAGAACATCCACATCGACATCCAGAACAGGATCACCTTGGCAATCAGTCGCAAGACCGAGCCCACTACAACCGACGTGGAGGCGGTGTCGTTGAAGTCACCGCCCCGTGGAAACCTTGTTAAACCGACGCCACGCCAGTAGACGAAGACGCCGGTGCCCCATGGGGGGCCTAATTCTGGAGAATCCTCTCACGCACGGCCGCAAGGTGACGAAGAGCACCGAACGACATGGCGATCCAAGGCGTGACGTGAAGCCATCACCGCTCAGCACTCCAGCATTGCGAGGGAAACCTGAGCGCCAGCAAAGATGATGCCACGAAGGTACCACCGGCAACTCGCACCACGGGCAGTGTGCGACCTGACACTCATTGCGAGCCCCATACCATGCAGTAGACAAAGCAGCTCCAGTAAGGACCGCCTTCTCATGCTTGGTTGCACTCTGGTACTTACGAGCCGTGGCCTTGAGCCTTCGAGCATCGTACGGTGTTCCCTGAAGCAGCAAGCTGTCGTGCCGCGGTTGCGCCTGAAAGGAGGCCCATTGCAGTCGCCTCCAGCTCTCGCGGAGACTGTGGAGGCCACGGGCCCTTCCCTGCGGGGCGGCGTCCGTGAAAGCCAGAGCACCTACATGCAGGTGCGACCAAAGCCAAGGGTTTTGTTCTGTTAATTTAGTTCTGAAAGAAAGCTCCGAACCCTCCCCAGCCAAGTGCCTCGCAGCGGCCTAACGGTCCAACGCGGCGGGTAGCCTGCAGCACATGCCCTCCACAGCGCAGCAGTGGCGTGCTGGCCAGCAACAAACCATGCATCACAAAAGTGGCCCTCGAGCAGCTTGAGCAACGGCACCGCACTCTGCTGCTGACACTCAGCACAACGCCTGAAAGCAGCCCAGTAAGAAGGCCCACGTCTGCCCAGCGTGTGTAGAAGTTAAGCCAGCCCCAGGTAACCAGGTAAACTTCGGCGTGACGAGCTGCTTGAAAAAGAAGCGTCGCCGACCTGCCGGCATCGGAGCCCACGAAAGTTTTACCAGCGACGCTGCTGCGTCCACATGACCCTCAAGGCCCGGGTCATCTGCACCGGAAGAGCCAAATGTTGCAACATCTCAGCCGCAGGCCCAGGGCACAAGTGGTCAAAGGCATGCACGCCAAGTAGCCGTGCATGACGGCCACCCACAAGGTGGAAGCGACCCGCCCAGGAACCCAAGGGCCTAAACCCAAAGAGCAGAGGCAGCCAAAGAGCGAGACACACCGGCCGGGATTCGGCTCAATGTTCTCAGCGCACAGGTCACGCTGCCATCCCCCAGCCGGGTTGTGGCTCTTGCCTCGAGTTTTAACAACAGTGTCAGCGGCCCTCCTCGTCAAGCGACGACGCTCCGCGCCACTAAGGTCCCAAGCGGCCGCAAAGGGACGGCGACAGGCCGTGTTCAACTTCCAGCAAGAGGCAAGACCAAAGGACCGGAGAGCGACCGCTCTCCCAGCTTTTCCCGAACACCTGCCCTTAGCAGCAGCCCGCTTCAGCTGCTCAGGAGGGTGGCACCTAAGACCTAAGCAGACAAACACGACAGGTCCAGCAACTGGCTCGGCAGCCGCCTTTACGCAAGCCGCGGGCAGTGGGAACGTAAGTGATCTTATGGCCACAAGCAGCGAGGTTGTCAGCAAGGTGCTGCTGCTCCCGATGCCTTCGGACGACATGGTTGCAACCTTGAGCAGACCTGTCGCCCACAACCACCGACCCCGTAGTAACCAAGAGAGCCTTGGTGGCCTCACGAGTCGAGCATCCACCGTGATATTGATCAAGGTGCTCGGCAATGCTCTTTTGCCTAACGTAGCCCTCAAGCTTCGGCAAACCCATGGAACAAAGGCCACAAAGCCATTCACCAGGCCCTCTGCCCACTCCAAGCTGCGCCTCAACCCACTGGGTCTTGAGGTGACGAGTAGCACTACGCCTGCCGCGGTGATGCCTTTTTAAGTGCCGGTACTTGGCGCAAGTGACCCGTCGCGCCGTACCAGCCTCCGCCGTCCACCCGCAATGGGGGCATGGCCACGTGTGGACCTTACCACTGCCGTCAGCCTGGCCGGGCCCACAACCCCTTGAAGCACCGACCTGAACCAATAAGATGCAAACATCGAAACTACGGTGCATTTAGAGGCATAGGTTTTAGACGTTCGAATGATAAAACAAATAGCTTGATGCTAATTTTTCTTCCAATCAGCTCAGGAAGCCCGACCAGTGCATCACCGACAGGGCCGCAGATGGATTCGACATGCTTCTTCGCAAACTTCCAACCATGCCTGGAACCGGACCGTGCTGCTGGATCTGCCTCAGAGCTCCCGAAGCTCCAGAAGGCTTGGGAGCGAGAGAGCGAAGCTCTTCAAGAACCTTTCGCTTGCTGATCTGAAGTCGCTGTTACAAAAGGCTGCAACTGGCCTGCTCGCAGCCCAGGATTTTATCAAGGGCATGAGTGCCCTGATTTGATTTTGAATGCTTCCATTCTACAATTCGTCTTTTATGATCGACGTGTCATGACACATGTGCAATTTTGCTCTGGGGATTGAAGCAGCTGCTGCGAGGTAAAAGAAGTGCATGTATGCATGTGAGGGAGAGCTTTAGGAAGCCAAAGGCTCCTATCAGAGTAGTATATACATCCTAGCTGTATGTTGCAAAGGAAGCCTTAGGCTCCTCCAAAGAAGACTTTATTCTCGAGTTTGGTGGATGTTTGTTAAGTTAACTCTGAGGCTTTAGGGTTTGTAGGGTCATAAGGTCTGAGATACAGGATTTTTCGGGTCGAGGTGTCTGGGGTTTCTGGAGTACTCGGGTTTGGGGTTTTTGGTTGCAGCTTTTCTCGAGTTAAAAGGTTAGGGTATAATTGAGGGTTGCAGGCTGGGGGTTATAGGGGTTTAGGGTTTTCACGATATGGCTTTGGATGTAAGATTCAACGTGTCAGGATTTGGGGTGTGAGGGTGTTCAGGATTTAGCGATTTAGGGGTTTAGGGTATAAGGAGTAGGGTTTGGGATTCGGTGGTTTAGAGTGGGGATGGGAGGCTGTTCATAGGTTTAGGGTTCCTGGGGTTTAGGGTATGAGGTTTTGGGTTTGAGATTCGGGGGCTTCGGGTTGGGGTGGGAAGGTGTTTAGGGTTTGTGGGTTTAGGGGTTTAGGGTATAAGGGTTTGGCTTTGAGATTCGGGGGTTTAAGGTTGGGATGGGAGGGTGTTCAGGGTTTATAAAGGGTTTGAGATTAGGGGTTCAGGAGTGTGTTCAAGGTGTATGGGTTTAGGGTATTCGGCTTAGGTATTTTGGTTTAGGTCTAAGATTAAGGGTTTTAGGGTTTAAGGACGTTTTAGAGGTTAGGTTATAAGGTTTAAGGTTTTAACAGAGGTTGGGGATAGCAGGGTGTTCAAGGCTTCTGGTTTGCGAGTTTAGGGTAGGGCTTAACGTTAGGGGTTCCAGGGTGGAAGTTTCGACGAATTTTCGACTCCTTCGGTGGCGCTTTTCTCACGGTGCATTCAAAATTGCCAATGCCTGGTGGCAAAACGCCACCGATAGAGTCGATGTTTCATCGACGTTTCATGGAGTCGAAGTTTGATCGAAGTTTCGATTGAGGGCAATCGAAGTTTGATCGAAACTTCGGCTGCCCAAACGAAATTTCAATGAAACTTCGATTGAGAATAAAAGTTTGATCGGAACTTCGACTCATGAGTCGAAGTTCCGATCAAACTTCGACCCACCGGAAACCCACCATCCGCCAGCACCACCCACACACCACACACAACCCACCGCCCATTGCCCAACACCCACCACCACCTACCACCCACCACCACCAGCTAGCACCTACCACCCACCACCCACCACACACGACCAACCACCAACGACCCACCACCCACGGCACCCACCACCCACCACCCAACACCCACCACCCACCGCCCGCCGCCACGAGCAACCATCCACGACCCACCGCCCCACGCCCGCCAGCCACCACCCACCACCCAATGTATATATATATATATATATATATATATATGTATGTATATACGTATACTTATATGTATAGATGTATAGATGTATAGATGTATAGATGTATAGGTGTATAGATGTATACATGTGTGCATGTGCACATATATATATATATATATATATATATATATATATATATATATTTATTTATTTATTTGTATATGCATATATGTATATATGTATACATGTATACATGTATACATGTATACATGTATATGTATATATATATATATGCACATATACCTATATGTGTATATATACATATTCATATGTATCTATGATGTATATATATATATATATATACATACATATACATATATACATATAGAGATGTACGTGTACTTATATATATATATAGTGTATAGATCGATCTATGGATACTATGCTAACCCCTAAACCCTAAACCCGCTAAGCCTGCCCTAAACAGAACCCTGAAAAGTCCAGGGCCCCAAACCCTAAACCCTCAAAGCCATCAACCTTTAAACCCCCCTAAGCCTAAAACCTTCAAGCCCTTAGGGTTTTCGGATCTCTAGGGGTTGAAGGTTTTAAGGTTTTCCACAACACTCTATAGGGTATAGGGCTCGGGCTTAGGGTCTTTAGGGTATACCTGTCCTAAACCACAAACGGGTCAGGGCACCCAAAGGGGTTATAGGGCTAGGGGTTTTTTCTCGAGGAGCACACGTATCAGGATGCCGAAGGCTCCTTGAAGATATTGTACAAAAAGGAAGCGAAGGCTCCTTCAAGATTGATGTACAATAAGGAAGCCAGCGGCTCCTGTTTTGTGCCTGCTAGACAATAGTTGTTTATCCTCAGCAGTCCTCCCAAACTTGACAGCATTGCTTATCCCATTGCCCGGCAGCTTATTGGCCACAGGATCGATCAGGCGGTAATGTCCCTTTGCCAGGACCACTCCAATGCAAGGACCTTGGTTGCGAAACAAGATTGGATCGGACCATGCCCCCTTTGTCCATTGGTAAAGGATGACCAGCAATTTGAGCCTCTGCGCCGCCACCATCAGGGTGTCGCCGCAAAGCCACCTGCGGTCACGCCTCAACGAGCTGACCCATTCCGAATATGTGGTCGGCACTGCTCCTTCTTCCGTCTCTTCGGACCACCTATCATCAGGGCGCCACAGGTCCTTTCCCATTTGATGCTTGGCCACCCATTGGGCGACTTCATGCCTGAGGGTCGGACCTCGCTCAATGGCGACCTCCCGGACCTTTGTGGGGTCGTCGCCCCTCACGAACCCGGCAGCAGCGGCTAAAACGTTGTAGCCGCACCGTCCTTCTCCCCCAAAATTCAGGAGAGGAAAGTTGCTAGGCCAGAGGGGAGCACATCATGCCGCGGCCATCGATGATGTTGCGGTCGAACAGCAGGGTGGGGTAGGCGATCTTCATCTCCTCGCTATACTACTCTTGAACCGGACTCGACGCCTCAAGGACAGAAGCCCAAGGACAGGGGAGCCCGTATGCCACCAGTAGAAAAGAGGAGAAGAGGCCTCAGAGCTCCGTAGAGCTCCCCGGCACAATCCTCAGGCGGCCGAAGTCACGCCGAACACGATCCCTGACAAAGCAAAGGTGCCGAAGTCGAATACCATCGACATGCGGGTCACCAGTCACTGGCCAGCCGAGGCGGGCCGCGCGTTCATCGGCAGGGCAAGCAGGTCTGCCGTTGGCAAAAAAACTGCAATCCCAAGCCAAGTGCTCCCAATGAGGCATGCCGGCCTCATTGCAGTAGGGACAACGGTCGACTTCAGCCGGGTCCTGTCCCTGAATCGCGTGATAGGCGGCAATGGAATGGGCTCCTCCAGAAAGCACAGCCCTCCCATCTGCGTTCGCCTTGCCAAAGGCCTGACAAGCACGTTTGACCAGCAAGGCGTCAAACTGCAGGTGCTGCATGCTTGCCGAGTCCCGCCTCGAAGCCATCCGGAATCGATCCCAACGTTGTGCTCTCCAGGCCTCCCTCACCACGTGGAGCATCTCTTCAGTGTGCCCAATCCAGGGCGCCACGGCCACTCAAAGGAACCAGCCTGAAGGTGTCTCCAGCGGCCTCGTGTGTAGGAGAAGCCGAGGTCTTCAAGGGAGGCCCCAGCCGTGTCGGCCCACATCCCGCCTGAAAGAGGTCGCCCTCGGAGCTGCCAGTAAGCCAACCCACGAGCCAAGGCTGCCAGGCTGCGAGTGAGCCCGACGAAGCCTAAGTTGACCACATGTCCTTGGAGCAATTCCCAAAGATCTCGCGAGGCCGATCGATGGCCCTCCAAGAGGCTCTTGACCTTGGAGCCAAAGTCGTAGGAGTTGCGAAAGCCCTTGAGCCAAAGTCCCCAGGCGCCGACTGAAACACAGCGGGACACAAAGAGCCGCTCCTTAAGCTTCAGGGCAAGAGGTGTACGAGTGAGCCGTTGAAGGACTTCGCAGGCTCTAGTTCTTCTGCTCTCCAGCGTGAAGTGACGGCCACGCTTGGTTCTGCAAAAATCCACTGGCTTGCTGACGCACCACCGAAGGATCCTCCACGAGCTCCTGAAGTTGCTTCTGATCCCTGAGAGCACGGGCAACGAAAGCGACCTTCCCTGAGTTCTCCCGCAAGCCCAGGAAACGGCACCATGATTCCCACTCCTGTTGCTTAGCAAAGGCCCTGGCAGCTCCTCTCACAACTTTGAGCGGTCTGTGGTCCCCTGGCAGTGGCAACAGCTGCCGCAGGCACAAGCAGGAGGCAAAAGGCCAGAGGCGCCAGCGGATCGCCCTGAGGCAGACTTCTCCTAACGATCTCTGGTTCTTCAGTGACGTAGGGTCCCAGCTGGGAGTGGCGTCTCTGACTTTTCCAAACTGCCTTGAGGTAGGTGAGCCAAGCGCCACAGAAACCGTAGTGCTGGAGAACGGCCAAGCTATGCTCCACGTTGGCGTAGTCGAATCCCTTAGCCATGTCAAGCGAAAGCAAGACACTGTCGTCGTGCTTCCAGAGCTCGAGAAGGTCGACAATCCCGGCCTCAATGCTGCGCCCAGTCATGGCACCGTGCATCTGGTCAGGAACAATCTGACTGATCCATGCTTGGCAACCAGAATGTTGAAGCATGGCGCCGCTGATGATCCGACTAAAGCAGCAGCCAATCGAGATCGGTCGCAGGTCAGAGGGGTTCGTGTCACCCTCGTTGAGGTTGCCTTTCGGGATGAAGACCTGTCTGTAACACTGCATAGCCCGAGGGAAGTGACCCCTCCGCGTCCACCTGTTCAGCATCGGCAGAAACTGTTCCCAGAAAGCAAGAGGAAGCATCGCGAGCTCGTCCCCCTCCCAGCCATCAAAGGATCCGGAGCAGCCTTTGCGGCGTTGCGCAGAGGCATAAAGGTCAGATGCCCGAAGCTGCCAGTTCTGTGAAGGGGCCCGACCCGGCCTAGCCAGCACACCATCCTCCGCCTGATCCATCTCGGGAACCGTGTCGTCTCTCCTCCAGATCTCACGCCACTTGCCGAGCAGGATGTCGAAGGCCTCCATGACGTCAAAGGTGCGGTGCACATGGCCCTCGGCGTCCTCAGTGACCACACCTTGCGCGGAGAGGAAAGGACGGTTTTTCAGCCATTTGGATGCTGCTTTGCCTTCTTGAGCCATGTCAGCGTGCCATCGACGAAGTGAAGTGTCACGCTGCCGTCGGCGCTCCTCCTCCAAAGCCAGGCCGCATTGTTCCACCGCCCGGTCCAATGACAAGAAGCCGTCGGAGCCCATCACTCGCGGAACTTCTTTGGGCCAGCTATCCAGGAGCCGTCCTTCCAAGCCGTGGTTAACACGACCGAGTGCGCGTTGGCGCTGGGCCTCCTTGGCACGTCCAAGCCACTTCGCGAGCCGCCTTTGCAGAAAAGAGCCTCGTTTGTCCCAACGCTTGGACGCAGCTCCTTCAGCAAACCACTGAACTTCAGTGCCCTTTCGCCTGGCACGCCGTCCTTCCGGAGGCGAGCAGCCCAAGGACTGGTACGCTTTGCCGAAACCTTGCTCGAGCTCCTGGTTCAGGTAGTTCCACTCCGCCTCAGCGTTGCCCAAGTCGCGGTCCTCGAATCCCTGGAGAGCTTGAGCTAAAGCCTTTTTCCAGGAGCTCTCAGCTACCTCCAAAGGCCGTTGGAAGCGAATGGCAACCTGATACTCCCGAGCACGATGCAATCCACACGGGACCGTCACATCGGCCCAGATCGCCTTATGGTCGCTAATGAAGGCCTCGTCCGTCCAAACGCTGCTTTGGATGCCGTGCTCCGACACCATGAGCCAGTCGATGCAACGATCACCTTGCCACCTAGTGGGGATGAGCTGCCCTCCATCACTCCTTGGAGCTTGGAAGTCACAACCGTCCGGAGAACCCAGCATAGGATGCGAGTCGGGCTCCTCATTGAAGTCCCCCATGCAGAGCCAGAGCGCCTGCCGGCGCGTGGCTGCCGCAAGAAGTGGGCCGCACCACGTTGCAAAGGAGCTGTCTGAAGTAGTGCCCGGCCGTTGCCAGACCGCAGTCAAGAAGAAGCCCTCAGCGTCAAGTGCTATGGCCTCGAAGGTATTCCCGACCTCTTTGGTGACGAAATGGCACCTCACGTCGCGGCGGGCAGCAATCAGGATGCCGCCGTAAGTGACACTGCCCGTGGAGGGCCGAAGTGCCACCCAAGCCCGATATCCCAGCCGATGGCAGTGAGCGATGAGTTTTTGCCCTCGCGGACCGTCCGAGTTCACCTCTTGCAGCATGATGAAGTGGGGCTTCTTATCCGCAGCCAGGTCAAGAGCCTGATAGCTATTAGCATAGCCGTTGGCGTTGCACGAGAAAAGGCGAGCCCGGAAGTCCTTGTGCACGACTTCCCCAGGTCCCGGCTGCCTTTCAATGCCTTCGCGAACCAGCTGGTCTTTCCGATCATCACGGTATGCATGCAGTTTCCCTGGGTCCTCCAGCAAGCAATGGTCAAGAGAGAGGTCGCCACTCGCAGCCCCGGAAGAAGAGGGACCAGGATGCCTTTCCACGCCCTCCCGAACAACTTGGCTTTTCCGATCGTCAGCAAAGGCGCGCCGTTTGGCCGGGTCCTCAAGCAAGAGATTCCGAAGCTGACCGTTCTCCTCGAACTGCGTGCGCCTTCCAGGGTTCCCGTGGATGGTCTTGAATTCGCTGCCACAGGCGCCGGGGTGAACCGTCTGGATGTGGTGGTAACGAAGTCCTCGCAAAAAAGTCTGAGAAGCACCTTTAAGCGTATTTTGACACACATCGCAGGTCCAAAGCCAATGGCCAGACCGATCTCGACGGCAGCCTGTCCCCACCCGGTATCTCCGGCATGCTCCCATAGTCCCGTTGATGGTCGTGAAGAGGCTGCGGTCGGCTCCTCTATGAAATCTCGTAATGTGGTTGTCCCGCTGCCTGCCCAAAGACGGCTTGCTGTCAGCAACGAAAACTGCACTGCAAAGTGTGCATGGCCACTCATAGGGCCCAGCAGCTGATGTCGAAAACCGGTCTGCCCGTCGCCGTGTGGTCCCCATGGCAGGTCTGTCCGAAGAGCTCGAGGTGGTCTTACGTGTGCAGCTGCCTGCTCGCCGTCCTCCCCGAACAAAGGATCGAGGCGAGGATGTCCACACCAGTCGTTGGCTGAGCCGTCTAGCCTCGGCCTTGGTCATGCCCAGGCCTTCGCGGAAAACTTGTCGTTCCCACTTGGTGGCCCATTGCCACTTCTCCCGCCAAGCAAGAGACCGAAGGTGAGTTTCCCGATGACCCGCTCCATCACATGTGCCTTTGTTCTCGAGGTGCGTTTTGAGGGCTGAGAAACTGCCCCAGGTCCTGAAGCAGACACGACAACCCCACTGAGCACCGGTGCCTGGCTTGGAAGCCGAGCGTTGAAGGTCAAGACGTCGAAGGTAGTGCCCATGATGCAACAAGCCCTGAAGAGCCACAAACTGCTTCTTGGCTGCCAGAAGTTGCTGCGAGCGACTGGGCCCCGACAAGGTGCGTTCTGCTGCCTTTCTCATAGCCCAGACCTGATCTTGGCCTACCCCGAGTCGTTGGAGATCACGATGGAGCGAGCCAATGTGCACAGGAGTCCGGCCCGTCGCAGTCGAGGTGTCCAAACTAGCAGGTGTTTCCGAAGAGGCCCCAGACACCCCTGGACAAGCAAAATCCATTCCTTCAGTCCCTCCCCGAAGCTGAGAGGCCAAAGGAGCCGACAAAGAGGAAAAAGGCCCAGGCCCAGGCACCCCCGAACAAGCAATCTTTTTGCGAAGCTTAGACGCCGAAGGAGCCGAGGACGCCGAAGGAAGCCAACGGCCCCTCGAAGCACAAGAAGCTGAAGCCGCCGATCGTGGTGCCATAGGAGCCGACAAGGAAGTAGAAGGCCCCGGCCCCCCCGGACAAGCAATTTTCATTCCCTCGGTCCCTCTTCGAAGCTTAGAGGCCGACGGAGCCGATGAAGAAGCCGATGGAAGCCAACGGCCCTTCGAAGCACAAGAAGCTGAGGCCACCGAAGAGGAAGAAGGCAACCAACCACCGCCCCGATGGAGTCCTCCTCCAGCAAACTTCTCCCCGAGCTTCCACTGTTTGGGGATCACGCTCGTCGTCGGATCGATGAGGCGGTAATGCCCCCTGCACAAACACATCCCGAAGCAAGTGGGACCATCGCCGAACACAATGGGCCCGAGCCACCGGCTTTCAGCCGAAGACCAATGGTGAAGCACAATCGTAGCCTTGAGTCTCCGTGCGGCGACAGCTAGGGTATCCCCACAGAGCCACCGGTTGTCACGCTTGATGCACCCCTCACTCCAAGAGCCTGGAATGGGGCCTCCTTCGGTAACTTCCGTCCAGGACGGATCGGGTTTCCAAGTGTCCTGCCCCACATGCTTATTCTCGACGGCCTGAGCCACTTCAAACCGAAGAGTCCTGCCACGGGCCACACACTCGGACCGCACCTTGTCGGGATCTTCGCCTCTGCAAAGCCCGCTGCCAGCGGCGCAGTTGTATCCACATCGACCCTCGCCGCCATAGTCGAGCAGCTTGTAGTCGGCCCACGCATCCCAAGGATCCTGCAGCTTTTTCTTCTTGGAAGAAATGCCGGGCTTCCCTTTTGCAGCGTCGGTTGCCGCCTGGTTGGAAGGAGCCAAGCGCTTGCCGTTGACCTTGCCATCGACATCCATGCTGGCAGGCTCGGTTGAGGCCTGAGCGCTGTCCTGCTCTTGCCCATCCAGCTCCATATCCCCTCCCTCGCTAGCGTCCACAAACTCATCCGAGACGTGTGGACCAAAACTAAAAGACGACCTCGTAGCAGCCGTCGGTTTCCATCTGGTCGAAGATTCCTTGTAGGGCGCCCGGCTTCCTGTACGTTTGGACAAAACCACAAGGATATCATCTTCGCCCTCAATGAATTGTGTCCCGTCATTGTTGGGTGCAAGGCCTTGACGACCCAACCCAACCGCCGACGAGGCTCCATCAAAACTTCATCTCCTCGCTATGGCCGTCTTGTTTTACCGACGGAGGACCCAAGGGTCACATCGCCGGTCTCCTCCCACGGAGGAGCTTAACCACGCAAAACGGTGGCTCGCACCACAGCCATGTGCCGTAGTGCGTCGGACCTCCACCTCTGAGCAACACGCTCGGGCCATCCCAAACGCCTGGTAAGTGCAGCACGAACTTGACCAGGGCGTGACTGTGCAAAGCTAGCGCAGCTCCAACACAAATGTTCCCAAGACGGTAGAACATTGCGATCGCACCATGGGCAGTGAATCACTCGATTCCCTTCGGAGTGCCCGTACCAAGCAGTGGAGAGAGCAGCCCCGCAGAGGACTGCTGCTTCGTGCCTGTCAGCCTTCTGAAAAAGGCGGCTGGTGGCCTTGACCTGCTGTTCGTCGTATAGCAAATGACCTCGAAGGCCAGCGCTGTCACGGCGGTTGAGCTGCACGAACTCCTTAAGTTGCACACGACGCCACGACTCCCTGAGCAGATGCAAACCGTGCCGGCGAGCACGAGCCGTCCGCTGCCCAAAGTGAACGTCACCAAGAGCAGGGTGACTCCAGTGCCAAGGCCCCTGCTCCATCCAGTCAAGAGACTCAAGGAAGGTCCGAACCCTGCCCTGCCAAGTGGAGACCTCGGCCGGAACCCGCCACTGTTGAAGGACACCTCTTCAGGCGGCTCTCCACAAAGCCGAGAAAGCCATTTGCCCAGCCGTGAAACGGCAGTCAGTGAAATGACCTTCGAGAAGACGAAGAAGGGGAACGGCTGCCTGACGGTGGCACTCAGCAGCACGACGAAACTTGCTCCAGTAAACAGTGCAGTCCTTGCCCAAAGTATGGAAGGAGAGCCAGCCGAAGCAAAACTTTGGAACAACCAACTGTCGGAACAAAAGCCACTTATGCTGCCGGAACAAAGGCGACAAGTTGATCCGCGAAGCCCGCTCCAGAGCATCCTTGGCTCGCTGCCGAGCGCCTGTCGGCTTGGTTGCGACGAGCACTGAAGTCGATCCCCAGGACCCGGACAGTCTGAGCAACGGCCTGAGGACGTCGACGACACAAAGTAGCCTGCTGCAGAGGGTCACGCGCAACGACCTTAAGCTTGGTGTAGTTCTCCTGGAGGGCCAGACGTTGCGACCACTGCTCGGTGAAGGCAACCGCCTCCAAAGTCTCGTGAGCGTCGGTCCCCGTCAAACTCCTGTCGTCCAGAAAGAAGCTCGCATGGATCCTCGGGTAAGTCCGATCCAAGGCTAGCGCAACCGACGACATGTAAGCAACCATCGCTAGCGGAGCCAGAGCATCCCCTTGAGGCAAGCTAGAGCCAGCCCAGCAGGGCGCAGCACTCAAGGCAGTACGCCAGCTCAACCAGCGGCGCTGTTCACTCCAAACCTGCTCAAGCCACCTAGCCATACACGAGGGAAAACCCAAGTGCGTGAGCATCCGGATGGCTGCCTTCGGAGAGCAGTTGTCAAAAGCTTTCTGAAGATCGAGACTCGCCAGCATGGCTCGATCACAGTGGAAGCGCTCCTCTAGAATGGCAAGAGCGGTGCTAATGTCACGGCCAGGAATGGCCCCGTGACAACTCGCAGGAGCCCATGCTTGAAGCCAGCCCCGGAAGGCGGGTCGTTTCACCACTGCCGATCCCACCAAGCGCCAAACAGCGCAAAGAATCGTGATGGGCCTCATCTTATCGACTTGGCATTCGCTCGCCGCGCCCTCTTTTGGTAAGTGAACTTGCACCGATTCCTTCCAAATCGAGGGGACAAGGCCGGTCCGCATGGCCGCGTTGAGGAGCGAAGCCAAGTCCTGAAAAGCCGCCCTGGGGGCCGCTCGAAGCTCCATCGGTGTCCAACCGGAAGTGCCAGCAGCTTTGGAGTGAGAACCACGGGCCGCGGCCTCAAGCTCAGCAGCGGTAAAAGCCTCCCATTGAAAGCCTTGTGGCGGAGAAGCCCATTCCTCAGCCCAGGCCTGAAACACTTGTTCATCCGGGGGCCGAGGACGATTCCACACTCCCTCCCACAGGTCACGAAGCAGCTCGACCGCCTCGACATCATCACTGGCCTTACGGGCCCCGGAAGCAAGCGACTGGCAAGGCACCTGAGGCGTACGCTTAACCCAAGCTCTGGCAAAGCTAAGCAGCACGTGAGGATCCTCGTTCCAAGCGAGACCGGCTGGCCAGTTGCGCCACACACGGGTCCAAAGGGCCCTGCAGTTAGCGGGCTTGGCACGGCAAAGCTCTCGAAGGCGGCCAACTAAGTTGGCGAGGCGGCGAATCTTAAAGGTCCCAGGCTGAACCGAAGCACCTAAATCCCCCAACGAAACCCTACGAGAGGAAGAACCCTTGCAGCGGACCTGGCGCGGGTCAGGAGGGATCATGCAGGACCTAGCCACGGAATCAAAGGCCCTTTCAAGTTTCGCACACCACTGGCTCCAACAGGCATCCAAGTGGGCCTGAGAACGTACGGCAGGGCAGGCCTCAGCAGAACCATAGGCCTCGGAGATCGCAGTGCGCCATCGGTTGAGGTCCCAACCCTTAGGCAGGCCAAAGTTACGACAGGGCTGAAGCACCGAAGCCGCCCGCTGCTGAAGACAACCAGGGAGTCGAACACAAACAGCCCTATGATCCGACAGCGCGACCTCGTGCAACCTAACCTGCGCCTGTGCAAACTCAACAGCATGAAGATGAGCATTGGCCCCACTGGGAGGCACGGCCATGCAAAAGTCGATGCAGCGTTTGGATTGCCACCTTGTAGGCAACAGAACCTGATCATCATCCCGAGCAGCGTACACCCAGGCCTCAGGAGTCGCGGCAACAGTGCCCTCATGTGGCAGGTGATTGAAGTCGCCAAACGCTAGAAGGGGGAACCCTCCCGTGCTGAGCTCATGCAGGGCCTGGGCAAGGCCACCTTGCAGAGCTGGTCTGGGCCTCTGCCACAAGCTACACACCCTCCAGGCACCACACTGGACAGCCACAAACTCGCCACCATCGGAACGAGCAGATTGCACCATGTGGGCAGGCAACCCCTGTTTAGTGAGCAACACAACACCACCGTGCGGAGACTGACAGCCCCGGGCATCACAAGAGTCAGTGAAGCTGGCAGGCTCCAGCACCTATAGCCCAGCCTATTGCAGGTTCTGACGAAGGCGGCAAGCTGGTGCCCATGAAGTCTGGTTTCCTGCAATGCGATAAAATCAGCGAAAATGCCCACAGAGTTGAAAGCATTCGAAACACTGTTCACATTCATGGAGCAGAGCCGTGGCCCGGGGTGTGGTTCCAGGCCCTCCATCGTGAGGTCGCGCAGCCAACTTTGCCACCGTAAGCCAGGTACCTCAGCAGCAGCAGCAGCAGAGGGCCAGCCGAGACTGCAAAGGAGCTCGGTCTGCCTGCGCGTCCCAGGCCCTGAGCTGGGCTTCACGTCCCTTCGTGTCGAAAGGATGCGATTGTTTGCCATGTGATGGGACCACCACAACTCTACATCAATGCACGAGCAAAGTCGGCTGATGTCAGCATGCACACGACGGGCTAAGATCGGAACACGACCTAAAGCCCCTTGGACTATATCGATAGCAGACTGGCAATCTGAAACGATAATTAGGCGCCTGGTTTGGAAGCGCCTGTCCGAAACTCGCAAGGCAGCACGAACCACCATGTAGATTGCCTCAAGCTTGGCCCTGAAAGGGGTTTGGTCCTCCGAGGGGAGGCCACTGAGCCACTGCACACAGAAGCTTCATGATCCGTGAAAACGAGAAAGCTGCCACCAACTCGTGGGCAGCCCCGTCCGTCGCAACAATGACCTCAGTCTCAGACGCAAAGGAGCGGGCCAGCTGGTCGCCGACCTCTTCGCAGATACTCTCGTAGTCCAGAATAGGCGGAGGAGGACCTCCTGCCGCTCTCGAGCGAACAGCCTTTCGTGGAGCCGATTTGTGGGCAACGCCAAACCTCTGCGGCACTCAGCAGTGGCCTCGCACACCCACATCAGGTGGGGTCTGGAGGGAAGGTCCTGCTGGCGGATGGACTTCCGGAGGACATTGCCCTCCGGGGGCACACCATGGTTGCCATGCCGCGAAGCAGGCCTGTCTTTGAACACGAGAAGTTGCACTGGCGTGCAGCGCTCTATGCCCAGTGAAGGCACACAACGTGTTTCTAGGCACACCCGGCAACGCAAGGCCTTGCGCCAGGTGGTGCGTTTGGCGACGAAGGCTGCGCACGACTCGCCCACAGCGATTGAGGCTCTGGCGCCGCATGTGGTTGTAAATCCACTCACGAAGCACACTGAAGTTGTCCACTCCTAACCCAAAACATCGATGTCGGAGCTGGTCATCAACACGGGTGACGCGGGCTCCGTCTTGACTCACAGTCCATCCAAGCTCGGAGACGGCGTGGGCAGCTGGCAATAACTGACGCCAACGGCGAGTGACAAAGCCTAAAGCAGCATCTGCCAACCAGGTAGGTCGTCGGCAGTGGTAGCGGAGGCGCCTCAAGCGCCGCAGCTGGCGCAAGCGAACAGACTCGTAACGAGGGGCCGCCTTGGCCACTGCACTCTGTCGCTGAACCCGCGGCCCCTGTCGCCGTCGGCGGCCAGACCTGCCTGTATTAAGCATGTCCTCAACCGCCTGAACTAAGTAATCCCACGCCTCGTCAAGGCCTCTAGAAAGCAAAGCGCTGTACTTGCTCGGCTCCCACGTTGCGTGAAACTTGTTGATCACCTCCGGGTCCGTGCAATCCAAGGCAATGAAAGGTTGGAGGCTGCAGCGAGACTCATTGGCTTCAACGTTGAGCGTGTACTGTACATAATCATGATCGGCACATCCTTTGGTTTGAAAGTACCTGACTGCATGCATGTTGCGGCTACCAATCCCAAAGTCAATCCGACGCTGGCATGTGGCAGGCAAATGACCCTCAAATGAGTCGTCAAACAAATTGACCCCCGTCGTATAAAGGTGCGCCAGGTCCTCTGGAACAAGGTTGCAATCACCCACAATGCACCATCGGAAACCAGTCGCCGTGCTGTGTTGAGCAACTTGCTCCGCCAAGGAACGAGCAGCTTCTGCATCATCAGAGCGACCATAAATCGAGGTGCAAACAAACTTGATAAAGCGGTTCTCGGAGTCGGAAACCTCAGCGATCACCGAGACGGAACGATTGTTTTGTTGGAGGAAACTGACATGACGAGCCGGCAATCGGCACAGCATGCACGCACGATAAGCCTGTAGCTCATCGTCAAACTCACTCCAGTAAACGTCATAGCCCGCAGCACGGCCCACACGCTCGAAACCAGCACGGCTATGAGCATTGACGTTCACCTCCTGGAGGCAAAGTACATCAGCTCCGTCGGCAAGGCCAATAGCAGAGCTGAGTCTAGCTGTGCCCAGCTTTGCAACATTGAGGGTGCCCACCGTGATACCTCGGGGGGATACCACCTGGGCCTCGCACTCTTGATCATGGCTCACGAACACCACTTCTGATAATCGTGAACCGCCTGGATGGCGTCATCAAAAAGCTTTGTGACGTCCTGTACAGAAAAGCCCTGCATCAAATCATTGCCGCTCCGGGTCATCTCAATCGCTTCCTCGCGGTCTCGCCGGAGGACACTAAGCCGAGCATCGTTGCAGCGCTCGGGGATTCTTTTACACTGGTGTTGCGGAGGTTTGCATACGCGTGATGTCTTCATGCACTTAATGCACTGCCAAGCCGTGGTAACTCCAAACCGAAGCTTAGTGTCCCGGTGCTTGCGGTGACGCAATGTAGGCCATGAAAAAGTGCGCCAGCCTTCTATGTCACGATGCCAGCGCTTGGAGAGGCCCGCCTTCAGGCTCGTGGTCCTCACTGGCTTTCGGACCACTGTGCGAACCATGGTGCCCTGCGGTCCTTTCCTGTGTCCAGCCTTTGGGTGACTTTGTCCAAAGTGGATTCGGGCAGCATAACGCAAGCGGCCTTCGGAGGCCGCCTCGGTCGTGCCAAGGTGACACAGACGGCACTGCCACGTGATGCATGCCGGGTCCTCCTCAGAAATATCTCGGAGCTGAATGGGTCTCGGGCGGGGGTGCTAGGGGCCGCCTATCGTCAGGATGCGCACTCTTGTAAGGTGCAAGATGGGCCTGGTTGGCCTTTGCATGCCTTTGCAGCTGAAGCATGCACACTCCTGTAGGGGCACAAGTGACAAACCGCCTGGTACTGCTCGTCAATGAGGTAGTGTGATTTGCCGCGTCGCGGGTCCTGCCGATGCTGATTCTGCTGATCCTCAGGGCCTGGGAGCTCAGTCGCATCGAATGCCTCAGCAACCTGCGACATTGAAGTTCCCCTGTGGTTTGGCGTCTGATCAACAGGCAGGGCCACAGCGCTCAGCGATAGCCAGGGGCTCGTTTTGCCCAGCAGCCGCCGTCTCGGAGCATTAACAGCTGGCCTCATTACGGTACTGGTGCTCACCTCTCTGTTTCGGCATCTTTCCTAAGTGTTCGTAACTCAGCGGGTGTGGGCCAAAACACATGTTGCTTAGGGTCGGGTGTCCTATGGAGGTGGGCCTGCTCGGGACCGGCCGTTGAGCAGGGGTTGGGGCCTCGCCCAACCGTGTTGCCACCCATCGCGGTTTGACCTGAAGCAGCGACGTCACCTAGGGCTGAAGCAGGCCGGGATGCAAAGTCATCAAGCCTTAAAGACTCACGAGCTCTGCACGACACCGGGTCACTCACATGAACCGAAGGCTCAGATGCAAAATCCGACAATCGAAGGGAGGCGGATTTAGGGCCGCCACCACGAAACAATGCACTCGGCTCGCACAAGCCGCTTTCATGCTGTTCCTTAAGCTTCATAGCCCGCTCGAGCGGATCCGCATCCGCCAAGAACTCATAGTGAGAACCCTTGTGCCACAAGTAAATGCTCTGATCGCGGGCCTTGTCGTTGATAGCCCAGACCTTTCCCTCCAGGGTGCCAATCCGCACCTGGACCTTGTGAGCCTCCGCAAATGCTAAGGCCTCCAATGCACCTCCCCAGCATCCCGGAATCTTCTGGAGATTCATGTATGTTGAGAAACTCACCTCAGCGGTCTGGGGCCTGCCACGATCATCAGGCCGCTGCTGCCCTATCCACAGTTCCTCAAATTGTGCTCGATGCTTCGACATGTAGCCAACGACAAAAGCCCGGATGCCTCGGTGCGATCGCTGTCCTCCATCCCTGCTGGTATCCCCAAAGTGGTTGAGGGCCTGGGCCAAGGAATGGTAAAGACAGTCCCCACGCGCACCCTTGTTCTCCGTCACGTCGCCCATGTAGTCCCGGGCAACAGTCAAAGAAGAAGCGGCGGACGGCGGCTGCCCGGAACCACCTCCATCCTCCTTCGCACTTCCCTTCTTGCCCTTCCCGTTGGCCGGGTTGGCCGGTGTGAAGAAGGACTCCATCATGTTCTGCATCATCGTCTCCATCATCTTCTTGAGCATGCCCATCATCTGCGCCTGGGCCGCCGGACAGAGCAAAGAGGAGATATCGGGAACTGTTGGTGCGCTCACTGGAGTCATCCCCTGCTGCCTGCGACTGCGCTTGCGCTTTGTGACAAAGGATCCCCAGGCCGATGGTCCTGGGTGCGATGCCTCCCCAATCCTCGTGCCGAGGAGGGAATTGTGGTGACCCGGGTCGAAGAAGACCACAGCGAGCCACCCATCATAGTCCGAGAGGATCTTCGCGACTGCCTGCATAAGGGCCTGTTTCCTCTTTCCTCTTTCGCGCCATCTAGGGCGGAGGGTTTAGGGTTGAAGGTTTTTTTTGAGCTCCTTTCGTAGGATTAAGGGTCTAGGGTTTATTTAGAGTTTAGGGCCTAGGGTCTGACAGAACACCCGGTTGCCCTGAGGCTCATGCTGGGCTGCATGGAAGCTCTTCAACCTTGCTCCCTTTAAATGGAATATAATACAGTATTTAAAGCTTCTGATCCAGCACGGTCTAGCATCGTTCTTGATGAAGTCACCGCCCTGCCAGAAGGCATAGCAAGCCTCGCCGAAAGGCTTGGGCTGCAGGCCGAGCTTGGGCTTGATGATGGTTCCAACCACGAGACCACCGTTGCTGGTGCCCTTGCCCAGGATGCGCCACATGTCCTCCACGTTCACGGCGGGCCCATCATACAGGCGCAGGAAGGACGGGGGCAGGTAGAAGTCGTAGATCTTGCCGTACTCGACATCGCCCATACCTGCAACATGCCGCATGTGCGTGCCTCCGGCTTCTACCTACTGTAACATGCTAGCTGGCAGACCGACTCAGCTCGCCACCCTGGTTGTTGCCGATGGCCAGGGTGAGGAAGGAGCACATCATGCCGCGGCCATCGATGATGTTGCGGTCGAACAGCAGCGTGGGGTAGGCGATCTTCATCTCCTCGCTGTCAGGGTCGATGTAGTAGACCAGGGCATCCACGGACTTCGTGAAGTCGTCGGTGGTGCACACGTTCACATTGGTGCCGGTGGAGGACTCGGCCGCAAAGTGGGCGGCGGTGGCCAGGTAGTCGTAGCCCGCCTTCGGCTTCATGATGTACGCAACCAGCACGTGCTTGCCGTTCCTTACGTATCAAACGAGTCTTTTCCGCAAACAGTCACCTTAACAACGATTCCAGACATGTTTAAACAAAGAAATGATCAGTCAAAGGCATCTGCTAGGCCATCTATCCAATCAATATCAGTCACCCCGACCTGCAGCTAAGCGTCTTGATCAGTGTGGCCTCGTCCAGGGACAGGTCGGCGTATCGGCTGGACTGGTCCAGGGCCTTGCGCGAGACGCTGCTCTCCTTCTTGGTGGGGGCCACGCTGGCACCGACGAAGGCTGCGGCGGAGGCCTTCTTAGCCCAGTCGAAGCTGGCCGCCTGCACGGAGGACTCGCCAGTGTAGCCGAGCTTCTCCTTCCAGCCCGGGTAGATCTGGTCGGCGTCCTTCTGGAAGGTGAGGAAGGCACCCTTGATCTCCTCGTGCGTCTTGGCGAACTCGATGACGCCATCGCTCAGGCTGATGTTGCCGTACTGTCCGGCCTTCCAGGCCTTCCAGGCCTCCTCGCCCTGTCGGCAGGAGATGGCACCAGGCTTGGGTCCGTCCTTGTGGCCGAAGGAGCCACCGCCGGCGGTCAGGATCACGTTGGAGTGGCCCAAGTTCTCGAAGAACGCTGGCAGACGCAGGGCGTTCATGCCGCCGGAAATGATGGGAGTGGTCTGCTTCATGCCCTCCCACTCCTGGTGGTAGTAAGGGCCGTCGGCCTCATCGTCCTGAAGCATGAAGGCGATGTTCTTGTCGGAGGCATCGCCCTCCATCTTGCCGAAGCTCATGGTGCCGGTGTGGATGCCGGACGCACCGATAACTCGGGAGATCTTCGTGTGCACGAAGGCGGTGTAGCCTCGCTGGGTCTGCGGGCTGGTCACGGATCCGTGTCCGGCTCGGTGGTAGTGCAAGAACTGCTTGGGGAAGTTGCGGCGTGCGCAGGTCACGGCGGTGCCTCCTGCGACGTATCCATCCACCAAAAATGCGCAGTTCTCGGACAAAGGTCCGAACTGGGACAGGCAGTACTTGCCGCGCGCGATCATCTCGTTGGGATCATCCGCAGTGATGTTGGCCGAGAACAGCTTGCCAACACCGGTCTCCTTGATGCAGGCCCTCATCGCCTTCACGACCTCCGGAATGCACTCGTTCATCTGGCAGAACACCTGGTTGCCCTGCGGCTCATCCTAGGCTGTATGGAGGGTCTTCAGCAACCCATTTCGCTGCTCCGAATAAAAATGGTATATACCATGCTAGCATCCAAGTAAAAAAAAAACGTTTGCTCCAGCACGCGCTAGGATCGTTCTTGATGAAGTCACCGCCCTGCCAGAATGCGTAGCAGGCCTCGCCGAAGGGCTTGGGCTGCAGGCCGAGCTTGGGCTTGATGATGGTTCCAACCACGAGGCCACCGTTGCTGGTGCCCTTGCCCAGGATGCGCCACATGTCCTCCACGTTCACGGCGGGCCCATCATACAGGCGCAGGAAGGACGGGGGCAGGTAGAAGTCGTAGATCTTGCCGTACTCGACATCGCCCATACCTGCATCATGCCGCAAGTGCCCGTCTCTCACATCATACCAAGCATGCCTCCAACTTCTACCTACAGCAACACGTCAGCTGGCAGACCGACTCAGCTCGCGACCCTGGTTGTTGCCGATGGCCAGGGTCAGGAAGGAGCACATCATGCCGCGGCCATCGATGATGTTGCGGTCGAACAGTAGGGTGGGGTAGGCGATCTTCATCTCCTCGCTATCAGGGTCGATGTAGTACACCAGGGCATCCACGGACTTCGTGAAGTCGTCGGTGGTGCACACGTTCACGTTTGTGCCCGTGGAGGACTCGGCGGCGAAGTGGGCGGCGGTGGCAAGGTAGTCGTAGCCCGCCTTCGGCTTCATGATGTACGCGACCAGCACGTGCTTGCCGTTCCTCGGTCAACAAGTCTTTAACAGAAGCCACACAGAGCTCTGAACATGCATCTACGGACTACTCGACCCTTGCAAAACCATATGAACCTCACAATTTCCTGCAAGAACTTGCTGTGCTTCGCGACTCTAGTGACGCCAGCACCAGCCACTCCAACCTGCAGCTAAGTCTCTTGATTAGGGTGGCCTCGTCCAGGGACAGGTCCGCATAGCGACTGGACTGATCCAGGGCCTTGCGCGAGACGCTGCTCTCCTTCTTGGCAGGGGCCACGCTGGCACCGACGAAGGCCGCGGCCGACGCCTTCTTGGCCCAGTCGAAGCTGGCCGCCTGCACAGAGGACTCACCGGTGTAGCCGAGCTTCTCCTTCCAGCCCGGGTAGATCTGGTCGGCGTCCTTCTGGAAGGTGAGGAAGGCACCCTTGATCTCCTCGTGGGTCTTTGCGAACTCGATGACGCCATCGCTCAGGCTGATGTTGCCGTACTGTCCGGACCTCCAGGCCTTCCAGGCCTCCTCGCCCTGTCGGCAGGAGATGGCACCAGGCTTGGGTCCATCCTTGTGGCCGAAGGAGCCACCGCCGGCGGTCAGGATCACGTTGGAGTGGCCCAAGTTCTCGAAGAACGCTGGCAGACGCAGGGCGTTCATGCCGCCGGAAATGATGGGAGTGGTCTGCTTCATGCCCTCCCACTCCTGGTGGTAGTAAGGGCCGTCGGCCTCATCGTCCTGAAGCATGAAGGCGATGTTCTTGTCGGAGGCATCGCCCTCCATCTTGCCGAAGCTCATGGTGCCGGTGTGGATGCCGGACGCACCGATAACTCGGGAGATCTTCGTGTGCACGAAGGCGGTGTAGCCGCGCTGGGTCTGGGGGCTGGTCACGGATCCGTGTCCGGCTCGGTGGTAGTGCAAGAACTGCTTGGGGAAGTTGCGGCGTGCGCAGGTCACGGCGGTGCCTCCTGCGACGTATCCATCCACCAAGAATGCGCAGTTCTCGGACAAAGGTCCGAACTGGGACAGGCAGTACTTGCCGCGGGCGATCATCTCGTTTGGATCGTCCGCTGTGATGTTGGCCGAGAACAGTTTGCCCACACCGGTCTCCTTGATGCAAGCCCTCATGGCCTTCACGACCTCGGGGATGCACTCGTTCATCTGGCAGAACACCTGGTTGCCCTGCGGCTCATCCTGGGCTGCATGGACGCTCTTCAACAACCCATTTCCTTGCTCAATTTAAATGGAATACACCATGCTAACATTAAAGCTTATTTGACGCTTTTGTTCAAGCACGGTCTAGGATCGTTCTTGATGAAGTCACCGCCCTGCCAGAATGCGTAGCAGGCCTCGCCGAAGGGCTTGGGCTGCAGGCCGAGCTTGGGCTTGATGATGGTTCCAACCACGAGACCACCGTTGCTGGTGCCCTTGCCAAGGATGCGCCACATGTCCTCCACGTTCACGGCGGGCCCATCATACAGGCGCAGGAAGGACGGGGGCAGGTAGAAGTCGTAGATCTTGCCGTACTCGACATCGCCCATACCTGCATCATGCCGCAAGTGCCCGTCTCTCACATCATACCAAGCATGCCTCCAACTTCTACCTACTGTAACATGCTACGGCTTCAGATGCCATCGCTAGGGCTTGCGGCATCGTGCGCCTAAGACAGCCAGAAACGAGGGTTTAGTAGTAGTACTAGTAGTAGTAGTAGTAGTAGTAGTAGTAGTAGTAGTAGTAGTAGTAGTAGTCGTAGTCGTAGTCGTAGTAGTAGTAGTAGTAGTAGTAGTAGTAGTAGTAGTAGTAGTAGTAGTAGTAGTAGCTGGCAGACCGACTCAGCTCGCGACCCTGGTTGTTGCCGATGGCCAGGGTGAGGAAGGAGCACATCATGCCGCGGCCATCGATGATGTTGCGGTCGAACAGCAGCGTGGGGTAGGCGATCTTCATCTCCTCGCTGTCAGGGTCGATGTAGTAGACCAGGGCATCCACGGACTTCGTGAAGTCGTCGGTGGTGCACACGTTCACGTTGGTTCCCGTGGAGGACTCGGCGGCAAAGTGGGCGGCGGTGGCCAGGTAGTCATAGCCCGCCTTCGGCTTCATGATGTACGCGACCAGCACATGCTTGCCGTTCCTTGCGACAGCATACAAATTGATTTGCTGATTAGCGGAGGTTTCGGCTTCCCCTTTTGCTTCCTACGCCTTGGCATTACAAGTATGCTGAAGTATGCTCGTCTGTCCACACTTGATTCAGACCCAGGGGCTTGATCAGCGTGGCCTCGTCCAAGGACAGGTCCGCGTATCTGCTCGACTGGTCCAGCGCCCGGCGCGCCACGCGGCTGTCCTGCCCACAGTCAGGAAGCATGCCCGAAACCTCGAGATGATCCAGCGCTGCTGGACTGTGAAGACATGAGCCCTGACATCGTGAACAGTCTATCGTCCCCCCTACACAGAGGAGAGGTTGAAAGATGTTCAGACGTCTGTGACCTGAACCCCACACCTGAACCAGCAGTTCGAAAACCTGAACATCAAGCCAGAAGCACAACTTTGAACATCAATCGTAGCTGAAAGTGTTGCAGTCATTGCTCTGACAGCCACAATGAATCACAGTTACTGACAAAACAAACGACACGGCCGCGACAGGAGCAACCACAAGACAAGCAAACAAATTACAAACAACAGCTGTGGCACCGGGCCCTCGGCCGAATCGCACAGAAGTTCTCAAGGATATCTTGTTCAGACTTTTGGGGCTGGTGCTCACTTCACCTATTTCGAGAAGATCACAGTACTTGTCACTCTTGTGCTTGCTACTGTTTCTACGATAGCCGTGATCACTGTCGAGCTTTGTACTTGAAACTCGTTTGCTGACTCTAGGTCATATGACTACTACAGGAGCTTCGCAAAGCCCGAGGCTACTTCGGACTGAAAGCTTTAGGCTACGGTGTCTACGTTTCAGATCTGGGTCAAGTTGCTGCTGGAGCCGTGCTCCCGCTACAGGGCCTGCCGGGGTCCTTGACCGGCACCACGGTTGTAGGAAGGATGGAGCTTCGCGTCTGGCGTCCTGTGCAGTGCATATGCGAAGGCCTCAAACTTTAAACCCGACGAGTGCATCTCAAGAAAGGGAGCTGTTTTTGCCTGTTTACGGCTGCTTTTCTCACTGCTTCTACACGTGGAATCTCATACACCACAATGAGCTAACACCGAGGGAACGTAGCTGCTGTCACTCCGATCACTGTGGCCACCACCACCATCGTCCACCCGTTTTTATCTTCGATGTCTGTTGCTGGCAGCACCAAGTCATTCGCTTGGCACTCTATGCGGACATGGCAGGCCTCGCGCGCGGCTTTGCCAGGCGGCGGCTCTGCCGAAACTCGCCGATGCATTGCACTCCATGCTAAGACACCGGCCGATCACATGATGCATAAACTGGCTCGAGCAATCGAACTAGCATAAGGCTTTTCTGCTTAGCCTCGAACGTCGATTTTAACAAGTCTAAAGTTCACATGCAGTTCTCACTGGTGGCCACAGACTCCGTGTGAGACTGGTGCTCGCTGCTTTGGGTCTTGCTCTTCTCGGAGCTCTGTGCCGGTCCGTGGAACATCCCACCCATCTCGGACCAGTAGTAGCATGGGCTCAGCAGTGCCCAAAACATGACATAGCCCGCATGCACCTGAGTGGTTATCAAAATTATGGTCTTTTTTGGGTACCCTAAATAGTACGTGCCGTATTAGAATAAGGACCCTAAAAAAAGGAACCATAATTTTGACGACCACCCACCTGGAAAGGCAGCAGAGCATCCTCGATCGGCTTGTAGAAGCAGAAGCCTGCAATCACGGCCCCGAGATTTCCACCGGCACCCACAAGCGCGGACACAACTGCGAGCTGCTTCCTGACATGCGCATACCACCACGTGGTACAAAAAACTACAAAGATCAGTTGTTGCCATGATCGCATTACTTCACACCTTGATGTGCCGACCTGTCCCACACTAATGCAACAACAGGTGGCAACTGCAAATCACCTACAGTCTTCCGAGCACTGATCCAAGCTTCCGGTTCATGAAGGGTACGATGCCGTAGGAGGTGCCCTCAGCCATCTGCACAAAAAGCGAGAAGCAAACCAAGACTGCCAATGCCACGTACCAAGGCTGGGAATTGTCCACGTTTCCGAAGCTGAATAGGAAGATAGCTTCGAAGAAGAGTGCCAGGAACTGGGCCCAAATGCGGCCGCGGAAGCCGAAGTGCTTGAAGCACACATCGCTGCTGATGCCTCCAAGTGATCGAGCGAAGAGATTCATGAGGCCGAAAGAACCCGCCAGGGCGCTGGCATCACCTGCATCCATCTGGAAGTATGTCCGAAAATGCGTAGCCAACTGATTGTTCATTGCGAGCTCTGTGCCGAAACAAGCGGAATATTGGAATATCATGATAACGACGCGAACGTCACGCAGCACCTCCACATAGTCCCACATTGAAGGCTTTTGTGTCTTTCCGGTCACGGTCGGATCGAAGTTGCGTGCCGTAGGCATATCCCAGCACAGAAGTTTCATGCAAATGGCGCAAATCACAAACATGACGGCTGGCACCGCCATGGAGACACGCCAAGCGACGTTTGGCTCCAGCCCGGACGCCACCATAGGATTGAAAAGTACCGACATCATAAAAATCTGGGTCACGCCGCCTCCCAGGTTGCCCCAACCGGCCGCAGTGGCGTTGGCCGTGCCGACAACGTTGGGGGCAAACATCAACGAACACCAGAACTGATTGGTCACGAACGTGGCGCCAGCACAGCCAATGAAGAAGCGGATTAGCGTATAGTTCCATGGAGCCGAAATCGCGGCCGCCATTGCCACCCAAAAAGCGCCGAAGGACAATAAGCCGCACTGAACGTTCACTGGGCCGAAGCGCTCCAGCAGCGTCCCCAAGGCTATCCTCACGAAGATAGTCGAGGCAACCGATGCTACGCCTGCGTTAGCAATCACCGAATTGCACTCTGTGCCCGGGGTGCACACGCACTTTGTGAGCACCTGGGGCCTGTACTTCTCCTTCTGCTCAGCCGTTGAGTCGGCGCCGCTCACCACATCTGCGGGGACGTCGTTGCAGTCGATCAGGGCGCCATCCTCCTTAAGGACCCCGTACTGGCAATAGCTCAGCCCACTCTTCAAGTTCTTGAACTTCAGGTAAGCTGGTCGCGTTGGAAAGTCCGTAGGAGGGAAGAGCTGGTTCTCGCACGTTCCCATGCTGGTCGCAACTTCGAGGCCTAAAGGCGCCAAGGCAAACCAGCCTAGGAACGCAAGGAAGAAAGAGATTGTGCTGGCCCAGAAGGCACGCATGTGCGGATGAATCAGTGTTTGAGAAGACGACAGGGTGCCATACAAGATGCCCTAGACGCCGAAGAAGGCCACGCTCACTTCAGGCCCTGCGCATGGCGCGCATAGGCTTCCGCAATTCTTGCAACCGCCTGCAGCGTCTGCATCTCCCACTGCTTTGCAGCAGCCACCGAAGCAATCCACGCCGGACGAGAAGACCTCGCCCTCCTCGCTGCCACAGCCTGCTTGGCCGCGACATCTGCCCGATCATTGAGTCGGCGAAGGCGGTCAGGGTGACACCACTCAGGAGGCATGAAGTTCACACTCTCCTTTCCATGCGATGGTACCCAGACCATGTGGAGCTGCCAGTGCACGTGGAGGCCAGCTCGTAGGACGCCAAGTCGACGCGCCAGCCCCGGAAGCTCAGAGCCACCGCCGAAGAAGACAGCGAGAGCCGCCTGACAGTCAACGGCGACCGTACAGGGTGTAGGCCTCGAAGGAGCCGGCAGACCAGCCAGGGCCTCCAGCAGAACCACCATCGCGTAGACCTCCGCCTTGAAAGGGGACTGGTCCTCGCCAGGCACGCCACCTTGGATGACCTCGTCGATGCCCTCCACAACGACCGCGAAGCCAGAGATCATGTCCTTTTCGGAGCCATCGGTGCCCACCAGCAGCGGCCCACGTTCAACGGCAGCGCTCAGCACGTCGCGCAAGTCCTCAGCAAAGCTCGAAGGGTCCAGCACAGCAGGAGGAGGCGGTACTTCAGGAGTGGTGATCGCGAAGAGTCTCTCCTGTGCACGGTCACACGGCATCCTCGGAGGTCGTAGGTGACGCAAGGCCTCACAGTTCCAGGCTAAATGAGGCCTCGAGGGAAGGCGCTTTCCGCAAACACAAACAGCACGAGGGTCCTCAGCTCTCAGTGCAGCCTTCGGGAAGTGCGACCAAACCGAGCACCCTGCAGCAAGCGCCGTCTGGAGCGACCACTTGTCGCTGGCTCCTGCGAAGGCGGCCTTATGGCCCTGAGCAAGCACGACATGATCTGCTGAAGGCTTTGGCAGGTCTAATCCTTGTGCAAGCTGGGCCTCAGAAGGCCGGTGTAGCGACTTGGCAATTCGGCTACACGTCTGCAAGGCCGATCTGGACAACTCGTACTCGATCCATTGGGCCAGCAGCTCAGTACTATCCTCACCCATCACAAAGGATCGCAATCGACCATGAGCATCCCGTCTACAGAAGCTGAGGCTACCAGGCCCGAGCCACCAGCCAAGGGTGTCCATCGCAAGCTGCACTCCAGGGAGAATGGCCGCGGCAGGGCGCAGGGCAAAGTTGACGCCGATATCCTCCAGCCAGCGGGGCTGCCTAAACTGCCATCGGATGCAAGTTCGCAAAGTAGCCAGGAGGGCCGCGCCGACCGGCTCGTGGCGCCATCCCAAAATTTGCAGAGCCAGGACATTCGGCGTATCAACAAGGGCCACTGGGTGGAACGCCCTCACCACATCGTAGCGTAGATCCCTCAGTGTCTGCAGATCATAGGCGGCGACACCAGCACACCAGGTGAGTTTAGGGATCAACATCTGCTTCAGGATGTCTCCACGAAGAGCTCCCGGGCCAGGGAGCATGCCGATGCACTTGGCAAGGAGGCGGATGGCCGCAGGCAGGTCCGGGTCCATACTGATGGCACCGCGTTGGCCAGCAACATGGATCAGACCGAGAACCTTGAGTTTGCTAGTGAGCGGGTAGCGTACCGCCTCAGCGAGATTGACGACGGCAGGGCAGAACCCTGGACCTGCACCATCAAGAGCTGCCGCCACCGCACACTTCTTCGGCTTGCACTCAAACTGCACGCAGTCGTCGAAGGCATTGCTGGCCTCGATAGCCCTCTGCAAGTCAGGCACTCGGCCTGCCCTCCCGAAGATCAGGCGATCATCAACAAAGGTGGAGACGCGGGCAAAAGGCCGCAGCACCCAGCCCCACGTGTTCATGAACAACGCACTCAGCATAGGAGAAGCCGGGCATCCCTGGAGAATGCCACGTCCAACCTTAAGCGCAGAGGCACCCTCCGAGCCCAAACGGAAGCCCTTGTAGACCAGAACCCGAGAGGCCTGGGAGTAAAAGTCCACGAGCACATCGATGAAGGCCCGAGGCGCTCCATAATGCTGAAGGGTCAGCCTCAACAACGAGTGGTCGATGCTATCGAAGAACTTCGTCAGGTCCTGAGAGACGATAACGGAGTCCGGCGTGTTCTCGAAGTCCAGCAAGGCGTGGCTGTCGATGACGCTGGAGCCGTGGACCCCACCGAAGGTGAAGTGCGTGAGCCAGCCATCCATCCAAGGCCGGAGCCGACGAAGGACAACCTTCATGATGATTCGCCACACCACCGGTGCCAGAGCGATCGGGCGGTGCTCACCTGGCTCAGCCTTGTCGAGGAGGGAAACCGTGCAGCAGGACCAAGAGCGCGGCACTGTGCCATGAGCAAAGATGCCCTCACATAAACTGACCAGTCCACTCCACCATGCCGTTGGGAGCAAAAGGAGCTCCTCCGCCGTCCACTGGTCGCGTCCAGGAGCACGACGGCTCATCTGACGCGCCGCCTGCTGCAGCTCCTCCACAGTGAACGAGCAGTCCAGCGTAGCCTGAGGACATGCAGGGACCTGCCGAAGGTAAGCACGGAAGCGGGCCTCGTCCACCTCGCGAGCCATCCAACGCGCTTGCCACTCCACAGCTGCCTTGTCCAAGACACGAAGAGGGTGAAGAGCAACAGCGTGCAGCTCCTCAGAGGAAGTGATGCGCCGCGGATTGGCCTCACGAAAAGACTCCACCTTACGACGCACCCACGCAAGCCTAAAGCGTGAGGAAGAAGCCACTTTGCTGCGCCAGCGGGCCAAACGGAGAGCACGCTCCCGATCAACCTGGGCCTCAACAAGCACAGTCACCCGGGCAATCGCCGAAGGCTCGGAGAGATCAATGGTGCCAAGCTCAGGGAAGTCCCGCTGCAAGCGCTTGTGATCCCAACGCAACTTCTGTGCCAGTCGAAAAGTGTCAACTCCAGGCTGCCGCGAGGCCTGGAGCCGCCGTAAGAGACGCCTGAGGCTTCGCAACTTTGCAGTTTCAGGCTCGCGAGTGGCCTTGTGGCCCAGATCCTTCCGCCTCCGAGGAGCCGCGGAGCCAGTCCTGCTACAGGAGGAGTCAAAGTAAGAGGCCATGCACTGCTCCGCGGAGTCCGAAAGGTAACACCAGGCCTCCTGCAACGCACCCTGACGAACCAAAGCAGCGAAGTCACGAGGCTTCCAGAGAGCCTCGAAAGCCTGAGCGATGACCGCCGGGTCCTCGACATCCAAGACATTGCCAGGCGAGATGATGGTCTCCTGCTGGGCCGTGTGGATGTCCAGGTGGTACTCAAGCAACAGGTGGTTGGCAATCCCACGGCGATGGGTCAGTTTAACCGCCCAAAGACGGTGACCGGCAGCCCAATCAATGCGACGATGCCCGGTGCAGGTAGCTGGTAAAGAGAAGCAAGCCTCAAAGTCAGCGTCCAAGTCGCGAGCCAGGCCTTGAGAGAAGACCGACCAAAGCTCCTCACGAGTGGCGTTGTAATCCCCGATGGAAATCCACGGCAGGCCCACACAGGTGAGAGCTCCGAAAAGTTCCTCACAAAGCACCTTAGTAGCGGGAAGGTCCGTGGCGAAGCCATAGACGTCGACCGCCAGGAACTTAAAGTAACCATTGGCATGCGGGACCTCAATGAGCACCGCGGCGAAGCGCGTAGCATCCAAGCGGTCGTCAAGCGCAATCGGCGAGGCAGCCAGAGAGGTGAGGAGCCCCGTGCGGACCACCCTACGCTCGTCAGGCCGGGCTGCAAAGAACTTGTAGCCGAGCTTCTTCCACTCCTCACAAAACCGAGGAAGGCTGTCCATAGGAATATCCGCCTCCTGCAGCGCAAAGATGTCTGCACCTTGCATGGCCTCGAAGATGGCAGGAATCTTGGCCACCGCGCTCTTATCTACATTCATGGAGCCTATGCGGACGAACGCTCCTCTGGATCAACCTCGCGAATGGCACCATCGTAGATGGAGGTCAAGACCTGCTTGGAGATACCACTGAAGGAAGGGTTCTTGGCTCGGTGCTCCCTCAAAGCGATCTTTCTTTCCTTGCGCAAAGTAGCGGCCGCCTTGCCAGGATGCGGATTCCAAGTAGGGCATTTGTGGGCCAGCACAGCTTTGTAAGTCTTGTACACACCATTGCATCCTTCTCGCGTGCAGCGCCAGGCAGTCTTCAAGCAAAGTGCAATAGGCTTCGATGTTTTCACCAGCACTGGCCTGCGGAACACAGCAACATCAGCCTGGCCCTTCGCCCTCAGCATGTGAGCTGACGTCGTGCGGGTCACCTGCGTGAATCTATTGGCAGCATTGTCCTGAGGGGCACGGGCCTTGCACTTTTTGGCTTTCCGCCAAGCACCCATAGTGACAGAAGCATGCTTGTCCTTGCGATGTGCTGCTGCCGCCCGAGTGATAGCATGCCTGCTCGCATTGAGGCTCCGAGGGATAGCAGCATCACAAAGTGGACATTTCCAGCTTACAGGAGTCCGTGGAGTGACAGGCACCACACGCACTGGTCTCGACTGCTGTTTGGGTCGTGCAGCATGCGGGTGGCATGATTTGTAATGAGAGAAATGCCGTGTGGCAGCGTGAGCTGCAGACTTACATACCACTCTCCACGGACAAATGTCGCACTTGGCGACATAATGCCCATTCTCAAGGAAACGAGAAGGCCGCAGAACTTTGGACCCGTCCGCGTGCAAAGTGCGAAGTTCGGCTCTGGAGGGACCGCCACGCTGAGCTCCCTCCTGCTGTGGGTCCTGCAAGTCTGGGCTAAACGAGTCCTCAAAGCCAGACAGGTCCTGGTCCTGCAACGAACACGAGCTAGCAGCACCCGTAGTGAGCAAAGGCCGCGGCGTTCCCGGCTGAGTGGCGTAGTCAGAAAGACACAGTCGTTTTGTGGCAGTAGCGCCGCCAGTGAAGCTGACGCCACGCACGGGCGTCCGGCAGGGCCTCGCCAAGCTCGAAGGGGCAGCACCAGAGGAAGAAGCACAGTCAGAGAGACGAAGACGCCGAGGAGGGCCTGTTCCAGACCCCGATTCTCGCGTCGAGAACGGGGGTCTGGATTCCGTGCCTTTTGACGAGGCGCAGTCCGAGAGTCGAGGCCGCCTTGTCGTAGAAGCACAATCCGAAAGCGAAAGATGAAGGTCACGTCCACCTCCTCGCAGCAAAGTGGTCTTGAGGTTCAGGGGCTGCCCGCCAATGGCTCGGTACCTGGCGCCGAGGGCCTCCTCGTCAGCATCTCGGAAGGCCTGCCAGTGTTGTCGCTCCTCGTCGTACTGCAAGAGAACAAAGCCACCGACACCCTCCGGGTAGATCAACCTGAGAGAGCCGTCTTTCTTCTCATACACCCACGTGCGTGTGCTAGTAGCCCGGGCGACCGCGCTGAGCTCCAGAGCGCCACCCCAGTTGGCACTGGTCGAAACCTCCTCGAGGAACTGCTGCCAGGTGAGGGCGCTCGTAGTCCTGCCCAGCGTGTTGTAGGCGCCACCCTCCTTCCAGATCCCCTCGAAATCAGAGGCATAGGATTCCAGACACCTACGGGCAAAACGCCGCATCTGTCTGTGAGTGACCGCATCGACAGCTTTGTCCTCGAAACCGCTCTGGGCCATCGCGTGAAAGAGGCAGTTGCCTCCTCCAGGATTGTCGTACAACGTTGCCGCCGGACTCCAATGTTCCGCGCTGGCAGAGCCTTTCACTTCCCCTCCATCCACATTCATCTTGTTTTCATCCTCAGGCCCAGCACGCTTTTGACCCTTGGAGGTTTGCTCGTCGGAAGAGTGGGGCACAACAGCCAAAGGCTCCGCTGGAGCACGAGGCCCTGCAGGGGAAGAAATGGCCGCAACACGCTTGCGTTGTCTCTGCCCCGTGCGTGCATCCTGCTTGACTGGGATCTCGGCAAATGAAGTGCTACGCCGCTCTGCAATGGGCGTGGTGCGAACCTTAGCATCAACGTGAGCACCGCGGCGGACGCTCTCCTTGAGAATGACGAGGTCGGACTGGACCCCTGCACCCCAGTCGACATGTTGCTGCAGCATAGATTGTCCATCTGCCCGAACAGCTTTGAAAGTCCACTCATTGGATTTTCGGCCTTTGTGGCAACCATGTATGGTGATCTCGGAGAACCCCAAGTCGCCGAGCAAGTCGTTGACCTCGTTGAAGCCGTAGTTGAACGGGATCGCCTTGGCGCGCCACATGCCAGGAACGGCAACGTAGTTAGGATCCTTGCTCCCAATGCGCCGCCCAAGTCCACGACCCAACACCAATCCCATTGGGGCGTTCTTGGCCGCCTTGCTGTGATACTCCTTGAAGGTCTCGGAGGGCTCCCATTTTTGCCATTGAACCATCACGGTGTCCTTGGCCCAAGCAGCAATGGTGTCGCGGAAGTCCTCGCCAGTCAGGTCCACAAAGAAGACGGCTCCAGCTGCCAGCGACCCGGAAGCCGCCCACAATTTTCGAGCCATGGCCTCGCTGCGGATGCGCATGAGGCCAGAGAGTCGGGAGCCTCCATGCTTGGCGAAGCCATAGGCGTCCAAGATGTCACCTTGACGAACGCCATGCTGCGATGCCCAGACTCGGGCAAACTTTGCGGGATTCTTGGAAAGCTCCTCCCAGGTAATGGTGCCGTAGGCTGCATCAGCAGTGAAGCGCATCACTACGGACTGTGCTCGCAAAGCCTGCAGAGGAGGAGGAGGCTTGCGTACAGCAAAGGTACCCTGAACCCGAGTAGAGAGATTCGGAGGGTCGCCACCAGCGGTCACCATGTGGAACTTTTTATGCAGAAGCTTTCCAAGAACAGTACCAGGCACAGGCAAGATGGTGACATCATCTGAGGTACCGTCGGGAGACCAAGGGGCTGCAGAGCTAGCCTCGTAGAGCAAAGTGAGGGAAAAGTCCGCCCCATCCGCATCGGCCCGCTCACCTGCAACCAGGTCCCAAAGCTCATGAGCGACCTCCGCACTAGAAGTCCAGGCTAGGATCGAAACCCCAGCAGCCGAATCCAAGAGCTCGCTCATGTCCTTGACGGTTTCTATAAAAGCCAGGCCACCCCTGGCCTGCCAGACATCGCGCTTGAGCTTCCAGGAGTGCTGCTCGGCATCCTGGTCCGCCTGACGCTCATCATCACGGTGGGTGTGACCTGGTCTGCGGCGCCATCGCTTTTTGGGACCCTCGACAGTCGAGTCCTTTACAGGAGTCAAAGAGACCCGCCTGGCAGGCTGCGCAGGCTCCTCAGTCCAAGCCTCTGTCGAGTAGTCCTGAAAAGTAGTGGGCTCATTCTGGTAGTCCCACCAATCACCCCAAGACCACGCGCCATGGCCTCCCGCTGAGTCCCACTGGTCGCCGCCATCATGCCAATCACTCGCGGCAGTGCGAACCTGCCACCCGTAAACATCGTCATGGCCATCATGCCCGCGAGAGGCCTGAGCCCCGACCCAGGCATCATCAGACCAATCCCTTGCAATAGTGCGAGCCTGCCACCCATAGCCATCGTCGTAGCCAGCACTGCCGTGAACTGCCGAGGCACCGACCCAGGGAGCATCATGAGCGCGAGAAGTCGAGGCCCCGGCGGAGCCCCATTCAGCAATCAGCTCCTTGATGATGCTACGGCACACCTTGGCGACGTCACTTTTGGTGAGGGGCTTGGCCATTCCAAGCTGCCTCCGACGCTTAGCTGCCAATCCGCCAGGACCCGGATGTCGGGCCTCGCCAATGCGTATCCCGGCATAGGGCCCCCGCCTGAACCGATCAGAACCGAAGCCGAAATCAGCAGCATCCTGATGCATGACATCGAAGCTTGAAGAGAAACCATAGGAACAAGTAGCATTGCCGTCCACAGCCACATCAAAATTGTACATGACGGCGTTGGCGTCACTCAGAAAAGAGCAGGACGAAGTAATTCCATCCCACAGATTGCCATCAGCAAAAGCGTTGACCGCACCGATGGAACCAAAACTTTCGAATTCGAAGCCCGCCAGAAGGCTCCAACCGGTCAAGAGCAAGGCGTAAGGCAACCAACCTGAGGGTCGCAGCATCCGTCGATGGGCACGTAGTCCACGTCGAAGCGGAGGAGCTCGATCCTGGACAGTTGCTGCCCAAACGCCATGGCTCGCGCGAGGGGCTAGGAAGGAACCGGGGAGCCCTGCAGGGCTACATTCATGGCAATCGAGGCGCAAAGCCTCTGGGCCCCGCAGGCTCTTCGCTTTGTTCTTGTCATTGTTCTTGAACACATTGTTAGTCCCATCAGGGATCTTCTTCACATCTTTTCTAGGTCCTTGGGTCCTGTCCCGCAACGCCACAAGAGGCAAAGGAACCCTAGACCTAACACCTGGACAGCGCCTACCATGCAAAGCAGCGCGACCACAAAATGAGACATGCTGTACAACACGGCTCACCCGAGAAGTGCCTCTCAGAGGGAAGGCTGGGCCTCCAAGTCGATGAAGTGCAGGCTGACGAAGCAACCACAAAGCCGCGGCAACGTTTAGCCGAGCGGCCGCCCTTGTGACTGAGGAGGAGTGACGAAGCCAGCGTCGCCGAGTGCGCGACCAAGCCCTTCTCCTCCTTCCCACACGTCGTGCAGCAAATGCAATGCATCGCCGCTGCCACTGTTCAAGATGTGCATACCAGGATTTCCGCGAAAACTGAGGCTGCCCCGCAACCTTCCGAAGACGCCGGAAAGGACGACGATGTCGGGCGCGATGAGGCCGTTGATCGGGTCGGCCACAGCGCAGAGCTCGTCGTCCATCGAATTTGAAATGGTAGTTGAACAATTCCCTCACTGTCCAACAAAAGATCCCGAAGAAGAGCAGCCAGCACCCAATCACTAGCAAGGTGAAAGCCGGCAGCTCCCTCTGTCGCACGAGTCCCGCCACATAGCCCATTAGGCAGGTCTCACTAGCAATCTTGAACACCTGCAAAATGCAGTTGTTCCTCCTGTGGTGTCGAGCGAAAGCACATAGTGCATGTGTGAGCTCGCCTATGCATGCAATCAGCATGAAAAGCAAGAAGAAACGTTGGGGCTGCACACAAGAGACAGCCGCAATCTGATACCATGAAGCTACCAGCATGAAACACATTGCTGGCGCTAGGCATACTGGGGAGCTTCGCACCTTGGAAACCAAGGCCCGCTGTCGCCATCGAGGAGGCGCTCCCGAAACAGCACGCATGTGCGGATTTTGCTGCACGGTGCCGCAAACCCTCAACAGCGGCAGCTCCGTGGCCTTCTTGCTGGAATCCACTGCCAACTTGTACTCCATGGTTCTACAAAGCAGGATGACACTCTCTGTCCTAGAGGCTAGAGCTCGAGCACCAAAAACTTGAGCAAGAGAATGAGAGGCTTTACAGCTTTTTGGGCTGCTAAGCTTTTTGGTGCCATTTTTGCAGTTCTTCCACATTCTGCTACGATGCTTTTGCTGATATGACTGCTGCGATCATCTCTCTGCTACCATTATCACCACTACCACAACCGCCACCACCACCACAAGAACCAGCAACACCACCGCCACAGTCACCACCACCATCACCACGCCACCATCCCCTTCTTTTCATCGCCACCATCATGGGCATGCAATCGCAAAGTTTCTCGCGTTTGAAGTTGGAAGCACGGAACTCAATCTGCGCAGTCTCTGCACGCACACTTGACCTAAGCCGCTGGAACAGATGCATTGGAGATGTGGGCCTGGTCGGCTGGCAGCGACAGCTGCTGCAGCCACGGCTCCACCGGCAGCGAGAGCCTCACTTGCGCCCCTCCCGCGGAGATTTCAAGCAGAACGTGCTTTGGGGCTTTTTGCTTGTCGATCAAGGTCCAGGTCAGGCTCCCCCAAGCACAGCCTGGTCACCCCTGGTCACCCATCGGAAAGCATCCAGGAATTGGAAAAGTGACTGCTCTGAACTTGCCAAGATCGGCAAAAGCACCAAGCTTCCCATCAAGAACTGTCTACACCTATATGCGCCCAAAAGCCGAAAACACGACATGATCTTGGTTCCAAGGCACAGAGAAGGACGAACTCCCGGCAGCCTGAGCCTCGTGAAAGCTGGAACCCTTCAGAAACGCTGTAGCGGTGATGGCGATGAAGAAAACTGTGCTGCACCGGCTGCATGATGGCATGACTACGCCCTGTTTTCTCCGTCACAAGTTTTGCTGCGACTACTTGTGACTGCCGTTTTTCTGCCATCATCGTTATCATCATCACAGCCAGCAACGCCATGATCATTCTTATCACCATGGTTGTCATACAAAACGTCAGGGATCATCATTCTCCTTGTGGACAGCGCCGTCGATAGTCAGTGAAATTTACGGTCACTGTTGCACGTACGGGTCGGTAATGCTGGTACTACATTGCAACTGGTAGGAGTGACGGTGCCACTGAACGAATACTACTACCATCATCACTTCTGTTCTTGTCTTTCTTAAGGTTCTACAACCTTGTATGAGCGGTGTTCTCTTCGCTGTCAAGAGTCTTACCGGAATTACTACAAAATTTGCTATGGTTGATACTCGTTTTGCGCTTCTCACCCTCTTTCACTTCTCATTCTACTGAGTCGTCGTGCTCTCGTCACTCTCCTCACCCAAAGCTTGCCTTCATCCTGTGTTGGTTGTACTAGTAGTCGTAGGCCGTAGTTGTCTGAGTGTTTTTAAGTCTTCCTGCGAATATTGCTCCTGTTGTTCCTTTACTGCAATAACTTTTCTACTATGACTATGACGGATCTCATCACTCCTATTACCCTTGCTGCCACCGTCATCGTCATTTTTCATATATAGCACAGTATGGTTTGTGTAAGCAGCTGGCCCTGCTGCTTCTGGAACGAAGCCGGTGCAGACGCAGAAACCGAAGTGTACTGTAGAACAGGCAAACGTCACAAGTTGCCTGCGCCTGGGACACGGAGGTGCCGCGGAGGCTCGGCGCACTGGCCTCTGCCGACTGCAGGATTGCGCTTGGGAGGTCACGCTTGGGGCTTGCCATGCTGGTCGTTCTGAGTTTCGGCCTCGGCAAATTAACATGCCAAGTTAAAGGGGCACCATGTGATATCATATGTGCGAGTGGGCTGTCTCTGCTGAGTGTCGGAGCTGCTTCGAGGCCAGCACGCGGACGGTGGAAGCTGCGACTCATGCATGATGCTATTTGGGTGAGTATTTGCCTAAACTCGAAACCTCAGGTTCTTGCAAGATGCCGCAATCGGCACAGAACATGAAGCAATCGGCAATCGAAGATACCGTTTTCTACATAGGAGCCCGGTTGGAGAGTCTGGAACTCTCTGCCCAAGGCCCCTCTGCAAGCTGGCCCTCGTCTCATCGGGGGTTGTATCGACTTGGGGCTTCTAACCCCAGCCTGCGCAGGGGCGGCGACGAAGGCATCAGTGCTGCCCAATAGAGCCAGACCGCCTGCGAACATGGGCTGAGGGATCTGACACTGCGGCCCCAGGCTATCTCGGAGAACCAAGTTTTCCTGCTGTCTTGTTGGTGCTAGCTGCCGGCAGCTTGGAAATGTCGTCCCCGGGTGTAACCATTTGGAGTTGGTGGCCTGGTCTTCTTACTGTGAAGCTTTCAAGACTTTCGGTTTCGAGCACAACGGAACCAGGGTGGCCACCTCGTGTAAACACTCCCCTGTAGACTCCGACATGCATATGTATGTGCGACGCAAACATTACATACAGTTGCATGAACACAGCAAAACCTACTTTCTCCCTTCGCCTGCGGCTGCCCCAGCGAGGGCAATGTTGCATGGGCGCTGAGCCATCCCAGGAACGCGCTGCGGGACGCGGAGAAGGGAAGAAATATGTATCGACCCGCTGCAGCGGCTGCGGAATACAGGCACCTCCGGGCATTGCCAGGGTATCTGCAAGAAGCATAGCTCCGCTCTCAACTCACATCGCTTTTGTCGTTCTCGATTCGATTGCCGCTTCCTTGCGAGACCTAACTTTCCAGGTGGTCTTCGAGCCCTGTCCCGTCTGGCATGGAACCCTGGAATTGCCATTAAAAAAATTATTGGTGTGGGATAACTGTCTGGCATCGGCACTGCCACGGCAGCGTTGCGAGTAACGGTGGTGAATCTCAGCACTCGAAACATCTGCAGAGAGAGTGCAGATGCCAGGGAGAATTGACGGGGGTGTTTCCGTCTGCTTGGAGAAAAACTGTCTCTTCGTGAGCGAAGCACCGTCGCTATGTACCAAAGTCCTCCAGATCTTCTGCGCAACCACGCGCAGGCTCAAACGAAACAGCTGAGAGTCTGAACCTGTTTCCAAGTAAGATGTCAAAACTGCAATCGCGACCTGTGCTATATCTAGTCTTGCCAGAAACCGATGGAGGGGGCGCTGCTCATCGAGAGGAGACTGAGGAAATTCTCTGTATCACGAGGGCCTCAAACTTTGCACAGCCCGCAGAAGCCGAAACCTGCACTTTCATTAAAAGCTACAGCTGCTGGAGCTAGGCACCCAGATGCTCACCATTGGGCACAAGATCCAGGAAGCTGGCCCAACCTTACACCACTCGTGGGCACGTGGGCGGGCCCTGGGCTTGAGCTTGCTGTTTGAGTTCCAACTTGAGGGCAGAGGACCGTGCGAGTCATTCGGGCTGCAACACCAAGGGGCATGCATCCACTTAGGCCTTCTTGGCCCAGTCGAAGCTGGCCGCCTGCACGGAGGACTCGCCGGTGTAACCGAGCTTCTCCTTCCAGCCAGGGTAGATCTGGTCGGCGTCCTTCTGGAAGGTGAGGAAGGCACCCTTGATCTCCTCGTGCGTCTTGGCGAACTCGATGACGCCATCGCTCAGGCTGATGTTGCCGTACTGTCCGGCCTTCCAGGCCTTCCAGGCCTCCTCGCCCTGTCGGCAGGAGATGGCACCAGGCTTGGGTCCATCCTTGTGGCCGAAGGAGCCACCGCCGGCAGTGAGGATCACGTTGGAGTGGCCCAAGTTCTCGAAGAACGCTGGCAGGCGCAGGGCATTCATGCCGCCGGAAATGATGGGAGTGGTCTGCTTCATGCCCTCCCACTCCTGGCGATAGTAGGGGCCATCGGCCTCATCGTCCTGGAGCATGAAGGCGATGTTCTTGTCAGAAGCATCGCCCTCCATCTTGCCGAAGCTCATGGTGCCGGTGTGGATGCCGGACGCACCGATAACTCGGGAGATCTTCGTGTGCACGAAGGCGGTGTAGCCGCGCTGGGTCTGGGGGCTGGTCACGGATCCGTGTCCGGCTCGGTGGTAGTGCAAGAACTGCTTGGGGAAGTTGCGGCGTGCGCAGGTCACGGCGGTGCCTCCTGCGACGTATCCATCCACCAAGAATGCGCAGTTCTCGGACAAAGGTCCGAACTGGGACAGGCAGTACTTGCCGCGGGCGATCATCTCGTTTGGATCGTCCGCTGTGATGTTGGCCGAGAACAGCTTGCCCAACACCGGTCTCCTTGATGCAGGCCCTCATGGCCTTCACGACCTCGGGGATGCATTCGTTCATCTGGCAGAACACCTGGTTGCGCTGCGGCTCATCCTGGGCTGCATGGAGGGTCTTCAACAACCCATTTCCTTGCTCAAACATTAAAGCTTATTTGACGCTTTTGTTCAAGCACGGTCTAGGATCGTTCTTGATGAAGTCACCGCCCTGCCAGAATGCGTAGCAGGCCTCGCCGAAGGGCTTGGGCTGCAGGCCGAGCTTGGGCTTGATGATGGTGCCCACCACGAGACCACCGTTGCTGGTGCCCTTGCCAAGGATGCGCCACATGTCCTCCACGTTCACGGCGGGCCCGTCATACAGGCGCAGGACGGGGGCAGGTAGAAGTCGTAGATCTTGCCGTACTCGACATCGCCCATACCTGCAACATGCCGCATGTGCGTGCCTCCGACTTCTACCTACTGTAACATGCTAGCTGGCAGACCGACTCAGCTCGCGACCCTGGTTGTTGCCGATGGCCAGGGTGAGGAAGGAGCACATCATGCCGCGGCCATCGATGATGTTGCGGTCGAACAGCAGCGTGGGGTAGGCGATCTTCATCTCCTCGCTGTGCTACTCTTGAACCGAACCGCGATCCTCTCAGAATGCACGGCTCGTATGTCGCAGGTGACTCACAGGTCAGGTGAGAAGCCCGGTAGGGCTCTCAAACCAAAGTCGCGTCTGACCCTGTCTCTCACAACGCACAAGTGGTGCAAGACAGCAGTGTCCCTTGCATGGTCCCCATAGACAGGCCAGCCCAAGCGAGCAGCCAAAGGGTCACTGGGCTCCATCGGCCTATTTCCAGAAAAGTGGCTGCAATGCCAAGCGAGGTGCAGCCATCCCGGAGTTGTTTCAGTACCGCAGTACGGACACTTCTGGATCTCATCGGCCTGTTGCCCTTGAACCGCGTGGTATGCAGCAAGCGAGTGAGCCCCTCCCGACAAGACAGCACGGCCATCGCCCTGAGACGAACTGAAAGCCGCCCGCGCCCTTTGCATCAATGCCGAGTCGTACTGCCTGAGCCTCACAACTTCAGCATCTCGCCTTGACGAGGCCCGGAAAAGGTCCCACTTCGCAAAGCGCCAAGCTTCTCGGAGCACATGGAGGGCCTGCTCCAGCCACTTCTTGAGGGTGCCCAGGCCTGGGTGCCAAGGCCAAGTGAAGCCTCCGACAGCCGTGTGCACGAAACGACCCCCGACCGCAGTGAAGCCCAAGTCGCACAACGAGTTCAGCAGGCTTGACCACCACACTCCACCAGAGAGCGTCCTGCCATGTCTGCGCCAGTATGCAATGCCTCTGGCCAGAGCGCCAAAGCTGCGGCACACCCCGACAAAGGCAATGTCAGTGATGTGTCCCTGGAGAACTTCCCAAAGGTCGCGTGAAGCTGACTTATGCCCACGAAGCAGAGTGATGGTGAGCGTCCCAAACTCTTTGCTGGCCCGAAACTCCCGAAGCCAGCAGCCCCAAGCGCCCACTGAAACAACCCTGCTCACAAAGAGCTGTTCCCGGAGTCGCATGCCACATGGCACTTTGCAGAGCCGCTTCACTCGTCGAACCGCCTCTCCGCGCCGGCTCTCATGGGTGGCATGCCTCCCACGCTGAAGTCGGTGAAAATCGACTCCCAGCACTCTCGCCTGGTCGACGATGAGTGCCTGGTCGAAGTGCTCCTGCAGCTCCTTCTTGTCCTTGAGGCGTTTAGCCACAAGCCGCGCCTTGTCAGAGTTTTCACGTAGGCCGAGAAAGTCGTCCCACTGGTTCACAAAGGAGACCGCCGCCTGGACCGTCTTCACCACAGCATTGCGATCGTCGACGAAGAGGCTGCAAGCCATCCCCCGTGGTACCCTGATGTTCTCAACAGCAGTGCGGATGAGAAGCGAGAAAGCGAGAGGAGCGAAAGGGTCTCCTTGTGGCAGGCTCCGAGTGCAAAGGTTGGCCGCGGTGTCCAGGTACTCGCCCAGTTGACAAAAGCGACGTTGCCGAAGCCACACCAAGCCGAAGTAGAGGGCTCAGCGCGCAGGCATGCCGTAGTGCGACATGACTCGAATGGTGTGCTCCGGGTCCGCGTAGTCAAAGCCCTTCTTGAGGTCAAGGGAGACCAAGATGGCCTCCTGCTCCTGCCAAGCGGTAGCCAAATCGCAGACGGCCGCCTCCAAGCTTCTTTGGGCCAGACCCCCATGCATTTCATCAGTGACGACCTGAGGAATCCACTGTTGGCAGCCCCTGCTCCCGAGAAGAGCCGCGCTGATTGTGCGGCAAAACGAACTAGCGATGCTGATGGGCCTCATGTCTTTAGCTTCAACATCGCCATGATCCCCGCCACATTTGGAAGAAAAACCTGGCGATACTCCGAAAAGGAGCTGGGCAAGCTCCCTCGTGAAAGCCAAATGTCGAGCTGCTCGCCGAACTGGTGCCAAAAGCTCTCAGGAAGCCACGTGAGCTCTTCAGCCGTCCAGCCATCAAGGCCTGCCGAACCGCCCCGTCCTTGAGCTGCACGAAAGAGGTCCTTAGCAGAAAGACTCCAGTTCCCTTCGGACCGGTGCCCGCCCCTTGTCAATCTGCCATTGATCATGGCCGTTGCTTCCGGCACTGGCTCAGGTCTGTGCCAAATAGGCTGCCATTGGTCCTTGATCGCAGCGAAGGCCTCAGTGACATCAGCCGTGCGCTGCCAGTTGCCCTCGGCGTCCTTGTAAAGAATGCCCGTAGCCTGGACCGCAGGATGGTCTTTAAGCCAGGCTGTGCATCGACTGCCTTGGTCCTTTATGTCGCGCCGCCACCGAAGGAGAGCAGCTTGACGTTGTTCGTCGCGGACCTTGGCGAGCTCGGCCGTCGTGATGCGCTCCAGCTCCTCCCAATCCCGAATCCGGTCGGCTGGCCTCGCAACCGTACGGGGCCATGTCCTCCAGAGTCGAAGCTCAAGTGCATGATCAGGGTGACCTTGGGTCCGCTGTCGAATGCACTCCCTGAGTCGTCCCAGCCACTTGGCCAAACGTCTTTGGTTGAAAGATCCCGCCTGGCCCTTCTTCGTGACACACGCCCCGGCCGGGAACCAAGCAGGAGAGGATCCCTTTGCCCGTGACCGCTGAGACGTAGCCGAAGACACCCCATGGGCGGCCCCTGCCTGAACAAAAGCGCCCCAGAGGAAACCCTGACCTGACTCCAGGCACGATAGCCCAGTGCATTAAGGTGCCGCTCCAGCAGAACAGCTTCCCGTGCATTGGCTCGAATCTCCTGCAGCACGAAGGCATGAGGTTGCAGTGCACAAATCGATGCAGCAGCCTGGTAAGCATTGGTCAGGCCATTGCAGTTACAAGTGACAAGCCGCAGTTTCAAGGAGCGACTCGATGATGGGCCAGGGTTTGGCTCGATGCCATGTCGAACCGCAGCTGCCCTTCTATCATCGAGGTAAGCCTTGAGCTTGGCACTGTCCTCGATCTCGCCCTCCTTGTTGCCAGGACCACGTTTGGAGCCAAAAAGCACCTGCCGCAGCTCCCCCTGGTCGAAGAGAGTTTGCCTGCCTTGGAAACCCTCAACCGTACGGAACTTGCTGTTACACACTCCAGGATGAGCTTGCCGGATGTGGAGGGTCCGTGCGCTACGCAACTTGCCTTTGTCCTTGTGTTTGAACATCTCGGCGCAGACATCGCATCGCCAACGGAAGAAGCCCCTGCGATCAGCCTTGCAACCAATCCGTGGGTTCCTGTTAGAGCCCAACTGGTTGGTCAGGGTGAGAAAGCTAGCCCTGGGGATATCCCGATGAGCCCGGCAAATATGATTGTCACGACGCTTCGTGAGCTGCTCCCTAGTCTCGGCAGTGAAAACAGCATGACAAGCCGTGCACGGCCACTCCAAGATATGTGCGCACTCACCAGGACGGCGATTTTTGCCACGCAGGCTGGGGGCGGCCGGTGCAGCCCTCTTGGTAGCCTTCTTAGCCTGTTTCGCTGGACGTTTCTTGAAGAAGCAGCTGGGATGCCTTTGCCACACCGCGGACCTCGTGAGGCGGCTCGTTTCAGCCTTGCTACGTTCAAGAACATCCCGAAGAAGCCTTTGGTCAGCCTTGGAGTGCCATTGCCATCTAGCACGCCAGGCCAATGACTGCAAAGCCAGAGCCCGATCGGATGCTCCACCGCACTGAGAATCCCGACCCAAATCCGGAGCCAGATCAGAAAACGAATGCCACACCCGCAAACATGAAGCACAAGCCCACTGAGCTTTGGAGCCACCGTGGCCTGCTGATCGCCTCGCATAGTCCAACCGCCATCATTGCAGAGCTTCCTCACGGCTTCCTCTAAAGCAGCGGTGTACCGAGGCACTGGGGGTCCAGAATGCCTCAAAGTAACCCCCTCCTCCCGGGCCGGGAGAGGGGGTTTGCTTTCCGGGAGTTTTGTAGCAGTAGAGGAGCACGAAAGCACAGAAGAGCACTCAGACCTGGCAGGCAGCCAAGCACACGTCCTTGTCGACCGCCTCGTTTTCGAAGAAGCTGAGGCACTTGGTGGTGGAAGCCAGCACGGTGTGGCTGCGAGCTCAACGGTCTGTTTGCGAAGCTTAGACGCCGAAGGAGCCGAGGACGCCGAAGGAAGCCAACTGCCCCCGAAGCGCAAGAAGCTGAAGCCGCCGATCGTGGTGCCATAGGAGCCGACAAGGAAGTAGAAGTCCCCGGCCCCCCCGGACAATCAATTTTCATTCCCTCGGTCCCTCTTCGAAGCTTAGAGGCCGACGGAGCCGATGAAGAAGCCGATGGAAGCCAACGGCCCTTCGAAGCACAAGCGGCTGAGGCCACCGACGATGAAGAAGGCAACCAACCACCACCCCGATGGAGTCCTCCTCCAGCGAACTTCTCCCCGAGCTTCCACTGTTTGGGGATCACATTCGTCGTCGGATCGATGAGGCGGTAGTGCCCCCTGCACAGACACATCCCGAAGCAAGTGGGACCATCGCCGAACACAATGGGCCCGAGCCACCGGCTTTCGGCCGAAGACCAATGGTGGAGCACAATCGTAGCCTTGAGTCTCCGTGCGGCGACAGCTAAGGTATCTCCACAGAGCCACCGGTTGTCACGCTTGAGGCTGGAGCACCACTCACTCCAAGAGCCCGGTATGGGGCCCCCTTCGGTAGCTTCCGTCCAAGACGGATCGGGTTTCCAAGTGTCCTGCCCCACATGCTTATTCTCGACGGCCTGAGCCACTTCAAACCGAAGAGTCCTGCCACGGGCCACACACTCGGTCCGGACCTTGTCGTGACTTTCGCCTTTGCATAGCCCATAGCCAGCAGCGGCGCAGTTGTAGCCACATCGACCCTCGCCGCCATAGTCGAGCAGCTGGTAGTCGGCCCACGCATCCCAAGGATTTTGCAGCTTTTTCTTCTTGGAAGAAATGCCAGGCTTCCCTTTTGCAGCATCGGTTGCCGCCTGGTTGGAAGGAGCCAAGCGCTTGCCGGTGACCTTGCCATAGACACCCATGTTGGCAGGCTCGGTTGAGGCCTGAGCACTGTCCTGCTCCTGCCCATCCAGCTCCATATCCCCTCCCTCGCTAGCGTCCACAAACTCATCCGAGACGTGTGGACCA